ACGACCATTAAAAGCACGAACATTAAAAACACGACCATTAAAAACACGACCATTAAAAACACCAACATCAAAAAAACACCAACATTAAAAAAACACCAACATTAAAAACCGAAGCCGACACAACAGCCTGCGCCACCTGCAAAACCAGCGTTGTGCTGAGCCCAACCAGAGCCTGGGGGCCCGCCCGAAGCGCGCCGCGGCCCCAAACGAAAAGCCGGCCCCAGAGCAAAAGGGCCCCAGAGCAGAAGGGCCCCAGAGCAGAAGCAGCGCGGCCGCGGCCTGCACGCAGCGCGCCAGCCGGGCGCCAAATTTTCATACGACTCCAGCCCAGCCCACCACAGATTCCTAAACCCCCCACATAACCACACCACACCATGGCCAGACTCGCCGCTCCGCTCCGCAGCACGCACAAGGCGTTCGCGCGGCTGCTCACCTACAAGCTCGCGGAAACACCGGTGTTCCAGCACATCAAAACCTCGCAGTCCGCGTTCCACGGCTTGTACTCCTACAAGGCGTTTGAGGACTTGTGGTTCAGGCAGGGCGAGGCGCTCACGGCCCGCTTGAACGCGCAGATCCACGACTTGGGCGTGGACAACACGCCCGCGGACTTGTCCGAGCTCATTGCGTCCACGTTCAACACGCCGGAGTTGGCGCCCATCACGGCCTGCGCGGCCCGGCTCCACAACTTGCAGTTCTGCCTAGAATCGCTCCGGCCCCACGAGGCTGCGCTTCCGGGCGGCAAGCCGGGCGCCGAGGCGCTCTTGCGCACGCCCTCCATCGCCACGCGGCCCGACAACGAGCCGGCCCACGCGGCGCTCCGTGAGTGGATCGACGACTCGTTCGGCTCGGTGGCCGAGTTGCGCTCGCTCTTGTTGAACTCCGCGCTCGCCATCAAGGGCGACGGCGTCACGTGGTTGGTCGCCCAGGCCTCGTACTCCGCGTCGTCGTTGCGCGGCGGCTCGCAGGCCGACTTGTCGTTCAGCACCTTGGCCGTCGTCAACACCTACAACGCCGGGGTGGTGGACGACGCCGTGCGCCTGGGCCAGCTCTCCAAGTTGCGCCAGCAGCGGCTGGCGCGCGAGGAGGCCGCCGCGCGCAGGCAGCGGGAACGCAGCGAGATCGCCGGCGCGCCTCGGCTGCCGGCAGAGCCCTCCCTTGACGCCGTGCCTGCGCCGGAGGATCCCGCGGCAAGCACCGTGTTGGGCTCTGTCGAAGAGGCCGAGGAGGCCACGTTGTACCTGGACCGCAAGTTGGTGCCGTTGCTCGCGGTGGACGCGTCCATGCGGGCGTACTTGCACGACTACGGCGTGTTCGGCAAGCTGCAGTACTTGGACAGTGTGTGGAGATGCATCAACTGGGACGTGGTGGCGGAGCGGGCCCCGGCGCGCTTCAAGCCCTCGGTGGTGTTTGACCGCTAGGCCGCTGAGCCTTGGCCGCGTGTAAATAGATCACATGGAGGGGCCGGCCGGGAGAGGGGCCGGCCTGGCCATGTACCATAGCGATGTTCATACCAACTTCAATGTATCGACTGTGTTAAGAGACGGCGCGGTGGTGGTGTATTATGATGGTGTATTGTGATGGTGTATTATGATGGTGCATTGTGATGGTGTATTATGATGGTGTATTATGAGATGGTGTACTGTGATGGTGTATTATGATGGTGTATTATGATGGTGTATTATGATGGTGTACTGTGATGGTGTATTATGATGGTGTATTATGATGGTGTATTATGATGGTGTATTGTGATGTTGATGTATTCTAATGGTAGTGTATTATGATGCTGATGTATTCTGATGGTGGTGTATTCTAATGGTGGTGTGTTTTAATGATCGTATTATAATGATGGTGTATTCTAATGGTGGTGTACTCTAATGATGATGTATTATAATGGTGGTGTATTTTAATGATGATGCATTATAATGGCGGTGTACTCTACTGATGTATTCTACTGATGATGCATTATAATGTTGATGTACTCTGATGGTGGATGTACTCTGATGGTGGATGTACTCTGATGGTGGATGTACTCTGATGGTGGATGTACTCTGATGGTGGATGTACTATACTGAATACTGTACCCTATCGATGGTGATGTATTATAATAACAGTGCTCTACCATGATGATAGTACTGTATTAGAACAATGCCGTTGTACTGTAGATGCACTAAAATGACAAGGATGTTTTCCATCACTCATCACATCAATGTGCCTGGCCTCCTCCTCCTCCATCTTCAACGCGATGAATAAAACCTTTTCGTCCCTTGGTGGGACCAAAACAAGCATCGCAGAAAAGGGACTCGTACGTGTTGTACAAGAAGATGTGCCCAAAGTGTCGATCCCATTGTATATGTACCCGTTCTTCTAATCCACTAGTATTATATAAGAGCCAAATTCAATTAGTGAGTGAGTATCCTGACTCTTGGTGATAATTCATTGTGGAGGTAACAATATCAAGAAGTTCACGCTGATACAGCACTATTACAGGCTTTACTCTGTTGAAATAGATATATCGTAAGGTCATTGTGACTTCATCGAATTGATCTTGTAGCGACGTACCAATGATTTTCTGCCGTGACGGCTTTGTGAAGGTATTGCTCAACGATGGCATCACTTCAGTATCACATCAATATCATCAAATAGCCTCCGGCAAAAACAATACTATGGCAAACTCTTGAGGCGGCAGCTATTCTGTCGATATTGTTCACGGGAGGTCTTGTCGATGCTCTAGTAGCGATGTTACAATATCACGTCGGCGACCTGCTTGTGCTCTTCGTGTGCTTATCTGTTGGCAGTAATTCAGTTTCCTGTGGCTGGCTATTGTTGCGTGTTCTTGCCTCAAGGTTCTTTCATGACGTGATATCATTCGACTGAATCTATGGCATCGATACTATTTTATCAATGGTATGTCACCGATAATATATATTACTCCACCTCACCATCTAAGATCTATTGATCTTGCATTGATCTAAGCACAAGTTGAATTCTAGCCATGTCGTATCGCCGATACTGCTGCTCCAATATCAGTACCCTCGTGTTGTCACATCACGCCAGCTATTCTAGTCCTTTCTTCGATGCTGACGGAGAATCACCAAAGCGTCCGTGGGACTTGCGTGCAGTGGTCCTGTAAGCTCCATCGAAAAGTCTTTAGTGATTCCATCGCAACGATGTTTTATATTGAAGATCCTCTATTACTTTAAGTACGCGACATCGATACAACGACATGTGCAGCAACACTGATACGCTCTGGAACTATTTTTAAACATGGCAACTGAATAAAAAAGGACGCGGTGTTGGAGCCACACATGTCTACAGCTGACACGCTGCAGCCTTCATCTGGCGAACATGATCCCGTTGTCTGTATTACTGCGACATACTCTCCAAACAATGAGACATGCCTCATCACAACCACTGGCCCGAGGAAGCCGTGCAACGGTTACTTGTACCAGGCCCGTGCTTCAGGAGAGCATCCGCCCATTGTCTCCACATTCGTAAATTTCCAGAGGCAGAACGACCCGATGCGAAGATTGCCTCAGTTCCGACACCGCCATATGACCTTCACACCATTGCTGTCTACTTCTTGATCACCTTCTTCACGATCTTCTCGACCTCGTCCCAGTCGTCCGTGGGCAACTTGGTCATCTCAACGTTGCCGAAGTAGTTCATGATCGCCTGCAAGTCAGCGTACGACTTCTTGTCGTGCACGAAGGACACCGACACACCCACACGGCCGAAGCGCCCCGTGCGGCCGATTCTGTGCAAGTACGTCGAGGGGTCGGGCCGCTTCTGCGCGTCGAGGGGCAAGTCGTAGTTGACCACCATGGACACGGAGGCAATGTCAATGCCGCGGGCCAACACGTTGGTGGTGATCAAGACCTTCGAGCGGCCCTCTCTGAAGTCGTCGATGTGGCGGTCTCTGTCCGCGTTGTCCTGGCCGCCATGGAGCACGGACACCTTGTGGCCCTGGGCCATCATCATCTTGGTCAACTTGTCGGCTGTGTGCTTGGTCTCCACAAAGATGATGGACGAGCCGATGGTCAACAAGCCGTACAAGCCGCACAACATCTCGAACTTGTGGTCCGGCGAGTCGCAGTCCATGAAGAGCTGCTTGATGCCGTCCACGTTCAACTCCTCCTGCTTCAACTCCAACGAGTTGGCGTTGGGCACGAACTTCTCTGCGTACGCACGCACCTCCGTCGGGAAAGTCGCGGAAAACAACACCAACTGCGTTGTCTGCGGCAACTGGCGCTTGACGCGCACGCACTGGTCGCCCAAGCCCTGGGCCTCCAACATGGAGTCCGCCTCGTCCAACACAAACACGCGCAAGCCCGCGGGCTTGATCTGGCGGTACTTCAAGAGGTCCAACACCACGCCCGGCGTGCCCACCAACACGTGTTCCGAGACGGCCTCCTTGCGCCCCACCAGGCCGGGCACGACCAAGCGCGTGGAGATGCCCGTGAATCGGCTCATGCTCTGCACGACCTCCAACGTCTGCCGGGCAAGCTCGCGCGTGGGCGCCAAGCAGAGCGCCTGCGGCGTTTTCTGCAGCTCGTCCACGCGCGAAAGCATGGTCAAGGAAAACGCCGCGGTCTTGCCGGTTCCCGACTGCGACTGGCCAATCATGTTTTGCGGCGGGTTTTTCAACAAGAGCGGCAACGCCTTCTCCTGGATTTTGGACGGCTTGTTGAACTTCATGGCGTAGAGGCCCTTGAGCAACGTGTCTTTCAAGCCCAACTCCTCGAAGGACTTGGCGGAGAAGAGCGGCGAGTTGGGGTCTGCCTGCAAGTCGGCCAACTTGACCTTGACCTCGTAGGTGGAGTTGATCAAGTTGGACTCCGGCTCGGCGGGCGGGTCAGATGTGTCGTTTGTGTCGTTTGTGTCAGCTGTGGCTTTCGTTTTGTTTGTCTCGTTTGTGTCTTTGGCACTACTTGCATCTTGTGCAGTTTTGTCTTTGGCGCCGGCAGGAGTTGCGGGGTTGGCCTGCTCCGGCGTGGCCGCCGCGGCGGCCAGGGCCTTGTCGTCCTTCAACGACAAGGACGAGAGAATGTCGGGGATGTCGGAGCCGGGCATGCTGCGAGAAATACTGAGGCGGTGGAAGTGAAGCTTATACTTGGAGATCTACGGTGGTTTTTTTTGTTGATCTGGCACGGGCGGTGCACGGGTGTGTGCCGCCGCGCGCGCCGGTGCCGTGTTGGAGATCCTGCCTTTACATGTGAGCATCTAGCCTGGGGCCATGAAGTCGAGCGGCAAAGCGTGGTGGCACAAGACGGCCCGCTGGCCGCTTGGTGCCGTGAGGCCCGAGACGCGTGCGTAGCATTTCAAAAAAAATGCGGGTCTCGGGACTCGGCCACCCGTGAAGTAACGCGCTGGGGGGCGCACCATGGCCCTGCCCCAAGTCTCCTCTCTGTAGGTCTCTGGGCTCGGAGGCCAGGGAACGTTGTTCCCCGCAAAACCGGCGAAAGCCAGCTATCCGCTTTTGCGTGGAGATCCCCTCGCCCGGGCCCTTTCCACGTGTAGTGAAGTGGACCCCACCTGCGCCACGGGAAAGCTGGACATGTCGGAATCAAGTCCACCTTGTTTGCCTGGGTCCCAGCGAGCACACTCGCCCTCGACGTGGATTAGGGTTCGGTGGCATTTGCACCTTGAGAGGTTGTAGAACGGTGTTTTTTTTTTTGGTTTTTTTTGGAGCACAGGCTGCCGTCTGTCATGGGACACGTTCTAAAGCCGAAGCGTGCCAAGGCGGACAACACTGTCTGTTTGTCAAGCCCCAATATTCTTGCCCAAGACCCGCCCCAGTATTATACCCCAAACCCCTGCCCCAAGAACATAGCCAAGATCATACCCGAGATCACACCCCAAGATCCTCACACGTCCGCGACAGGCAACAAGTCCGCGGCGTCGTCGTCCGCGTCGCCCTTCAACACCTCGGCCTCGTCCACGTCGTCCCAGTCGCGAGGCCCGCCGCGCCCCGCGGCCGAGAACGTCATCACAAACGCATTCTCCACGAGCCGCACGGCACACTGCACGCCAAAGTCCCGCCGGCAGGCGCGGGCCCCGAGCGTCTGGATCTCGTGCGCCTCCACCTCGAGCGACCTGCGGTTGCTCATGGGCAACATGTCGGCGCCGTCGATGAACTTGCGCATGTCGCCGATGTTGGTGGTGCGGTGGATGCGCCGCGGCGCACATGTCTCGCCAAGACCCATGCCGCGGCTGCCCGCGGAGCGCCAGAGACCCGCGGCTCCCACCAGGTCGAGCGAAGGGGCTCTGCGGTCGTGCTCCATGATCGTGGGCAGGGGCAAGTCCACCAGCGCCGAGTCGACGGACGCCATGTCGCTGGGCACGGCCGAAAGCGTGGCCAAGGAGAGCTCGCTGGCCAGGCCGGCCGCGTGCTTCTGCCACGCGAGCGAGTGCCGTTTCTGCGTGTTTTCCTGGCCCTCGGGCCCGGCGAAATAGACCTGCGAGTACCGCTTCCCGACCGCCGCGTTCGGGTCGAGCGGCGAGAGCGCGTGTGCCGGCTCAGGGGTGGCGCGGGCCTCCGGCGTGGGTTGCGGGAATGGGCCGCTGATCACCAGCGAGGATTTCTGTGCCCGGACGGACATGTCCTTCAAGGAGCGGCGCGTCTTCAATGAGCTGAAAAGACTGGACTTTCTGCTTTCGGACTTGATCATGATGTGGGGGCTGCTCGGGTGGTGTGTTCTGGGCTGCTTGGAGCGGCGTGTTCTGGGCTGCTCGGGCTCTGTGTTCGGCCAGTTGCCAGAGTGGGAGGCAGACACAGCGGAAGGTCAGAGGCGGCTGGTCAGAGATGGTTTGGACGGGAGCACGCGGAGTCGATATTGCCTGTTTGGGCCAGTCGGGTGCGTGGGGGAAGACGGGTCGTGAGAGTGTGTGTCGCTGCCCACTCGTTTCGTTCTTCGTGTTTCGTTTCTTCGTGTTTCGTTTCTTCGTGCTTCGTTTTTCGTGTTCCTCGAGTGAAGGCGCATCTCCATGCACGTTGGGTATGGGGTACGCGACTTGGCAGCTCCTTCGGCACGATCGGCGTTCTGCATGCTTGCCTCGGCGGGCGCCTTGAGCAGAAAAAAAAGTTTTGGGGCCATGGCGGCTCCCACCGTGTGATGAGATGCCTGGTCCGTGTGATGAGATGCCTGGTCCGTGTAATCAAAAATCAAGGAACAAACTTTAACGGGTCCGGCCAACGGGCTCCGGTCAACGGGCACTCTTGGGCTCCCGCATCCCTACAAGCAGGTCCTGCAGGCGGCGGGCCTTAGTCGGGATGCGCGCGCGCCGGGGGCCAACAAAACAAACGTTGCATATGCTGCGCCGCGTGGGCCGGATGGGGGTAGGCACATCTAGGCAGGTGCCACATCTTCGAGAGCTTGTTGCATCGAGCATGTTAGATGGCACGGCTCATCTTTTCTTTTTCAAGGCCGAGCGCGGCCGACATGGCGGAGTGCCGCTGCCACGCAACTCTCCATCTGGCGCCTTCTTGCTTGCTGTTCGCGGGTAGTTGAAAAGAAGCACCGGTGCACTCGATTCTGAACCTGCAGATCTACTGGCAAGTCGTCGTGAGGTTATGTGTTCCAGAATGGTGGCCCTGCTGTTCGCGCGGGTACTTTCCAGTAGTCCTTGATTCCCCATCACTTTCATCAGAGATGTATTGATAAGAAGGTGAGGGCCGTGTCTTCAATCCCTTTCGACATGGCAGTTCGTAAGCCCTTTGGTTTGGTTATGTAGCAAATAAAATAGAGATCACTGAAAAAACACAGAGAACAATACTCATTGCATACGACTCAGTGTCAGGTCTCTGAAGGTTAAGAGCTACAAGCTCTATGGACTAATGTTGCAAAAGGCAAACCAGAACTTTCACCGTCACCAAGGCCATGAGCAACAATTGTAAGACTTAGAATGAGCAAAGTTGGGTTATGTGAATGAAAACAGAAATAGACCCAAAAGCCAATAGAAAATTCCATTCTCACGAATATCATGCTCCCTCTAAAAGACCATGCATAGCGCCCTAATAAATAGACTACGGCTCCTCCCGATTCCAAGTTTGTCCGATTTCGAATGACCCAGGGCCAATCACAAACAGGCGTTTCCTTGATCGTATCGATTTCTTGCCGATGTGTCAATCGGCAGTTTGCTCATTCTCAACTTAAAAGGCCTGAATGTATGTTCTCAAAACAAAGTGTTGGGTGTGCACTGATATTTTGCCTCCAATCGCACATTTGCGCGGTTTCAAACAACAGAATACCACTATAGCTGCTCATGCTTCTCATTCTAACCAAGGTGCTGTTTGTTGGATTCTTGTAGGATCTAGCAAAGCCAAATCCATGTCTTTAATTTAAAGCCAGTATAGGGGCCCCAGAACTCAAAGTAGACTTTATGCTGAAACTGTCGGGCTGACACTGAGATGAATCCTGAGTAATCTAATGCATGCTAAACAGATGAAAGGTTAATTTGGACCGTCCCGCTTTAGACGAAAGCAAAAGATTTTCAAATACAAAGGAATATTTATGGAGTACTTATTAAAGTGGAAACTCAAAGAATAAGCGGTTTCTGAACACGTTCAGACGGCATGCGAAAATAGCGAGTCCTGCGTCGTCTCGCTTCTACTTGCCAGATTATATGGCGTCGAAGAACAATTGGTACGCACTTGCAAAAGATGCCGAACGTGTACCCATACTGAGATTTCCAGGTTTGTGGTTCGAAATAAAACATTGTTTCTGGTAAGGGTCAGACTCTCAATAAATTAGTTGACTCTCAATAAATTAGTTGACTCAGTATACCCAGGTGTTCTTTCGAAAAACTGAGTTGAGCGAAATACTTTCTCCCATGGCTAGACAGTTGTAGACGACGTAGGCAAGTCCAAGGGCAGTAACAATAAAGCGGCACACCATTGTGCCGCTTTATTGTTCTTTTTTTTTCTTTGCAATTGCCTATGTTTGCACCTCTTGCGTTGAATAGTCTGGATCCAACCCTCAAGAAGAATTATTCGACTTACTATGTACAAGTGAAACCTTTGTTTTACTTATTGCAGGGGAATTATTGGCCAAAAGAATGGCTCTTTTCCAGTATACCTCTTGAGTTCCTTGGTGCTCATTTGGACCCATTTCTCTTTTCTCAATACATTTCCCCCCTTGTCTCTGCCTGAAAGAGTTTTTGTGATATACTTGCTAATGGGGACTCGAGAAACAGCAGAAATTCCTTTGGGGAGATAAATTATCACGTCTTCTGCGGTCGCTGGATCTGGTCTTGCCCCCGTGGCCTTGATGTTCACGAAGCCAAGGCCCCGGAGCACGATATCGCATGACCCGTCAAAAGGAGGAACCACGTGTTTCTCCACATCTGTTTTGAGGTGGTCCACCAAAAACACGTCACGAACAGCATTGGGGTCCTTTGCATCCTTCCATACCTGCATGGCCTTTTCCATATTGCTGAATACGTGCACCTTGTGGTTTATCACATTGCGGACTTGGTACATACAGCCTCGAGGGACCTGTAGAAAGAAAAGCCCGCCTACTGTGACCACTTGGCCTTCTTTTGCAGTCACATACTTCGAGAGATAAGTGCCGTGTTTGTGAAACAAGGCGCCTTTCTGCAACTGCTTGATGCTTTTGGCAGAAAGAAAGTCGTACAAGTGTGCTGCGTGCTTACTGCTAAAACCAGGTACATCAAAGACGGTGGTGGATTTTGAGAGTTCAAGCGGAATTATGTCACGCGTGAAACCAGGCATAAAAGAAGAGCCGGGACCGATATCCGTTTTCTGTTTCTCCCACATGCGAAGACGTAGCCTGGCCGCAGCATACGAGCGAGCATTCGAAATAATGTCGTCCTGTTTCTTTTGTCTATCCCGTTCTTTTCGTGCATTCGGCAAACTCTCCCGTTGTTTTCGAACTACCTGCATCACCAGCTGGAGAAGCGTCGACTTACCTGAGTTGACGCTTCCGATGAAGAAGGAGTTGTTACGAATAGAAGCCAAAAACGTGTCTGTGTTCCAGTCAGACTTTCCTGAGACAACATGGACATGGTTTTGAGGAACACCGTATGTCCTATGCATGTAATCCTGAAAAAATTGAGTGCCATATCGAGAAGCGAGGTTGTTTGTAGGGAAAAGCAAATCCGACTTTGTGATGACATACTGTATTGATTTGGCAGAGCGGAATCGAAACACATCCTCATTGAGCGATAAGGGGAAATCAACCAGGCTCACCACATATACCAAATGGCCGTCTTCAGGCACACGTTGCATTACTTGAGCCACCGATTCTGTCTGATACTCAGCTGCGTCAAACGCAGAACGGTGATGTGCGTTGCGGCAACGGAGACACTGATGTCCACTTCGTTCTTGCTGCGAGGGAGAAATGGGTTTTCGGTTACGCGGCGAGAGCAAGTCCATCTCTGCCCCATTGAGTAATAGTGACTTGTCCTCATCGCTTAAGTCGCGAAAGTGGTCGTCGAAAATCTTATCTGTCAGTCGCGTGGGGTTCGCTTTTGCAGCCTTTTGCGCATCGGGCACAGACGCTTTTGGTTCTATGAAATATCCGGCAGCCTGTGGTTCGGTTTTCTGCAACGTGATTCCACACGATGTGCACTTAGGAACAAGAGAGTGGGCTAAAAAATGAGACACATGTGCTAGGCTGGAATCCGTGTTCAAGTTGCGCTTGGAAAAGGCGATGGGTGCGGGTGGCCGAGAGATATGCACGAGACATCTGCAAAGCGAGACTCCGCTTATTCGCTTGAGCGTTCTGCGAATTATGAATGTCATTTTGTCTTCAAGCAAGCGCTGTGACGTATCGCTCCAGTCGAAGTAACAATCAAACGCGAAGCACGGCACGTGAGCGGGCTACCCCGATGAGGTTCAATTTTCTGAAAGAACGTCTAAAGTCACGTGACTCACAGTGCGCAAGAGGTAGCGACATGCAGCACGTGATTGTGCTATCTCAAGCTTGCGCAGGCGGTCACGGATTTGCTTCAGGAACACTCTCGCTTTCTGTACCACTTGCCTCACTTGCGCGTCGATACACATGGTCTTTGGCGCCATGCGCAAATTTGCTTTTTTTGGCACCCACAAGCTGATTTATCTTTGTTTACACCTGCATGGAGAAAAGAGCGGGACTTAAAATTGAACGTCCTTGGTAGTACCTTGTGCTATTGTTCAAATTTTACAATACAAAGTGAGTTAACTAAATGCACAGCTTGAGTTCAATTTCAATAGTATGCAGCAAAGGGCTTGGCATGTGGCGCGTAAAGTGCAGCACACCTGCTTAGGATTGTATGGCACTGCATGTGCATCTGGAGGAAAAGAGCAAGCACTGAGCTCCGCGCAATACGTTCGATGATTCCAACGTATTCCGGGAGATTCCACATGATTCCAGCTGACTTTTTTCAACCGCTTCACCCTTGAGTATTTCAAAATCTATCTTGTGGGGAAAAAGTATATGTATCTGGTAAGAAAAATGTATTGTTTTCATTCGTGCACGGTATATTGGCGCTAAAGGGTCATGAAGAGGCCGATCGGGTAAATTAATGCGAACGTCGGCTCCTGGCCAGGATGCGAGGGCTTCACAATGTGCACTTGCACTTGGACAGTCTAAATTTTTCTTGTGACCAACCACGGCTATACCTTTAATCTCCACAGTGGAAGACAAATCTGTAATCAGAAATCACGTTTGACTAGTTTGACCGCTCCAGAAACACAAAATACGTTCACTTCGTATCAATGTCTGCAAGTCTGAATGAAGCAAGTGCGAGTGACGTGGCAAGTCCTTTACCCGAGCCATCTCACCCGGAAGGCTTACCTGCAAGACCATCGGGGAAACAAAGAGCTTTCCGCAGAGCCCATATAGATGCCAGCAAATGCATGCACAGCAGGCTACATAAAACATTGCGCGAAAGCGTGCTTAACAATAATAAAACAAGCCTCCATCTACACTCATACTGGGTTAGACTTTCCGCTGAACCTTAAGTCTACCCAAGAATTTCCCAAAAGCCCGAGTCAGATGCGGTGCGAAGTCTCCTTCACGAAACATTGATCGCCAACAAAACCCAGTTCACTCCAGACTTTCTAAACCTAGGGTCTTGTTTTGCAGATATACAGATCGAAAGAAGGAAGAAAATACACATGTTTCGTCGGACGATTAGAGAAGAAAATCGGACATCATGCAGTTTTAATAACAACAAGAACAAAGCACTAAAAAAATTACAACCAGCAGACAATAGCCGGGAAAACCGAGCAAACAAAGATAAAGTGCTCTACAGCCCCTTTCTTGCGCAAGCAGGCTAGAGACTCAACTGAGATGAATTCCAAGCGAGAGTGCAGGTACGCCTATCTATGCGTTTTCTTGCCGGAAACACTCTATATGCCCGCAATGCAGCGCCTTGCATACACCCCAACTCATCCACAAGGGGGGTCTTCAGACCTAAGCATCTAGCCCTTGAATTGAACAGTCATTCCCGCAAACCAGGGAACGCAATTACGCTCTCCAAATGATCCGCACGGCACATGGGCGTAGCACTATTGTCAGGCCGCGGGTGATGCGCTGCGACCTCTATTGAGGCTGTGCATGAGTAAGCCCATGTCTGGTGACGGAAGACATGCGGCATCTGCGATCAAAAAATCGAATGTGGCTTCCGCTTGTCTCATGGCGGCACACTAATGAAAAGCTTAATCCGAAGCCGATTGATGCACACACCACCCGTTCCACACATGGTGCTTTGAACAAGGGCTGCTCAGTTGGATGCGTAAGCTGTGACAAGGAGTCTTTCCATTGGGCACTGCAGCGATTTGCAGAATCGTCGCCGTCACAGCAGTAAGTGGCGATTTTCATTGATACAGAACGGCGAACCAACAATGGCCACAAAAAAGTCCACCAAATGGGTTCAGAAAACGCCTAGGTGCAAGAGAACGGTGCATATAACAATCAGGAGTAAAAGCTTGGAAAGTGCTCGAGACTCGGCCATATATTTTTGTATATCGGGAACAAAGGACGGCGCCGAGGACCAGCAAGATCGTACGTCTTATCCAAGCTAGACTGCATACGCGCCACGTAGCAAAAGTAGCACGAAAATTTCTTTTCCGGGCGCGACTCGACCCTGGGCGCATTCACAATGTGGGTGGCTTAACGAACTTTCGCTGTATCAAATCTCGATTAAGGTTCCAGAAGCCGGGCGCCCACCCCGGCGAATCACATGAGCTAAGGCGTCTCAAGTACCAGCTAAACGCAAACGACTGCCGGTGTCCCGTTCAAACCGGCCCCTTTGAAGCTGTTCAAACGGCAAGTGCAGGAGCCACTCTGCGCGCAGAAGACGGTCGGCGAACGGGCCCCCCTCTTGGGGCTTCTGGCACGAGTATTTCTCCTGGACGCACATCTAACGTGCCGGGCGTCAAGCCCGCATTGCATGCGTTTTCGTATGTAATGCGCGCCTGATTACTCCATGCTGCGCGGCTTATCCGTGCACGTCGTGAAACCCTTTTCTTTGATCCTGTTGACCGTGATTGTGCCGCCTTTTCACGCCCTCGCCCACTTGTTTTTTTCTTCCCCAGCAACCACAAAATCTGCAGCTCCCGATTTCCCGCCCGACACAGCCATCTTCCAACCCCACACATTTCCCCCTAGCCTGCCGCCAGCCGCCAGCGCCCGTCCCGCCGGAAATCTCCACCACCAGCGTACAGATTTTTTCCCTTTTTTTCCAGGCTGCTTTGCTCTTGCCTGCCGCCCAACTGCCCCATAGCCCCGCTTCCCTTCCGCCGGTAGGAAACCCCGTTTTTTACAGCACCCCGTCCGCCAGTCCCCCCTCCTGGATCCCCGCCGGCACTGGTCTTTTTTTATTTTTCCCGCTCACTGCCACAAAAGCAGAACGCCCCACGGTTTTCCGGCCTCACCACCCACAGGTCACGTGCACCCCCTGTTGACCCCCCAGGATGCCCAAGCGCTCACAGCCCACACTGCCCCGCGTCAAGAAAGCCCGCCGCCACCTGCGCCAGAACCTGGGCCTGGCCGGTGAGCATGCCTACGCCACCAAAGCCAGCGACACGTGGATGGCACTCGGGTCGTGCGCCGCGTCCATGGCCATCCACGCCTTGGCCCTCAAGGCTTACGAGGCTGCGCTTTCCCACACACCCGGGCGGCTCCCGGCGTTGCTCGGGTGGTCGCACCTGCTACGCATGAACGACGTGGCGTGCAACGAGACCGTCGGATGCCAAGCCGCGTTGCTGCGGCTCACGCAGGCTGCAGACCGGTTCCCGGAACTTCCCAAGTCCGCGGACTTCTTCAAAGAGCTTGCTGAGTGCTACCTCCTCGTGAACTTGAACGACCCGGCGCTGCAGGCCATCCAGCAAGCCATCCAGCTACAGCCGCACGACGCGTCGCTCTTTCTTCTTCTGGCGCAGGCGCTCATTCGCATGGGCTTGCGTGCCCAGGCCGCGCTGCTGTTGCTGCACTGCCTCAAGCTCTTGCCCAAATCCTTGTCGCTCTTTTCGGCGTCCGATGTCGAGACAGCACGCACCGCGCACGCGGAGCTCGCGGCCATAGCAGCGGCGGACGGCAACATCGAGGCGCTGATCAACGAGTTGACCGCCACGTTGATGTTGCCGCCGCCGCTGTTGGCCCGCGTCAACGAGCACATTGCGCTCTGGTGTGCTTTGGCCACGGCTTTGGAGCGCGCCAACAAGATCCCCGAAGCCTTGGACGCATGCGAGCGCGCCGAGCTCGCGGTGGGCCTGCTGCCACGCATCCTCATCACCCACGCATACTTGCTCTTGCTCGACGAGCTGCGGCCGCGCGCCGAGCGGGCCATGGCGCTCTTGACCCGGGTCGTGAAGACCGAGCCCCAGGCTGCCGCGCGGCCCAAGGACGCCGACCCACAGGACCCGGCCGCTGCAGAGGACTCGCTGGGCGACTTCTTGCCGTGGTGCCTCTTGGGCAAAGCCTACACTTTGCTCGACTCGCCACGCGCCGCGTACGATGCTTACCAGATCGCATTGCGCCGCGCGGACGGCCTGCCCATCACCTGGTTGGCCGTGGGCAAGTTGTACTTGGAGTTGAAACAGCTCCCGGACGCGTTGGCAGCGTACTCGCAGGCATTGCGGCTCCAGTTGAATGAGAATTCGCCGGGCACCGCCGCGGCCTGGGACGGCTTGAGCTGTGTCTACGAGCGTTGTGACGACCAGCTCGGCGACGCCGCGGACGCATGCCTGCGTGCCGCCTTGTGCTTCCAGGCCTATGGCGACGCTAAAAGCGCCGAGTTCTACGAGAACAGGGCCAAGAACCTTCGCCTTGCCGCTCTGGGCAAGGCGCCCGTGCCCGACTGGAGCGAGCCCGTGGGCGTACCCAACTACTTCCTCCGCGACCTTGTCAACTTGTTGCCCACTGAGCGCATTGCCTTCGTCAAGAGCATACACAAGACCGACGCGACTGATGGCGGCCCGCCCAAGCCGCAGCCCGGCTCGCCCAACACGGCCGAGCGCAAGCCCGACCCGCCAACACCACGCCTGGCGGTCGAGCCGCCTCTGTACGCTGACCAGGGATATCAGGCCCGTGGGCCGGCGCCCTACGGTGGGCGGCAGCTGCACCCATACGATGCCGTGCCCCGAGGCTCGCCCGCCACCGCCACAATCAACACGCCGCCGCCCGGCCAGCCGCTCTATCCTCATCCCGGGACGCCTTCGCATGTTATGCAGGGTTCTCATGAGAACCTGGCCGGCCCACAGCACGCATATGCTCTCGCACCGCCTTTCAAACAGGACGCTAAACTGCCGGCACCCACAGCCCAGCATATCCAGCACCCATCAAGACAATATTGGCTGGGGCCTGAGCAGGCAGCCAGCCCGGCCCACCCCATGGTTCGCGTCATGCCTCCATATCCCGCCCATTACGGACCTCCGCCTTCCACGATGATGTCGCCCCCTTTGGCCGCCCAAGGTCCAGTGAACGATGCTCGCCGTTCCCCAGTCGCGCTCCCACAGATGCCAGCAGAGGGATATCCTGTCGCAATGCCGCCAGGATACGCCTACGGACAGTACATGCCCATGCATGCGGGCATGGTGGCACAAGCGCCACCCTACGGACCCACACACTGGCGCCGTTAGTCGGCCATCACAATGCATGCTCAATTCACGACTATCATCTGGCAATTAAACCGCCATCACCAAGCGTCTTTTATCTCAGTTGTCTCTTTGACAGTATGCACCATGGTTTCATAACACTTCCATTCAAATATCTCTGATTTATAGTACGATGACTGTTAACACTATGAATTAATCTGTCCTTGGGGTTACTTGACGACATCAGAAGTCCGATGGCATACCAGCTCACCGGTGCCACGCTGCGGCCAATTCGTGCCACGTCGCCTCAAATACTTTCGGTACTTGTGAATATAATCCAACAGAATCTGGCGACCTGAAATCACTTTCCAACATGTAGACTTCCGCAAGCAGGCCGAGCACTGTCCTTGCTCGTCCCCCTGTAATAACCCCGCCGTAGTCGGCCTTGAGGATCGGCAACACGTCTCCTGAACTGTCACCAAAATAGAAAAGATTCAGGGCTGGGTGCAACGAGCGTATGCGTGCAAGCTCCATTGCTTTGTCATATCCAGTACGAATATCGCACCGCCGGTCGAATTTGCCCGTGGTGATATCCTCGGCATCCACCTCAAAATCATTCGCCAACACGGTCACATGCCGGACACCGTGGAACTCCAACACCCATTCAATAAGCCTACGGCACCAGTTCACGCTCAATACATAGACCGGACACCCGGCGCTTTTCACGAAATCTACAAACCCGGGGCGGAGCTCAACTTTCGGCACTAAATCACGAAGCTTCCCGATCGGGAAGCCCTTAAAATACCCCGTTTCTTCAAGGGCACGGATCGAGGTGTATTCGACCGCCCGCATGCCTTGTTGGAATTTCTCCTCGGCAATCACGGAGTCCCGCCGGCCGCACCCGCTAGCCTCTTGGGCAATATACGCCAGATACGCATCGAGGTAAATCTGAGAAAAGTGAGTAAAAGGAGGCACGGCGTCCCGGTCTCGGCGGCTTGCGGCCAGGGCAATGAGAGCCGTGGTATCAGCCATCGTGGCTGTCTCATCCCAATCAGTGATAAAAATACGCCCGCTCATTCCACCAATCTTACGTATGCGTGGCACCTAGAGCTGCGCCAACATCGGGAATTCTGTCTCCCGACGCACGGCCATGCTCGTTTCGAGCTTGCGCATAAAGCAGCGGCACCAGGGTGCATGAATTGCCTGCGTAATCTTACTCGGCAATTCGCCTTCGGTGCTCCGATTTACGTTTTTTTTTTTTTAAAAAAAGGATGCGACGTTGGCACTAGCAATGTTCTGGTCCACTATAAAATGATCTGTTCTCGCTGCTGCTGGCCGTCCCAGGCATATCGAATTTGACAATGGCACAAACTCTCGGCGAATTGGGCTACGTGAAGTCTGATAAGTTTACGGAGGAAGTCCAAGAAAATTTAAGTGCGAACCAGCTCAGTGACATCGACGTGGTTCCCGAAAAGCATGGCAACCAACGGACCTGCAAAATCATATCCCACAAAGACGGAGACAAAAAGGGCCACGAAATTGTTCTGCCTAGCGAGATGAGTGACAGAATCGAAAACGACAAAAACGCTGCTGCAAAACTTGACGGGAAGACGGAGGACAACAAGGGCAAATTCGAGGGCAAGACCGAAGGGAACGTCGGTAAGTTTGAGGGTAAGACCGAGGGCATAACTGAAGGGAGTGTCGATAAATTTGAGGGTAAGACCCAGTGCAAGACCGAAGGTAAAATTGAAGGAAAATCCGAAGGTAAGTTTGAGGGGAAAACAGAAGGTAAATTTGAGGGAAAAACCGAAGGTAAAACTGAAGGCACAACGGAGCACACTAGAAGGTAACACCCATGTTTGATGCGATGAACGCTTTTTATAAAGTCTTTTTACCCTCCGCAAAATTCTATACCTTCGCCGATCACTATCAATATTCGCTAATACATATCCGCTAAACGAAACTGGTGAATAGGTATGCTATTTCTGATTCCGAAGAACACGAAGTGTGGTTAAAAGCAACGCCCGCGGTTGTTTGCGAGCCTTAAGTCTTGGTAGAGACGAGAATCTGCAACATCCTTTAACAAATATACGTGAGTAGCAAACATACGTGAACGACAAAATCGTCCGCTCGATATAGCACAGATTCGTGTCCCAAGTTTCCAATGACTAACACATCCTTCAGTTCACACCTCACAACAGTTGTCCTGATAATAAAGCGCTAAACTCAACAAATCCTCCCAGTGTTTTCCTCATAGTTGGCTTGTTCCCATAAAGTCAAGATAGTTTTCGATGTTTCTGAAGAGACCAAGTGACAGAAAGAAGTCTATTATGTGCTGCCTATGAAAGTTGGTGGTTGAGAACTAGACGATGTTTCTCAAGACATTATGGAAAAGCTGTACTAACAGCCAGTTCTGTCTGTGATGTGGCAGAGAATCAATAAATTGTTTTGCATATCCCAAGCATGGCTAGAAATAATCTCCCAAATTTGTTCCTATCAAAAGTCTGTCAAAATGATGTTTGACTTCACGTTAATTTTTTTGAGTTGAAATCAAATAATAATTGTCGAGGTCGATGAACACAGAGAATCACAACCAAGACTCTATTTACATGGAAAGAATCCGAAACATTCTTAAACCATCATGGTATGAAAGCTTTCAATTTCATTCAGGAAAGAACTTTTCATCAAGAATTTCATCAAGAATTAGTCGATTGTGTAAAGACAATTCAATCAGACTCGAACAGGTATTGTGAAAAAAATTTGTTTGAGCTTGTGGCGCTAGCTCTTTTGTCATCGAATATGAAAATGAAAAGCGACACAGAAAAGTGATCAGTCCACTTATTAAGAATGAAACATTATCACATGCCAAACAGAACTGACAACTGCATAATTTAAAGAGAAACACATACTTATTATTTCTGCTCAAACTTCCAAGTCCCATTTCTTATAAATGATATAAAACACGGAAGTACGTGACATGCTTCCCTTAATCTTGTGCAAACCTTTATGCGCCAAGCTTATAGGACTTGGAAATTTCTCACTGTATGGACAGCTGTCCGTTTCAAGAAACTTTTGGGCAGACTAACATGCATGTCATTTAGGGAAACCCCAGTAACACTCCTGCAAAGTTTGATGCCTGTCATTTTCTTATGAACAAAGACGTATATGAGATCGTGTTTTTTCGGTCAGTTCTTTTTAAAATGAAGTTAGAATCAAAATCATCAGTTTGCTTTGATATTTACACATGATTTGGGTCAAGGATTGGAGAAGCTTTGAGTGAATTGATCCTGAGGCGCAAGTCTGCCAAAACGTCAGGCTACGGGCACAACTTTAATACTGCTGGCGCGAGTGTTTTATAGAGACTTCTTCTATTTTCAATCTAAGCATCAAAAAACTGGAGATGATAAAGTGCATATCTCATTTATTTTAAAAACGAAAACGAATTTTCTGCAAACCTTTATGCGACATATTTCGGACGCGCTTTTATTTTGATACTTGCCTACTAGCATAGGCCGCAAATTGTAAGGTTTCCTTTTGGTTATGAAAATTAGTAAAGTTTGACAAAACATTAAAGCAGTGATAAATATCAGGTATTGATCAATAATTACTGTCATTGTTGTTACGGCAGAAAACACATGAGTGCGAGCGCTCATTGAGGGAAGTGAAACAGAAGGTTGATGATACACTTTAAAAAGATTCTAATTTGTTCGAATGAAGTATTTTCATGAACTACTTCTGACTCAAGAAGTTTAAGTAAAAAGTGCCTTGATCATTGAATATTTACATGATGAACACGAACCCGATACCAACACAGTTTCCAATCGAACTGACAGGGGCAGCCCCGCATAATTTGAGAAGCAGCGGAAACATCTTTGACAAGCCTCCGCCATACAGCAGAAGAGACCAAACAGCCAGATTTTGCGAGCCAGCCAAAAGATCAAGGAACTCAAATGCATCGTGCAGCTTTATCGTTTCTATTGTCGCGATCGTGATTGTCATAGGAACAATTTTGATTATTTTACATCGTATCCGTACAAGCTCTTAAAGCATCCTTTTTAGAGCATGGTTTTGAGCGCACGACTCACAATTATCCAATGTTCTTGAACGATTTGTAAAATATACAAATGAGTGAAGTATTTCCAAGTTGCCATTTCAAGCTTTGTATTCCAATCCATCGAAAGCATCAAAAGAAGTGTTGCGCAAATCAAAGATTTCATTTACACAACCAGTTTCAACGGTTCTTGGAACCACATACTACAGATATGAAATACTAAAGACATATGATGCGAGCAACAGCCATACATCACGTCTGAGCATAGCATTGAGCCTTTTTGTTTTACTTGAACTAAGCGAGCTTTAAAAACTACCGAAACGAACAAGACGGTTCAAAAGAAATTCAGGTGGTGTCTTGATTTTCTCGAAATGAAGTGAGTCTGATATCGGCGTCGAGGACAAGTAACTACAAAATTAGAAAAGACAATGTGCATCATGGAAAGAATAGCGTTTCCAAACAAGAAGTATGTACACAATTTTTATATCCATAACAGGTAGATTTCCTGAAACGGACTCAAACCATGTGTTTATCAATATAGCTAGGTGTACTGAGCGGCGGGGAATAGAGTTCACCAGCCACTGGTCCGGAGTAGTAGCTCCTCGCCAACGCCCGCAGAATTCTACAGGGAACATTTAATTGTGTTTTGGATGAACAAATTTTATTAAGACGATAATTTTCTGAAAGATTGTGTTTAAGTGCGGAAATATGGCTTTATATAGTCGATGGCATTTCCTGTATATTGTGCTAGGTATTTGAAAATGTTCTTCCAAAGCATTTATACCCCCAAATTTGATTGCGTATCTATTTGTTATTCGTAGCTCAAAAATCTATTTTACCAGGGACTCGATGATATCAATGACCCAATAATGAGTCTTTCCTATTAATGAACCTCTGGTGATGGCATCGGGGTGCGCACGACCTCTTCACATGAATGCACATGGGTTCACCTACCATATTATTCAACCCAACAGCAAATATGAGTAAAGTACCAGCTTGGAAACGTCTTGGGCTCAAAGTAAAATCAGAGGTCACGGATGATACATTTTCTGCAACCACGCATTTCGACGGCAGCGCAATCACCAACAAAGTAGCCAAAAAACTCAACAAAAAGAGACAACTGGAGGAAGATAAAAACGACAAGACAAAAAAACCACCAAAACGAGTAAAAAAGCCAAAGACAGAACGCGGGCCTCCTCCAGAAAAAGACCAGCTTCTGTATTTGAGGCAATTTGTCCTGGACAAAGAAAATTGGAAGTTCAGCAAGCAGAAACAGAACTGGCTACTAAAAAACATCGAAAGTGTACCTGATTCCTATGAAAATGATCTAATTGCATACTTTGAAGAGATCCAGGGCGGAGCGAGAACCCGTGTTGAGACTGACTTACGTGCTGTGATCGACAAATGGAACGACTACAGCAAAAGGCTCGAAGAAAAGATTAACGCCGAATTGTATGGTGGGAAGGCTGAGAATGCTGAATCTAAATCAGAAGAAGGTGCAAAAGAAAATGTTTCGAAGACCGAAACCGAAGCTGCACCTTCCAAAGAATACGCTTTACGTTGCAAGAAATTACTTAGTGCAATGCTTGATGAGCCTGTGCATGTGGAAGGGGAAGATCAAGATCTGGCCGCACCTGATACGCCAGAGCCCTCCAATACTGAATCCAAGGAGCCTTCTTTAGCAAGTGATAGCAAGATTGAGCCTGAAGCCGAAGACAACTTGATAATAGAAGACGTGGAAGTTGAAGAATACGATCAAAAAGACACCTTCCAGGGTGAGTCTTTGGGTGCTGGGCAAGAACCTTCAGCAGACAACCATCAGGATGTGATGGAAGCCGATAAGCAAGGCTCTAAAACAGAGACGAAGCAAAACAAAAAAGATAAGAAGTCGAAGAAAGAGAAAAAGACCAAGAAGTAACAGGCCGAGCATAGTCTGGGATATCAAAAAGACAAATTCAAAACCTCATGCGTATATCATGAGCATGTATCGTGCCCTTTATAGATAGTTAAAACAAACCAGAAAGTTTTCGTGGAATTGGATTCCATGGCGAAGAACGTAAAAAATCAGTACTGCACATCCGTGCACCAAAGCGCCCCGGTGCTGCCCACACTAGTGGACCAGTGTCGGTTGCTCATATCCTCAATCTCATACAACCTACTTATGCAAACTCGAACCTGTCAGTTGTGAGTCAAGTTTAACATTCATTCAAGATCACAATCCCAGGCAAGCATTCAATCAGATCTTTGAAATCATCACGATATTATCATGGCGTCGTTTAATATGAGGCAGTTGGAAGATCGGGCCCGGGATGTCGATCCGGATCTTCGGTACATGGCCCTAGAAGATTTCCAAAAACGCTTGAATAACCCGCAAGCCCAGCCGCTGCGCAATGTGGCATTTTTTGTCCCGATTTTGTTCAGTTTGCTCGGTGACTCGGCCACCGAAGTTCAAAACCAGGCCGTGAAATCGTTCGCTCCTCTTGTGCGCCATTCCACCGATAAAGAAACTACACAAATCGTGTCAAACCTCTATAGCGAGGTGGAAAAAACATCCAACGATTCGAAATTCTCGACTTCCGTTCCCACACTTGCCTTGCGCAGTATACTCAGCGAGTCTCACGCGCTTTTCAATCCCAAGCTTTCACGCGACTTGTTTGAAATGCTTCTTCCTCGTATTTTTGCGCCTGATAGTGTCATGACCATTGACAAAATCGAAATCTTGATTGATATGATCAAGGCCTTGGGTTCGGCGCTCCGTTTGGCCGAGTTGCTGTCGATCATAAGCTCGCTCATTTCCGGTGCCTTCGTAGAGAAGGGAATCATCGGAAAAAGATCCATTATTGCTGTTGATGCATGTCTCTGCTATGTAAAGTCTGCATCACTCAATCAGGCACAGCAGACCCAGTTCTATGACAAGGTAGTGCTGGATGTTGTCGCTGAATCAGCACGACATGTAATTTCTCTGCATTCCACGGACGTGTTCTATACGCTTTTCCAGGTGATTCTTGCACAGGCAAGTAATTGTCGTGCAGTATCCGACTCTTCAATTCAGGTGATTTTCCACGAGGTCTTGCAGGGCTTGCGACTAGACCAAGTAGGTGAGACTGTGGACGCTGAGGACTTGGATATCGACGAGCTAATTCAAATAAACCTTCTCCGTGAGAACGCTTTGATTACTTTGGCCGGACTCGTGCCTTGCTTTTCCATTGATACTTTCACGCATACATATGCCTCACAAGTTTTTGAAATCTTGGACAGGTTCATGGTTTATGATCCCTTGCTCTACGAAGACTCCGACGAAGAGGCCTTTTCGGGAGAAGACTCTGAACTTGACTTTTCTGATGACGAGGATATTGAGCAGTTTGAAAATACTGGTGAAAATGATGCGCTTGCAGCAAAATTGAGGTTGCTGGCGCTTGTCGTTCTGAAAAAATTGCTCCAACACAATCCCGAAATTGCTTCGATGTTTTTGGCAGGGCCTCTTACTGAAAAACTTATAGCCAATCTTGCTGACCGGTCCGAAATAGTGTCTAGCGAGGCAATCGTCGCATTGGTGGTGCTTATACGTTTGTCTGTCGATACCAAACGCACAGTAAGATCGAGGTCCAATTCTGACACCAGCATGGCCACTGAGAGTGCTGACCACATCCCCTTCTCTGTTCTTGCAAGAGAGTATATTGAACCTATCGAGCAAAAAATATTTGCTTCACTTTTAACCGCAAAAAACATTCTGAGGTTTTCAAACTCGAAAATTCTAATTGAGTCCCTCATTTTAGGATTTTCACACGAACTTTCCGAGGATTTCTTGATCAAATTGGCTGATTCGCTCCTTACTTTCAAACTCTCGTTGAAAACATTCCCCGAAGTTGTGAAGACGTATAAAGCGTTGTTTTCAGTTTACGATTTTGAAGATTTGCCAGAGAAAATGGTGGACTATATCTCAGAAGACTTGGGTGAAGCTTTGCTTGCCCCTTCGAACTACCATAGCGTTATCTTGGATGTTCTTGTGGTATGTGAGGCTTTGTACAAAAAGGTCGCACACATTCCAAAATACAACGTTTTAATGAACACCAAGTTTTTTCCTGCCATTGCTGACAATCTCACGAATAAAGAGTACTCGAGCGATATAAGGCAATATTTGCTTGATACTTTTTCCGAGCTTATCATCCACGTTAACTTGAGCCCCGAAAACCAAAAACAGTCCAATATTATTTTTCAGCAGAGCTTGGATTATGAGGTTACTGTTAATTTCACCATCGAAACTATGGTCAAGGTGTGTGAGCAAAAGCCTGAAATTTTCAGTTATTCAGAGCTCTGCCTCGCATCACTTGAGAAACTTACAGCTTATTTGGGGTCCAGTAATGCCTCGTTATACATTTCGGCTTTAACGCTTTTAAACGCGATTTTCGAGAATACATCATTTGTTGCCCCTGCTGATGATATCAGCGCATTGAAAGACGTTCTTTTCGTGTTGATGAATTCCTCTGTTGATCTCAACCTAATTGGTAAAAGTTTCATGCTACTTGGTCATATTTTGACCAGGACTCCGGCTGATGGAAATTTCCTTCTGCTGCTCTTCACTCTGGTGATCAACACAAAATTTGTCGATGTTGAAGATGCAAATATGAAACCGCTTGAATTTTTGATCACTCAAATATCCAAGCATAACTTTGTGGGCAGTGAAAAGCTTTATGATTTTGGTATGAATCTACTTTGTTTAAAAAACTTTATCAGCGCTAAAGTCATGGCCTTGATATGCACAAATTGTCGGTTGTCAGAAAAGGTGTACGAAATTGAGAAAGAGCTTACTTCATATATTCACAATTTCGAACTTCAGGTGGATGCCAGCCGAATTGTATTTGATATACAATTCTTAGGGTATATTTCCACAGTAGAATCGTTGAAAAAGTTTACATTTCAAGAGTTTTTGGAGATCCCAAAGAGGGACACAAAAGATCACATATGTTTGGCCGCTGCAAGAGCAATGGGCTTGAGCATTGTTCGTAATCTTAACACACATCTTCCGATTCTTTTGAGCTGCTACCAAAAGGCGAGCTCTGAAGATGACCCAAACAGGTCTCTTTATTTGGTGGCATTAAAGCAGCTATTGAAAGAAGGATCGTGGGTCGATGGAGTTGATGCGCTTAGAAACATATGGGATAGTCTCATCAAAGTCATTGTCTCGAAGAGAGGTGAGCTTTCGCATAAAGAAGTGCTGGAACTAAAATTGGCGGGTGATGTTCTCAGCTCCATCACTGAGTTAGATCGAGATGGCAACTATCAGCACAAGATTTTGACGATTGTCGAGAGTCTTGATTCTAGTGCAAGGGAAGAACACATCATCTATACTGTGGTGGTGATCATGAAACGGCTTGTGGGAAAATCTACTGATGATTTTGAGGTTCACATAATCGAAAAAACGATGGAGTATCTTGCCATCAGTAATCTAGAGTTGAAACTGGCTATTGTCAGCACCTTACTCACTGGAATTTACAATAAATCGCTGTCGTTTTCTTCGATTTTGAATTCTGTGATTCTACCTGCGATCTACGAAGAACTCACTGCTAAAGTTGAATTTAGGAAGACTATTCCGATGGGTCCTTACAAGTATGTGGTTGATGAGGGACTTGAAGTGCGAAAATTGAGCTACGAGCTTATCAGTGCAATCATCAATCTCAATAGCAGCAAGGCACAAAAGGTACCTTTTATGGTTGATGAGGTGAAAGTTTTTGAAGTCTTACTGGATAAAGGCTTAAAGGATCAAGAAAATGAGATCATAAACTTGACTGTATACAACTTGATGCAGCTCATCCAAATGAACGAAAGTGTGCTAAGCAAGATAAGCAACCAGCAGGAATTGATTGTATCGCTTTCCAAAATTTTGAACCGGAAGTTGCGGAGCAAAGCCAGCACACAAGAAACAGAGAGTTACGAAGATACCTTGCGCTCGGTTATCAAACTATCAAAAGTCATGAACAGTGTTTTTGTCGCAAATAACGCTGTCAGTAGTGAGTGGAGCGGCTTCTACCACGAACTTCAAAACAAGCATCACTTGCTTTTTAGTGCAGTGAACTTCTAGTTTGGAAAAGTTTAGCTTCGAAAGATGCTGAAGAACAGTTGACTTATGCCATACGTAACCGGAAAACCAAGTCCTGCACCTCGCTGGATATTCCGTATTAGGAAACTGTGGGGAAATGTACAGCTGAGGACGAATGAAAAACAAAAGATATAAAGTAAAAGGCATGACCTCGTATATACTCGACCACTATTTATTTCAAAGGAAATACATATCCCATATTTTACAGAACATTTCAACATTCATTACATCCATTCCGCAACATGCCTTCATCTTCACTAAGTGATACATCAAATGTGACAGTTGCCACATCTTCAATCAAAGACCTTAAGTCGACCGGAGTATTGTCTGCTGTTCTCGGAAAAGCTCTAATTTTGTTTTACTTGTTCCTACTTTCAGTAACATACACTGGAAAAAAGACACTACAAGTCATCGATGGCATACTTGCCCATGTGCGCCGACATTACTCCGTTTTTCGGTCCATAATAGATTCTGCGCTTGAATTTTCGCAAAACGTGAAACATTACTTAAATCTCCTCCGAAAGTTTTTTCAATACCGCATATATAAAAACATGAATTAAATCCTACATGCCAAACTTCCCCGCTTTGTCCTGCATAGTCAGAATTCTGCATGACTGCAATGGCCGTTGAGTGACCTTGAACAGTACTTATCGGTACAGAAAGACGAGTGATGAAGCTTGGTAATTTTTCTGATCTGAGACATCTTTAAAACCTGCAAATACAAAACATTTCATCCAGATTACTTCTTTTGAAAAAGAAAGTAACAAATAAGAGAGAAAAACCAGCTAAAATGAAAATGAAAAGAATCAACCGTTCATGTCGGAGTTAGCATGGGTGTGCAACATTTCTCTTCTTTTTCCAAATCAGCAAACTAACTTTCAAAAATGTTTACACTCTCGATTCTCCAAATTTTGCATCGCTATACTACCTGGGGAAATTAGGAAACATTGAGGCCCCGATGAAGTTCATCGAATTCCTCTATTCGTATCCGATTGTGCCGCTTGTAATTGATCGATACATCCGTCTGGGATTATAGAAAACGACAAAATATACGCGTGTATCCAATCACGAACCCGTGCACTGTGCTTGTAAGGATATGATATTTTATGCACTTTGCCTATAAAGTCAATGTATTGCTACTTTCCCTTATGCAAAATGTTTTTATGTACTCAAGGATAAGCAAACGTGCCTTCTCGGTTGTCTTGCCACAAATCTGAGTTTGCAAAACCATTGAGTATGCAAAACTCTCATCTTTGTTCCAGAAACAAAGCTCGTTCTCCTTTCTTCGTGACGAATTAAACTGTCTCATTCAGTCATTCGTTGATGTATTGGGACTTGTTTCTCCTGTTACGTGTTTTTTTTTTTTTTTAATTTCAGACTATTCTACAAGAGCAAAGTTCACATTTGCTTGAAGTAAATAATGACGCTCATGTTGATTCCGAGAAAAACACCTTGCATAAACCCTCTTTCATTTAAGCGACTTTTCTAATGCCACTTACAGTTGTGTAAATCTAGTTCTCGCTTTTCTGGGGTATCTTGTTCCATTGAGTGATTAAAGTCGCCACGCCATAAAAGATAATGTCGAGATTCGGATGTAAATTTTCAACAAACTCGTAGCACAGACTGATGTCCCGAAATGTGTCTCAAGATGCTTATTTGATGAAAAGAAATATCAGCTTGGGGGACAAGTGTGGCCCTGGTACTGTCTTGATTCTTGAGAAGCTAATTCCTTTTATCAAGCCAGTTGTGCCCTTTAGATGTGGCGAAATTTTGTGGCATGACATTTATGTTTCCCGATTCTACTTTATTGATGTGGTGAAGCTTTCGGATTCCAAGGAATTGAGTATATCTTCTTTTTTGGTGGATTTGTTTTATTCATCTAATTAAAGAAAAAATACAAAACTATACAATATAATGTATACAGAAAACATTTGAACAAATCAAGTGTTCAAGAAAAGGAGATAATCTTCGTCATCACACAAACAAGGTCAGCAACAACACCAAGACATTCAATCTTGTACTCAACTATTCACAGCCAAAAGGGTTCAGTCACCACTAACCCACCATCACCTATGAAGCGAATACCTTCCTTTTTTTTTTTTTGGTTAGATTCACCTCCCTCTGATTTTTTATTTGGTTATTTCTCAATATCAAACTAAAAATAGCTTAATGTATAATACACGCAACATTTGAAGATAACCTAAACGTTTTGAAGCAATCACAGACATTTCATCTCATTGCATTTGTGTTGTCATATACTCAATTCAACGATCCGTTTTCAAATCGGGCGTGTGGTCTAGTGGTATGATTCTCGCTTTGGGCTTATGATTCGGTTATCCCGAAGCATAGACAAACTTGTGAGAGGTCCTGGGTTCAATTCCCAGTATGCCCCGATTTCTTTTTTTTGCATTCTCTCCAAAATGAAAGGCCCTATTTTCATGTGTGGTAAAAGCATATATATTTTGAATATCGGTCTTATTTGCGTCTTTAATCAAATGAATCTAACAAAAGAAACAAAAATTAAAAGGGGAACTGGTCTAAGAAGTCTCACTTTATACAAGGTTCCGGTGTGCAGTCCCCGAAGTCGATGTCACGAAGGCTGTACTCAGTAAACCGAATTTGGGCCGGATAACAAACTCTTCGGTGATGATGATCTCCTTGAATATATCTTTATGTTTGACTTAATGACGAATATAATAATTTTGCTCTATAGAAAGCACTCAGTTCTCTTGGGCAAGCTCCGACCTAACCCAGCCCTCAAGACCGCCCTTGACAATGATGTCCTGTAAATTCGTGCCCAACTCTCCCACTTTTTGCTGTAAAACAACGTTGCCCTTTGAATCTGACACAGTAACAAGGGCCTTAGTCACGTCGTACTTCAAGAACCAGCCAGTGCGAATGGTCAATTCGTTAGAGCCTTGGTGCTTTTCTCTGAGCATATTGATGAGCGCAGGGATCTCCAAAGTCAATAAAGCGTTGTTGATAGAGTTTCTCGAGAAAATGTTTCCGAAAGATCCAGCGACAACCATTTTCATTCCTTTCGCCAATATGGCCGTGGCAGCTTGTTCTCTTGAAGAACCGGTGCCAAAGTTGTAGCCAGAAATGATGATATCGCTAGACTTGGTCTTGTCTTTGAATTCGGCGTCGTAGTTTTCCATGCACACCTCAGCCATCATCTCCTTGGAAATGTCGTCCTGATATGTGTATTTACCAGGATAGATGCCGTCGGTGTTGATGTTGTCAGCGTCGCACAAGATCAACTCACCTTCGATTGATTTTGGGAATCCATCCAAGACCTCGACAGCCGACTCGGCGTCTCCAGAAACTTCAGGTGCGGTGATGTCGAGTGATTTGACAATCTCCTCATTGGCCTTGACTGGTCTGCCGGCTAATTCTTCGGGCCCTCCGATTCTGCCTAAAACAGCAGAGGCGGCAACCACCTCGGGAGAAGCCAAGTATGCCAAGGCATCCTTCGAGCCCATGCGGCCCTTGAAGTTTCTGTTGGTGGCGGAAATGCCGACTTCCCCGTCCTCCAACAAGCCTTTTCCTAACCCAATACATGGCCCGCATCCGGCAGGAAGCGGCATTGCGCCTGCGTCCAAGATGTCTTTCCAGTAACCAGCAGTCTCTGCGTCTTTCTGCACGTTTGAAGAGGCTGCAGCCACATAGAACTCGACTCCGGCGGCCACCTTGTGGCCTTTGATGATTTCGGCAGCAGCCTTGATATCACTGAGTCTCGAGTTCGTGCACGATACCAAGTAGGCCTTGTTGATCTTGATATCCTGTTGGACCAAGTCGTAAAGTGAGTTGGACACTTTCACGGAGTTTGGGCCCGAAATGTAAGGCGAGAGGGAAGACAAGTCCACGGTCAAGTTCTTGGCGTACACAGCATCGGCGTCAGAGGCCACAAGATTCTTCTCCAAGTTCGCTACGGTCTCTGGGTTGACACGTGGGTGTGGTTGCGGCAATTTGGTGAGCCTGTCTTTGTAGAAGTCAACCAAGACCTCATCGACGGGGAAAAGGCCCGACAACGCGCCCCATTCCGTAGTCATGTTGGCGATGGTCAATCTGTAGTCGACGGGCAATTTCTTGACACCGTCACCCACAAACTCGATCGCATGGTTGAGAACCTCGTCTTTGTTGAAGATACCACAGAGGGCCACAATCACGTCCTTTCCTGTGACGCCCTTCTGCAACTCGCCCGTGAGTTCGACCTTGGCCACAGGTGGAATTTGCCACCAGGTCTGGCCCGTGGCCCAGATGGACGCCGCATCCGTGCGCACAATTGGGGTTCCCAAAGCACCAATTCCACCGTATGTGTTCGAATGGGAGTCAGACGCCACACTCAAGTTCATGGGGAAAGCATATCCCTCCTCTATCATGATCTGGTGGCCAATGCCTCGGCCTGCGGGATAGAAGTCGATGCCTTGCTCCTTTGCAAAGTTCTCGATATTGCGGTACTTTTCCAAGTTCTTCTCCGTCTTGTTCTGCACGTCGTGGTCCAACGTGCACACAATCTGGCGGTTGTCCTTGACTTTCGAGGCACCCAAGCCCATGAACTTGGTAGCCACAGGCCACGAGTTGTCATGTGACATGCAGTGCGCAGGCTTGATGGTTACATAGTCCCCACTGAATACCTGCTTCCCGGGAGCAAGGCCCACGGCGTATTTCTGCACGATTTTCTCGGTTAGGTTCTGGCCCCGGCGAAGGGCCGCCGATGTGGCAAAGTGGCGTGCGCTGGAGGCACGGAGCTTCCATGAATTTAGCATCGACATGGCAAAAACAAATCCTAGCTTGTTTTGTTTGTTTCAAAGAGACCCAGTTTTTTTTTGGCCGATGCACGTTGTGAAAAATTTGTCTGGTGCCGACGCTAACCATGCACCTGCATCGACCGATAACGAAACCTGGAGTGAGATGACTGATTGCGGGACAATGAGTCAGAACCTTAATGCCGCGTTTCATTGGACGCGCCGCACACGACCGCCACCGTACCCATGGGTCACGTGAGAAATGAAGGATGTCTCCGTTTTACAGATATCAGCGTTTTACAGATATCAGGAGCGAAAACCATACGCTGGGCTGGTTTTGTTTCATGGAATCTTACCCTTATCGCTTTAATGCGAGACGCAGCTCACAATTGCTGGCATCGTGAAGCTGAGGGGTGTGATGTGGCACTTGCAAGCACCGACAACCAGTCATGTTCTTGCGTGCATTAACATTTTATAGTCCCTTCTTTCGTTTGAGGGATGTGACTTGCTTAGATAATCAGAGCCATGTCTTGTGATTTTCCCTGGCAAGCGTGTGTTATTTTTCCGGCTCTCCTCTACGTCTTCTATATTTCGCCATTTGACGCGATTATTTATCGAGTCGTGCTTTCTTAGCGACCCTTTCATCGACAACATAATCTTATGAACAACTACAAACACAAGAATTCTACCAAACACAAAACATCCATCTTCTTTCCACACACATAAAACCTTTTTGAATCTGGGAAAGCGAAAGATCCATATGAATCCAGGTTGGTGCACGCTTCGCGAATATGTTGTTGGGAACGGAAATAATATGCCACGAATGAAACAAATGAGGTCTCGGTATGCTTCCAGTCGAGGTCAAGAATGCGGGTGCTAACGGCTGCTTGACAAAAAATTATCAAAACCGTTGTTGAATGAGCCCGCTTAGGGGTAATTTCCCCAGCTTGGAAGCATTAAAGCGAAAGTTATGACACACATTGGCACACTTTTCAGCTTCAAAGAGGTTAAGTCAAGTCCAGGAGTTTCTTTTGATACCTCGGGTGAATCTTGGCGAATATTGGCTGGATCAGATATACCCCAATATATTTGCAACTATTTGAATGAGGAACGCCGCTGGCTTTAAATCAACAAAAGTAAAGGACGGGACGCCAAGACATTCCAATTTTTCTGAAGGCAGGAATTGGTCTTTGAGCAGTACTTGGGCGCTCGATGTTAACCGACTGTGGATATCACAAGCACGTTAATAAACATCAACCATCAATACCCCAGATCCGAAATGCGGTGTACGGGTCTTCTGCTATGGTCTGCGGCACACACCTGAAACGGTCCATCGGGCTGGTTGAACACTAAATTTTCCATGTTTTTCAATTTACTCGTGGGTGCCGTCGTGGCAAGTCTCTATGTTGCCGCTATCAAATTATCCGTACCTGTGCATGTGGTGCATCTAGAACGGAGCAACCCAATCGTGATCAGGTTCCGTATACGGCGTATTTTTGTTCTATGTGGAATTCTCCTTTTTGCAATTCCAGTGCTTTCAGTTCAATTAAATGGAGCAAGTACCTATGGACAAGCACTCCGAAACATGGGTTTATTTCCTGGGTTTACAAGCAGTCATGATTTTGTAGGCGATGTGATGGGCATTGTAATCGCATGGCTAAAAATTGCCTCGCTATACATCGGGCCAATCTGCGCCTACTTCTACATCGACGCACAAGGCTGGCGTGCTGATTTCCAAGCGAATTTCTGCACACTTGCTGGGATCAGGGATCACGTGTTCGCCCCGATAACTGAAGAGTTTGTGTATAGGGCTGCATTGGTGGCGGTGCTTGCGCCCGTCCTACTGGAAAATAGTCTCATCTTCTATTCTCCTCTTCTTTTTGGTCTTGCACACGTGCACCACGGAATCAACTTATATTGCCAGGAACAAGTGCCTTTAATATCTGCGATAGCAGCTTCTACGTTTCAACTAGTGTACACGACTGCTTTCGGGATTTTGGCCAACCTATTTTATGTGAGGTCCGGGTATAATTTATGGTGCCCGATTGTGGTTCACGCGACGTGCAATTTGTTGGGGTTCCCGTCATTTGAAATGAAACACACACACCCCAGATTCTTCTATGTTTACTGTGTGTTGTTGGTATTCGGAATAGTGGCATTCTGGAAGCTCATCTAGTACCTCTTGTTCTGTCTGCTCGCCTCTCATTGATTGAGACGCAATACTCACTACTGAACTTGGCTGATCATCTTGTGTATACCTACACGATGAACGCACCTGTTTGGTTAGAACACAAGCGCAAAGTTTTCAAGGATCGATTTTTTGGACCCCCAGGGAATCTCACCAAAACGACAGTTTTGAGAGCAGATCGGGCTTGAAGAAGTGTCCATATAATTGGCCTGGGCAACTCCAGAAAGTGGGGCCGCACCTAGATTGTCAAGTTATTAGACAATTTTATATGTGGGCGCCAGAACCACACCCATGTTCTTGGAGTTGCGCGGTTGTTCGAAGTAAACATCTGGTCGGCTACTGGTTCTGGTACAAGGATGAAGCTGGAATTTCACTAAATTGCGAAGTGCTTTTGCCCGTCCGCCGTGGATCACGAAAGTACCATTCATCATGAACTAAAGAAAATCAAATGTCCATGCGAAGTTGCAACGGAAGAGACAAAGAAAGAGATTCCCAAAATCCCTCAGCTCATTTGGTACCGGCTGTGCTTTAGTTCGGGGAACACGTGTTGGGAAAGACGTTTACGGAAGGTGGGGCAAAGCACTGCTCGGCCTGCTGCAGGTGTAGGAGGAGCATTTCGGAAATTGGAGATATTGGCCTGGGTGCAGGTCACGTGCGTTCTGGTTTATTGGGGTTTCGCAGCCCCATGATAGCGACTCCGGGCGGGGCGAGAACGGCGCCCGCTGTTCGAATTAGAACCGGCGCTTACAATGTATGTAATCAGAATATAGAAGGAATCAGGCCTTTGACTTAAGATTCGAGAGGAGTACGCTGCATCGCGGCTCTTGGTGTGTATTTCGATGGGTCTAGTGAAGACGTGAGTGGGCTACTATGAGCCCGCACATATACAGCAACGATTGATGGAAAGCAGGCTCTGTGTTGACCTACGAACGCCCTGGGCTTTCTTGTCGAGGACTTTGCCCCAGGCGTCTGAAAAAATTCATAGGCAAGCCTGGGTGTGTCCAGAAAAATGTTCTACGTGTTTAAGAACTATGTGCAATCACTGGGGTTAGCCGCTCAGCGAACACTGGCGATCGGCCCGGCCGATACTGGCCTACCCACCAAGCAAAAGTGGGTGGCCCCCCCCAGCAAAGAAAGGAGCCACACCCAGAAAAATTCGGATGGCCAAAAACACCAAGTGCCAGCACTTCCTCCACAAATTCGGGCTGCGATTCCAGGGCCCAGAAACAAGCCCTCTAGTGGTTCGCAGGTGACGGCAAGCCTGGCAGAAAAATGGCACCGCAGCACATGGCGGATTGTCGCGGCACAGGCTACATGGGCCCGCCAGCCCTGGCAAGTACTGCAGGCGCACGGGGCATGGAGGCACTTGGACGAGACCAAGGGATTGCAGGTCTTTTTTTTTTCTCTCTCGAAAAATTAGCGGCTGCCCAGGAAAGTCCAGCCCGACAGCAGGTCCAAGTTTCCCCGCGGGGCCAGGCCCAGAAGCAGCTGCGAAATAGGCCCTAATTTCGTACCCGAGTTCTGGGAGATTCCCTTTCCCTCGGCCCCCTAATAATAGAGGAGTTAAATCAGGTCTAACTTGGAGGCGGGGCTCGACTAACCCATGTTCATCTGCTGTTAACCCATGTTCATCTGCGGCTGGCATGGAACCTGTCCCCACTTCAGTTTCCAAAGTTCTCATTGGAATATTTGCTGGGGCCGCACTGGCCCTGGGGCCCACACTAGGGCGCACTGAAAAACGTGATTTGCGATTTGCAGGACGCGGATCGCAGGCCCGCTCACCTCTGATCTGTCCAGATCACCGCTTCCACCACCAACGTTTCCATCCAGGACCCCTGAAAAAGTACCACCAAAAGCCACGAGCACACCAGCAAAACACAACCCTTCAGCTGCCCGCCCCTCTGCTGCAGACCACACGCTCTTTGGACCCCCTCGCCGCGGCTTCTGGACCAGCATACATGTGCCACGCATAGCGACCCTGGCCCTCAACAGACACGCGAGAACACCCACCGCCAGCGCCAGAAATTAGCGCACTCCCCCCCCACATCCCGCCACGCCATGCCGCCTACACGCCTGAGGTCGCTGTCGACCTCGCCGGCGAAGAACACGCCGGAAAACTACCAGCTGGCCGCGCGGCAAATCGAGCAGGAGAAGCAGATGGTCGCGGCGCTCAAGAGGCTCCTGTTCGGCGCCTTGATGAACCTCGACCCCGACATCCCGGCCCTGGATGCGTCACTCCTGTTTCTCGTGGACCGTCAGCTCGCGAGCGGGTCGCAGAACGGGCCACCCGGCGACACGCACCACGAGACACGGAGCGACACGCACCACGAGCCCCTCACGCCGAATTCCACCGGCCTGCCGCCCCCGTCCCAAGACCGTCCCGCTGATGGGGCCTCGCTGCCCGCGCTGGCACTCTCGCTGCGAGCCTCGTTGGACGGCCCGCTGCCCGAAGACACCCTGCGCTCATCCATGGACGACGAGCCACACTCGCAGGAGTTGCTCTGGGTGCCGGCCAGCGTGCATCCCGAGGTGGACGCCCAGCAGTTCCAGACGCACGTGAAGACGACGCTTGGCGGGCTCTTGGAGCGCCGCTTGTCACGCCTGAAGTCCGTGGGCCGCCTGCGGCGCTCGTCGCTCTACTTCTCCACGACCGACGACGAGTTGCTCGGCGAGACGCAGCCGTCCGATGGCACCGGCACAGTTGCTGACAGCCAGCATAGCCAAAACATCCAGACCAGCCAGCACAACGCGGCCGAATCTGCCGACCCACGCGCGCGCAACCGCCTCAGCAACCCGTCCTTGAGTAGGTTGACCTCCGAGCTCCAGACCATGTCGCGCTTGGCCGGCATGGACTCCAGTGACGCCGTCACATTGGCACGCTCGTTGTCCACGTCCTCATTGGGCTACAGCGACGTCGAGCGCACAGCCATCGACGACTTGGAGCTTGCCAGCAGCTTCCACGCGGACATGATTACCTCTCCTTACGCCGACCCCGGGGACCACCTCCAAGGCGACAAAATGGGCGCCCCACAACCCAGGCACCCAGCGGCAGCCGGCGCGGCACGTTCCCATCGCGGCGAGTCGCCGCATCGCTTTTCCCAGCACGGGAACAGCGCGTTTGGGCCCACGCCGGGCCACGGGCTGCCGGAAGGCGGCAGTTTCTCGCTCCGCCGCACCCGCCGCGTGGGCTACCGCCGCGGCCCCGCCGCGGTCCCCCCGGGCTCGCTGCGCCAGAGCAACAAGGCAGGCAAATTGGCACAGCTCCGCCACAAGATCTCGACCCCCAGCTTGCAGCACTCAGCCTCGCAGGACCTGGCCAGAGACCGGTCCGCGGACCAGCACGTGGACTCAAACCTGCGTGCGAGCATGCAGAGCATCAATCCCCGCAGCTCGCAAGTGCTATTCAGTTACAAGGTGCCCGTCCAGCAGGCCTCCTCCGGGCACTCCAAGAGCGTGCCCTCGAGGCCGGTACTGGCTCAACTGACAACAGCTCCGTTGATCGGGCTCTCGCCCAAAGACTCGCCATATCTGAGCGCCATGACTTCCGACGCGCTCGGCCGCAACCTTCACCCGACCAAGTATGCCCAGCACAACTTGACGTCCAAGTCTTTGGGCCACCAGGCAGCCGTGACACTGCCAATGCAAATCGATGGTAGTAAGTCTCCCCGCCTCGGACATCGCAGCAGCTCGCGTGAGCACGAGCAGAAGGCCCAGTATAAATTGGTGGCCGGCTCTCCGCAACCTGGGCCCCGGAAGTCTCACGCGTCGCACGCTGGCATCCGACAAGCCTCCCCAACGTTGTCCCTGGCTCCGGTTCTGTCTACTAGGATTTCTTCCCGGGAGAGCCCCGTTGAAGCCCAGGGCCACTGGGCTGACCAAAAAGGCATGATGCGGAACGGCTCTTCAGTCAGCTTACCAGCGGGCTCGCCGACTTACCAAATATCGCCCACAACTTTTGGTGGTGAGACATTTGAGACATTCAACTCCCGGTCTATAAGTAAACGCGACAAAACCCGTGAGCTCAACCAGAATTTGGATTTATTGCGGAACGAAATCAACGAGTTTAAGGAGAGCTTGGCAACGAAGATCGACCCTAAGAAGCCGAAGCAAGAGTTTCCCAGTACAAAGGACAACAAACCAAGAGCGGAGCAGACTGATTTCAGCTTCGATCTTACCCACCAAGATGTCAGTTTCGAGGATAGCTTGGCAATTGAAGGCGATGTTCTTGCAGAATTGGCTTCTTCCGAGGAGTTGCCCCGAGAGACAGCCGGCGTGGAGTCAGTTCAAAATTTGACTGTCTTTGATGAGCCAAAACAAGATGAGATAGTGTCCGTCCCGGAAAGTGCCGACATGAAAGCGTCGCCATTCAGAGATGCTGTGACACATGAAACATCCCTTCCAGTGGAAATTTCCCTACTTGAAAGACAAGAGAAGGCAAATGACAAATCAGTTGAGCCCCAGGCCGGCGGAGATTGGGAGACAAATATCTCCATTGTGAGGAATCCGCACTATGATCAATCTGTTGAAGTGGTCCAGCTTAATGACGAACCACAGTCCATTGATACTAATAGGTCTAATGGAGAGATTCAAACTACTGAGGAAATTTCTTTTGGCGAGGGTATTCTTTACGAAGAAAAAAGGCAGTCATTCGAGAAGTTCAAGCAAAAAGCTTCAAGTGAGTCCACAAGTAGTCAGAGGAACAGCCAAGAGAAAGGTCTTCTGAAACATGAGAACTTACACACCAAACACCTTGGGTCCAAGCAGGATAATCATCATGAACCGCTCATACAAAACCCAAATGATTTAGCGTCACTCGGCGAGGTGACAAGGCAAAGTACCATAGAAAGTTGGCAAAGTTCCGAAAAAGAAAACAAGAATGCTTCTTTGGACCTGTCTATGAAAAAAACAAGAGCTTCTCCTAAAAAGAAAATTAAAAAGAATTGGCCGTGGTCGAAAGAAAAGACCGCCAGTTTGAAAATACAAAAAAGCGCCTCGAGGGACATGCACAATCCCCCAGTGAGATCAGTGTCTTCCCCCGAGATATTGAGCTCAAACAAAAGCCTGTCTGCTAAGGAAGAAATCTCAGGAAAAGAAAATGCGATCGCCAAGTTTTTTAAAAAGAGAAGAAGTAGTTCTGCCTCTCATGAAAAGCTGAGCTCTGACGTACATCTGACAGAGAGCGCTGACTACCCAGCAAGGGAGCCACTGAACCAATCGGATCCAAAAGCGGGAAGCAAGCGAAACTCGAGAAGTAGCGAGAGAAGAGAATCAGCAGAGGATGTGTCTCGTGTCTTCGGCAACAAGGAGCTCAAGCGGGAGAACCTGGATGAAGATGGAAAGCTAACGGACGATAATAGAGTCACATCTCGGATCAAAAACCGCATCAAGAATATGAAGAAGATACACGAGGAGAAGGAAGTAAAGCCGGAAGAGCCTGCCATTCCAGAAGAGGAGAACACTGAAGACGACGATAAACCCAAGTCAACGGTTGAAGTGCAAGAGAAACTCAAGAAGTATATCAAAAGATACTCGAGGCCAAATCAGCCACTCGAGTTCACTGACTCGGCTTTTGGATTTCCATTACCTCCGCCATCCAGCTCGACATTGGTGATGATTGACTACAGATTCCCAGTTCATGTAGAGCGTGCAATTTACAGATTATCACACTTGAAGCTCGCGAACCCTAAAAGGTCGCTAAGAGAACAAGTGATATTATCAAACTTCATGTACGCATACTTGAACTTGGTGGACCACACCTTACACCTTGAGCAGCAAATGACGCTGGAAGATTGTGACATGGAGCAGCCTGAGGGCGATCTTGATTTTTTGGGAGATCAGGACATTGATACAGAGTTTGAAGCTGATGACGGATTCGAGGAAAGTGATTTTGATTCCATCAAAATAGACTTGGACGTCAAAGATACCCAAATCAGCGTCTGAACCCTGTAGGGTATATAGTCGCAGTACAACCCAATGAAAACATAAAGACTACGCAAACATTATTTGTTGCTCCGAGCCCTTTCGGAATTCTGAAATGTACAAAAACCGGGAGTAAATGCCCGAGTCCCTAGCGACCAATCAGCTTCTCAAGTGAAAGCTTATGGCTCGTCTCCTAGCCGGCAGTACTGCCCTATTGTGACTGCTTACAAATCTCCCTGCTGTGAGCTTACTTACACGACAAGCCACACAGCAAGTGCCAGCCAGGAACGTTTTTTTTTCCGCTACATGATTGTTTTAGTGCGCCGTTCCGTATTTTCCCGACTGAGCCGCACCATGTAGAATCTCTTCAGCTGTACGACAGATCAAATCAACACCGCGGCCTGCTGCGTAATGTGTAAAAAGATTTAAAGAACCAAGCATTAAATTAGAGATGAGTACGAGAACAGGAGGGGGACACAAAAAATGCAAATAAAAAGTGCAGAATCAGATGGTAGTAGCTCGAAGTATGGCTGGATGACGTGAACATTCGGTAATTTGAAGGTCGTTGATTTGCCTGATTCTAGCGTCGAGCATCCACGGCACCTGTCTGCATATAAACAAGCACCGGGGAATCAGGTGACATTCCTCCATCACGCGGAACAGCGAACAACCAAATTAGGCATCGTGCTGCCGAAAACCAAAAATACCCCGGGAATATTGCTTTCATTTCATACAATCCACGACGCCAGCACGGAAGTTGCTGACATTTCAGTGAGCATGTATAGGCGACCTTTGGCCCACGTTGGTTTCTATGGAATTTATGTATGACACCGTGGCTTTACATGATTGTATGATACTACTGCACGAGTGGACTGAAGAATATATTGCACGATTTCATGGAGTGACCTACGCAAGCAGACGATAATTGTACGATCGAATTGTGCAGAATTGTGTATAATCATATGTGGGCGTATGTAGTTCTGTGTATTGGAATGTAAGCTATTTCTCTGCATGGTATGTTCCCATTTGAGGCGATGCATTTGTCAGACATCGCGCAGGTGATGCGCGACAGATACCCCCATACAAAACGGACCCAGAAAAATCATATAAGTGGTCCTGTGGTCTCTGGTAATCCACGTACTTTCCACTACAATCATTACCCTCAGCTAGCTTCCCTGCTCTCAAGAAAAGCTAGAAGAAACATCGCAATCCGCTGATCCATTTCCGGGCCATGTCTGAAGTTTTGCCTCTCCTCTCTGCCGCAGCAGTGGCGGAGCACAACACTAAAAGTAATTGTTGGGTTACGCTTTACCACAGAAAAGTCTACGACGTGAGCTCGTTCATCGATGAACATCCAGCAGGCGGCGATCTTATTATCCCTTATGCTGGCAAGGACGTCACGGAAATCATGGCAAACTTGGAGTCCCATGAGCACTCGGAGAGCGCCTATGAGATGCTTAATGAGCATATGTTGATCGGCTACTTGGCTACCCCTGAGGAGGAGGAAGAGCTCATCAACAACAAGAAAAAGGTGCCAGTCGAAGTGAAGCTCACGAAGGAGGCCGAAAGCGAGTTTGATTTGAGCGAGTTCCACAGCAAGTTGCCTGCCCTCGAGAAGCTTTCCATCCAAACAGACTTCTCCCAGGATGCCAAGAAGCACAAGTTCTTGGACTTGAACCACGCGCTTCTTCCCCAGATTTTCCGCTCGAACTTCTCAAAGGAGTTTTACTTGGAGCAGGTGCACAGACCACGCCACTACGGCAAGGGCTCTGCGCCTCTTTTCGGCAACTTTTTAGAGCCCTTGTCATTGACTGCTTGGTGGGTGGTGCCGCTTGTATGGCTCCCCTTGAACTTCCTGCTCTTTTATGTCGGGTTTATGGGCCAGAGCAAGATCACAGCGTTGAGTCTCTGGGCCGTCGGTTTGTTTGTGTGGACTTTTGTTGAATACTGCTTGCACAGATTCTTGTTCCACTTGGACCAGTACCTTCCAGACCACAAGGCTTTCTTCACTCTCCACTTCCTTCTTCACGGAATCCATCATTATTTGCCCATGGACAAGAACCGCTTGGTGTTGCCTCCAACCTTGTTCGTGTTGTTGGCCTACCCATTCTACAGACTCATCTTCGGCATCTTCCCCTTCTACATGGCATGCTCTGGTTTCGCCGGCGGCACTTTTGGCTACATCATGTATGACATGGTGCACTACGTGTTGCACCACTCGCAGTTGCCCGGATACCTCCAGGACCTCAAGACCTATCACTTGGAGCACCACTACAAGAACTACGAAATGGGCTTTGGTGTCACCAGCAAGTTCTGGGACGTGATCTTTAACACCGAGATCGAGGCTACCTCTCAAAAGAAGAACTAGGCACGAGATCGAGTCTACCTCTCTAAAGAAGACCTAGACACTAGATCGAGCCCAACTCTCAAAACTAGAACTAGACACGCCTGGTTTGTGGATATCTGCTCCAAGTAGAGCCCCTCTTCATGTTTCATAGTCCTTTAAACGGAATCCACAATACATACACCTTACGAAGCTCACTTGGCGTGTTTGACCACTGTCTTGAAATCCTTGGGTTTCAACGAAACATGTCTGAACACTCTTTGCCGTCTCTCAGCGAAAAAATCCCCCTCCGGCTGATAGAGACCAAGCGGGTCGGACTTTCCCTCGGGTTTGTCGTGAGCAAGCTGTTTTTCACGCGCAGCTTGGTCCATCAACCCCCAAAACACCCGTTCTTTGACAGCCCGGGATTGTGCCTGCTGGTCCATGTGGTCCTGGGCCAGCCCTAGTCCCGTTGGTGCAAGTCCTTCTTTTTCAATAGCTTCTAAGTTCTCGGTGACATCAAACTCGGGAACTTCCTCCTGAACGCCCGTAGTTTCGTCAATGTAAATACTTGGATCATACTCGTACGGGTACAGCACGTTCTGGAAGAGCTCTTGCATCTTATGGTAGAGCTTTCGGTGGCCATCGACGTCCACTTGCGTGCCAAGTTTATCGTTGTAGAAGTTCGCCAAAGCCACGTCCTGCCACGTGCCGTGACACGTATGCACTATTTCCCTTGTGGTTTGATGCCTGTGGAGCGACTGGTCCGCAAGCCTGTCGAGCACATTGCCCATTCTGTTTGCCAATCTCGTGGCGATGGATTTCATTAGGGGCGAATCGTCTTCCAAGGAAACAGTCCCTTTCACGCGCCTGACCAGGTCCTTGATTTTCCGCTGAAGAAGAAAGTGGACTTCGTTCACGAGCGTGACTTTCGGACTTGAGAGTTTTTGCCGCTTAAACCGAACAGGCACCTTTTCATTGCGCTTTTGGAGCTGTACCCACCCAGTGTTTTTACGGCCCGTGGCCTTACGGGCGGCTTCACTATAGAACAGGGCCTCCGTGCCATCGTACTGCAGATCACTAAGCACAAAATCTTCGGCGTCTGTGGTCATCTGGGGGTCCAGAACAGCCAGTGGATGTGGCGGCCAGGACGTCCACGTGGATGCCGGAAAGAGTGGATTTACATTATGCAGAAGAAACGCCAGATAGAGATGCACGGCCAAATCATGTCGGTGACGCGTCTCAATGCTTTGCACGACGTCCTCGTAGTCGGATCGCTCCTGAAAACTGGTATTTAGTTTAGGGTACTGGTCCATTGATGATGGCTGGGTTAGCAGGGTGTATGCAATCAACAAAAGGGCGATGTCTGGATGGAATTGGTAGAAAGAATACACCTGCCAAGCAACCTCGACGCCAACTATTCAAGTTGCTGTGTTGACCGCAGATGGTTGTGCAGCTGGTATCGAAATGATGGCATAGCTCATTGCTCATTAAGTCCCAGGCAGACCTCAAGGCATAGGGCACGTGACACGTGAGCCGCGTCCTTCCCTTTCTGGTCTGAGATGCGATGAGCACGGCCAGGCTACGAAATGCAGAACAACGATGCACGGCTCAGTAAACACATCGAGGTCCGGGATTCATGAGCGTTATTTTTGTTGATAGCCATACACGCAAGGACATCTCAGGTCGCATCTGTCGTCGACCTTCGAGCCCCAAGGACACGGACCTGCAGACAACCCGTCGTTTTTTGCGCTGGGGCTCCTACTAAGTCCGGTACCTTCCTCCTTCCCTTTCTTCTCCTTTCTCTTCTCCTTCAGCTGAGACAACTCGTGGGTAACTTGCGTTCGGCTGAAGGAAAGGAATACAAACCATTTTATTTTTTCTGCCACTATACTCTCCAACATAACTAAACTGTACATTATGCAATCTTTCCAGACCTCCTTCTTGGACCTTGCCTTGGAATCCCAGGCATTGAAGTTTGGCCAATTCACTCTTAAGTCGGGCCGCCAGTCGCCGTACTTTTTCAACTTGGGCTTGTTTAACACCGGAAAGTTGCTCTCGACCTTGGCGTCCGCGTATGCCCACGCTATCATTGCTTCGGGAATCGAGTTCGACATTTTGTTTGGCCCTGCTTACAAGGGCATTCCGTTGGCCGCCATCACCGTGGCCAAGTTGGCGGAGATCGATCCCAAGAAGTACGGAAACACGGGCTACTCTTTCAACAGAAAAGAGAAGAAGGACCACGGCGAAGGTGGCTCGATTGTAGGCTGTGACTTGACGGGCAAGAAGGTCTTGATTATCGACGACGTGATGACTGCAGGTACGGCTATCAACGAGGCCTTCACCATCATTGGAGCAGAAAAGGGTGATGTTGTCGGGTGCATCATTGCCTTGGACAGACAGGAGACCACTGCGGATTCCCACCTCTCGGCCACCCAGGTGGTCAGTGTGAAGTACGGTATTCCAGTGTCGTCCATTGTATCGTTGTCCGACATCATCTCCTACTTGGCAGACAAGTTGTCTCCAGAAAACTTGGCTGCTATCAAGGAGTACAGGGCACAGTACGCACCAGCTATCTAGATAGCAGCGCACTGGAGCCGGGCCTAGGCGATGGGCCGGCTGGAAGTATCTGTTGTTGTATGTTGTAATGTTTATCTCTATGCTTCGAACGTTAGCATTCATTCGAGTAGAATTAAGTTGATATACTGAATGCCCAGGTAGTTTTGGGCCCCGCCGCATCTCTGAATACCTCAGATTGACAGGACCCCAGAAGATGCTTGTTGATTAGCCAACATCTCTGAGCTCTGCGCCATTTCCAGATACATGTCTATACGGACGTCATTGCGAGAAATCGTTCCAAACTTTGCCAAGCTGACGAAAGCATGGAAGAGGGGCTCCCCAGCACACCCGTTGAAAACACAACGGGGAATAGGGCGTGAGCAAAAATGTTTCTGAACGTAAATTTTATACAGCTGGAGATTTCTCCGCTCCTATATTACACCTTGGTCATACGCACTCTGACGAAAACATGAAAAACTCAAGCGGGCTCACATCAAGTGCCAGCCATCGCAGGTCGAGCTACGTGAGCCTGATCGCTTTCTCTAACCTCTAATCTTCATCATTTTCTTCTTGGGAGCCTTCACCGGTTTGGGGGCCTCCACGGGCTCCGGCTCTGGGTCGTATATCAGCTTCATCATTGGATGCTTCAAGGTCAAGTTCGAGTGGACTGGCACAATCGTATTCATTTTGAAGCCCTTGACTCTTGGCAACTCCTCCGGTGTGAAATCCATCTCGTACTCTTTTGGATACGGGATTCCGCTCTCTTTACTGATACTGGCTATAGTGGTGGGGTGCGCCTGCAAGAACTTGGAGATGGCCAGCATGAGCGATCTTTTCGTCGGGTACATGCTATTTATTGCTTTCCCCTCTTTTTTAAGCTGAACCTTCACTCGCCCCGGATTGCCGAAATCCTGCGGGTGCGATTTATCAAGCTCGAGCAAGACAGGCACACCCAACAGACGGCACGCGTCACTGATTGTTTTTGCCAATGGGTTTGAAACAGCAAGTTCCACGCTGACCCTCCGGCCTTCGCCGTGGGACCTGTTCACGTCGAAATAACATGGATAAATGACCTGTAGCTGGCGAAACTCGCCCTTTTCCTCGTCGGAGAACTTGGATGGGTCCACAATATCGTTCTTTTTCCCCGCAGTTGACGCAGAAGCGGGTCTTTGCGAAAGGTCAGCGAAGTTTTGGGATCCTGGGGTGTTTATTTCCTGGTCTTGGGACCTCGTAATCACCGGCTTTTGCACTGGTGCCAAAGGCGTGCGGAGACTTGGATCGAACTGTGCGATATCCATGTCCATGTTGTCGATGTCATCATCGTTGATTTCCTCCAAAGTGGGCCTTGACGCCATGTTTGGATGTGTTTAGTGTTGATGGGGATTGAAGCCTGCAAGTACGAGGGAGCCCTGAAGAAATCTGTATCTACGGACATGGGTCTGTATGGAGGAGGCGTGGCATATTTTTCGCGACTTGCGGCGCCGTAGATTATGGCCCACGCCTGAAGGCAACGTACGTTCCATCCAAAAACCGGGGCCCTCGATATTTTCAAATGTGGAACACTCTGAATACTTCTGATAGAGAAGACTGCCATCGAGTTGTGTTCAAATCTGTCAAGTGGAAAACAGAGCGGAGGGACTGGTCACGTGCCCAGAACCCGGGGTAACAAGACCCCAGAAGCCTGGGGGACAGCACAAATGGATTTGGAGGCTGTATCTACCAGCCTAGAAACATCAAACATAAATTGCAGATATGATGATATTGTCGATGACGTTGGGAAGAATTTCCGGCGTGCATATGTAGCTCCTTCACGGCTGCGAAATGAAGACGTGCAACCGGGGCTTCATGTCCAGAAGCGGCGCAGGTAAAGCACCGACTTGGTCATTTGGTTCCAATTTTGACTCAGCCGGGACGAGCTTCCAATGGGGGAACTATTAAAAATCGATTCAAGCTGTAGATGAAGAAAGTTTTGTTGGCGAATCATGATGCTCGACTATTTTCTGAGTCCTCTTGGGTCCTAATATATCCAGTATGAGTGCGACAGCCAGATTGCCGGTTCTGATAACGAGCACATCCCATACTCTGCCCGTAATGGTGTGGCACCAAAAGAGCTCTATCATCTTCAAACGGGAAGCTTTTCGGTCCATTCACTCTTTCTGTGGCTCAGCCACCATCCGCTCTGAAGTGAACGTGCCCGGGTCACGTGATACCAGCATCGGCCTTGTTCTCCGTTCTGCCTCCGCTACTCTGGAGAAATTATACCCACTCCATTATCTGCGGGACAGATCATGTTTCATTCAGACATAGTCGCAAAAACTCCCAAGGTGCTAGATAGATGTCTAGATCTCTACCTGGCACCCGACGGAGAGAAAACGGGTCCAACACTGACGGCCAAGTCTACGCCTGCAAAGTACGCCTCGCACCCAGATTTCCAGTTTTTCAGCTCGGTGAAGAAGAAACACCACTTTGCCTACCACAGCTCCAAATTCGCCTCTGTCAAGAACGACATATCGGCAACCAGCACCCTCCAGAAACAGTCGACTTTCGACCCATTCTCGCGGCCCTTACTTCTTGAGAGAATTAGATCCTACACGGCTTTAAACTGGGCTCTTCCTCACTTCCCAAGATCCGACCGTCAGCTCACAGAGCTTCTTTGTAGTGCTCACGGATGGGTTTGCGAGCAAGTGTCCCGGAAAAACACGTCTAAAAACTTGCTCCGGTGTACGGGCTGTGATCGCCAGTTGGCGTTGACGTTCAATCCGCCCGACCAGCAGCCAGAATACGCTGCCTGTTATTTCGACATAGGCGATATCCAGGAGCTCAACGTCAAGCTCAAGGATCAGTATTTGCGCCAAGTAGAGCACACAGCACACGCCGGACTGTGCCCGTGGCGAAATATAGCTTCTCCGTTAGACGGCACCTACTACTTGACACCATACATCGAGGCCACGAACGATACCTTGATCACTGAATATTTAGCTCTTTTGCGCAGAACGTATCATAAAATTGACCCCTCGAGCCACTATGCACACGTGCTTCTGGAGTTGGCCCCGCAGGATGTTATGTTGAACTTAGCTGGGTTCATCAAGGTGTCTAGACTGTGGCTCCTTAGTCGCTACTTCAAGGACTCGAAAGAGAACTTTGAGCCAGTACTCGAGAGAAACTTACCATCTTGGGCTTACGTATTGGCGGCCATGGGGTGGGAAATCAACGTGCAGACGTTCGGGGATGTTTCCATTCCTTTACTCGTGTGTACCATGTGCAACCAGAAAATCTTTTTGGATGCTGAATCCGCTAAGAGTGGCACAACAGACACCAAAGAGAAGCGAGATTTGCATGACTTACAAAAAGAAAATGTGCCTTTGCAGTCAATATTCCAGAAGCCCCCAGAGCCCAGGGATTCTGGCCCGGAAAGCAATGCTGATTGTTCTGAAGATGTGCTCGGGGAAGCAGCCGAGAACAACCTTGCCTGCCACAAACCTTGGTGTCTCTTGGTTCACAGTTTCGACAACAAGCCATATTTTAGTTACTTCCACGAGATGATCGTTGAACTGAAATCGAATATTGGACCCGAGGGCCAGTATCAAGAGAAATGTATCGATTTTGCCACGGGTCCATATCCCGCAGACATGGCCAAGAAAAGAAAAGCTGATGTGACAGAGAACCTTGAGAGATTCTCCAAACTCCGCAAGTTATACTTTGCAGATGCAGACTTGTGATGTTCCCAGTCATCCGATATGCACAATATATTCATTCCCAGGCGTAGTTCAACTATTAAAGTGTGTTCACCGAGTTCACTATGTATTGTATGGCGTCATTCTGGCATTGTCAAAGCTCTCTTGTTTCGTTCAACGGCGTACTGAAGTCCAATATCTCGATGTAAGTTTCTTCGGCGTCGTTGCGGTTGGTTTGGACCGCAGCGACACACCGGTCAGCATCAAAGCTCACTTGCCATATACTTCCAGTGATATCCGAGAGCAAATCTCGAACAAACTTGCCGGTCTTGATATCCCAGAGTTTAAGCATCCGCTCGCTCCCACTCACGATCCTCAAGCCGTCATGTTGAAAACACGTAATGGCACTGTTATGACCCTTCAATTTGCTTAGATTCTCACCCGTTTGGGGATCCCAGACACGAAGGGTAGAATCTGCTGCGGCCGAGACCAAATATTTCTCCGAGAGTTCAAGGAGCCCAACAAGAAGGTTGTGGCCCTCGAGCGAGTACAACAACTTTCCCTTTTCAAAGTCCCATACATTGATTGACAGGTCCATGGACCCGGAAAAACAGCGCTTCGTCTTGAAGTTCAAGGCGGTGGAGTATATTTTATCTGTGTGCCCTTCAAGGACATGTTTACACCTGCCTCCTTGGCGCAAGTCCCAAACTCGAACAGTGGTATCGTACGAGCCCGAGATAACGATGTTGCCGTAGCCCGTGACTGACCGCACGGATTGGGTGTGGCCCGAAAGAATGCTCACAAGGTACGGATTGTTCGGGTCCTTCGAGTCGAAGGTTTGTGTTTGCGTGATCTCGTCTCCGTTTGGCTGCTCGTTATCGAGCGGGAGTTTCCACACGTGCAAGTTGTGGTCTCTGGAGCCCGTGACCAAGAGAGGCACCTCAGGGAAGACCACCGGCTGGCCGTTCTCGTTGACGTCGATCTGCACCGGGTGCAAGATGTCCAAGCACCGCACGGTGGACGTGTGGCCGCGAAACACGTGGGTGCAGCGGCCCGTGCGGATGTTCCAGACGCGCACGTCGCGGTCCGTGGAGCCACTCACTAGCGTGTTGGAGAAGTACTTGAGCGCCCACACACCACCCTCGTGGCCCTGGAGGAGCTTCGAGAGCTGGCCCGTGCGCGTGGAGTGGACGTTGATCAGCTTGCCCTCGATCCCGGTGATGACCTTCTCCTCGTCGTGCTGGAGACAGGTGACGATGTTGGAGCCGTGCCCTGCGATGCTGATGCGCTTGGGCTCGTAGGCCGGGTCCATCCACCGGCGGAAGATCAAGTGGCGCTTCTTGTAGAGGAGCTGCGCGTAGTTGACCTGGGTCAAGTGCGGGCTCGGCGACGCCCACTCGGCAAACAACTTGGCCGGGTCGGCCAACTCGCGTGCCACGGCCGCGTCGCTCGCAAGCAAGTTGTCCCTGCGGAGCAAGTAGCACCAGAGCTTGGTGTTGGCGACCAACGCGTGCCAGCGGCGCGAGACCTGCGCCACGGCCAAAAGCGAGCGCGCGTCCAACATCAGGAGCACGTTGAGTGCGAGCTCGAGCGGCAAGCCCGCCAAGATGTCGTGGTCGAGGCTCTTCTGGATGGCGCCGCACAACGCCAGGAGCAGCAGGCGCCCCACGTTCTGGAGGAGCTGGAACACGAGGTGGTTCCTGTTCTGCGCCAGCACAAAGCCGCTCAAGCCGACGATCATGTCGACGAGCTCGCCCTGCGTCGTGGGCACGCGCAGGAGCTGCTGCTCCAACGCGGTCTCGGCCGCCTCCCGGGCGCCCGCATCCGTGCTCTGGACGGGCGACGCCAGCGGCAGCGGGAGCACCAACTGCTGCGTGGTGTCGCCCATCTCCGACACGGGCGAGTTGGGCGAGTGGGACGGCGACTCGGCGAGCTGCGGCGTGCACGGGTGCACGTGGTCACGGGCGTCTCTTTCGCCACGGCAAGAGTGGGCGGAGCCCGCGTTTGCGGGGCTCGACTGCGGCCCGCCGGCAGGCGCCGGGCCCACGCCCGGCCCCAGCATCTCGGGGCCCGCGGAGGCCGTGAGCCGCCGTTTGGGCGGGTGCACGTGCCCGTGCTGCTGGTCGCCTGCCGCCTCGCAGTCGGTGATGATCATTTCGTCGCCGGAGTCGGGCCGTGCTGGCGGGAGCGCGGTGCCCGGCACGCCCGGCGCGGCCCGGTACCGTTTGCGGGACTTGTCGAGCTGTGTCTCCGTGGCATATGCCGTCGCCAGGAGCGGCATGTACGAGGACGGCTCCGGGAGCCAGCCGCCGGCGATTTTGCCGCCGGGGTCCAGGAGCTTTGAGTTGTAGGGCGCCGCCTGGCCCAAGAGGGGGTACTGCGGCGGGAGATTGGCCATTCTGGGCGCTGCGGCTGTGTTCTGGCGGCGGGGATATGGGGTATGAAGTGCCGGGACAGAGACGTGGGGGTCCTGGGCAGGCCGGGGCTTTTGCTTTGTGTTGCCGTGCTGGGCGCTGCCGAATGATTCTGGCGGTGGTGGTGGCCGGCTAGAAAGCAGAAGTGTTGCGTTGTGGTGCAGCAGACAGGGGCCTGTTTTTTTTTTGTGGATCTGGCCTGGCGGTTACTGCACTATGCTTGTGGTGTCGGGGTGCTGTTATTTTTTTTTTTGTTTTAGTAGCGGTTTGCAAAAAAAAGTGCTTGTTCGAGCTCGGCAGCCTCTTCTACGCGTTGGGTTTGGATACTTGACGAAGTTGCCCCACGAGGTTCTTGTTTTCCTGGCCTGGAGGTACTTATCTACATGGCAGCAGACTCTCACGTTCCCCTTCTCTTTGACCCGCAGCGGGCCCATACAGGTGGCCCTGCGTGCACACCGGCCGTTCTGCTATGGCGGGCCTGGAGGAAAAGAGCCGCAGAACGACGCAGCGCTTTTCGGGGGGAGGGCCTCTATTTATAGACGAGGGCATTATCACATGGTCTCTTTCCTTACCGTCCTGTGCCAGCCGTTGCAGCGAGTGACTTGGTGCGCTTTATTTCTGGGGCCCAAGGCGCTAATCTCTGGGGCCCATGTCGCCAATTTTTTGGGCGCGCCAGGTCTCCAGCTGCGCGCCTGGACCCGGGTCCGGAGTTAAGATCCCAAGCCCACCGACCTTGCAGTCTAACTCCCGGCGTTCTCTGGAGAGCGGCTTGTCGGGACATGCATTCTTTGGCAGTTCAAAACAACAGGCGGCCGCCGGTCATCGTAGCAGGGACGGCCCCCGGACGTCCTACATTCAATACATCATTTACGTAGTCTGGTATTACCTAACAATAGCTGCCGGGTTGGGGCTGTCGTCCATACAATCAAGCTTACTCGACGTTCTTGATCAAAATGCCCGGTTGGCCCGGCACGGACGCGTCGACAACCTTGCCCGTGGCGGTGATCTCCACCTCTTCGCCGGTGGTGAGGTCCAAGCCGTGTTTGCTTCCATGGGGGAAAGAAACCACCCGGAGCTTGGCGATCTTGATGGTGGTGGTGGAGTTCTGGATGATGTCAACCACTTTTTGCAAGAGCTCGCCCTCGTCGAAAGTCAATTTTCTGTTGAAGACGGTCTTGGGGTCCTCCTTGGCCAATCTCTGCTTCAAGAAGTTGATGAAGGGCATGGCTCTCTTCATGTCCTTGCCGACATTCTCCTTGATCACCTTGTTGTCGTTCAAGGTCTGGTTCTCGAACAACTCTCTGACAAGATCGATGTACTGGTCTTGCCACTCGGGGAACGACGTGGACACAAGCAAAGTCAACACGGCCGGCTTGGTGGCGTCAACCTCGGCCTTGCCCTTCTTGGACTTCAACACCACACTCTCCGCGTCACGCACGGCCCTAGACAACTCCTTGACGTATTCCAAAGAGTCCAACAAGCCCTGGGAGACTGGCTTGGAAGCTCTGGGGAACTGCGCGGTTTGCACCGAACCGTCCTTCTCCAACACCTCCTTGTACAAGTATTCGGCAAAGTGAGGAGCGACGGGCGCCAACAACAAGGCCTGCAACTCAATGTACTTGAACACCAAGTCCTTGTGCATGGTTCCAACAGAGTCTCTGTAGTAGTCTCTGGAGGTCTGGAAGTCAAACAAGCCGTACTTGAGTGCACTCTTGTAGTTTGTGAGCGAGTACTGCTCATAGGCCTGCTCCACCAAGTTGTTCATTTCATTGTCAAACGCAAAGTCAAAGAAAGACTCGAGGTCACCGGTTCTCAAGGTGTCTTGAGAGGCCTTGATCTCCTCGCACCACTCCTTGAGAGTGGTCAACCGTAAGATGGCGGCGTTGGCGTTGGACTCATCAAAGTTGGCGTCCTCCACAGAGTCACCGGCATCGGCCAAAGCGATTCTGGAAGCGTCTGCTCCAAACTTCTCGACGATCTGCTGCAAAGTCAAGAAGTTACCGGTCGACTTGGACATCTTGGCGTTGTTCAACATCAAGTGGCCGTTGGCTCTGATACCCTTAGGCCAGAATCTCTTGGGGAACAAAGCAACGTGCGTGTAGATGAAGAAAGTCAAGTGGTTTGGAATCAAGTCCTTACCAGAAACTCTCACGTCCAATGGGTAGAAGTACTCGAACTCTCTTCTGATCTCCTTCAACTGCTCCATGGGAATATCGGTCAGGATGTCGTCGCGCCTGGCAAAAATGTAGTCGAAGACCTCGTCGGTCAATTGCTCGGGCTTGATGTCGAACTTGCCCTTGATCTTGCCGTAGTAATCAGAGTGCAAGAAACGTGCAATGGTGTAGTACGCCATGTACACGGTGGAGTCGGACAAAGACTCGATCAACTGGGACTCGTCCCATGGACACTTGGTACCCAAACCGTAGGTTCTGGTGAGAGCCCAGTTCTTCAACCAGTCCAACACAGACTCAAAGCCGTTTCTGGTTTCCTTGGTGAATGTCTCCATACTGGCAAGGCACTCCAAGGCCTGGTTCTTCCAGGTCTCCTCGCCGTAGTCAATGTACCACTGGTCCTCCAAGGAAACTATACACTCATCTCCAGATCTGGACATGACCGGGCCCTCGGGCTCGTTGTACACGAACGCCTCACCGGCAGCCACCATGTCTGCCTTCACCTTGGGCTTGGCCGCCTCGACCTTTTCGCCCTTGTACTTGCCGATGAGCATGGTACCGTTGTAGAAGCCCTCCTTGTACGCGAGTTCCTTGGCCTTGGCCAATTGAACGGCGTCCTTGGGCGACTGGATCTTCAAGTCGTTGACCAAAAACTCGGCACACTTGTCGCCGAACTTCTCGGTGCGGATGATGGCCACAACCTCTGGCTGCACCCAGTCCTTCTCGATCTTGTAGTACTCGGGCTTGTTGGCCAAGTCCTTGGAGGTGATGAAATCGTCGGGCGAGTCGGAAGGCACACAGGTCACCACACCCGTACCCTTGTTGGCCAAGATGGTGTCCATGGGGAGCACCCTCAAGTTCTTCAAGATGGCAGAAGGGGGGTTGATTTTGGAGCCCACAATGGCGGCACCGTTGATGTTCAAAACAGCGCTGTACTCGCCTCTCACAGGGGTCAACTTCTGGTAGCACATGTTCTTGAACGCACGCTCCGTGGTGATGTAGTACGTGCCCTCGGCCGCCTTGAAGACACCGTAGTTGATTTTGGGCGACACAAAGCAGCACGACTGGCCGTACATGGTCTCCGGCCGCAAGGTGGCGGCCACCAAGTACACCTTGTTTTTGCCGAGGTCGAAGTTGTGCTCGGCAAACACCTGCTGCGCCTCAGGGGCAAATTCCGTGACCTCGATCTTGATGCCCACGTACTCCTGCGGGTTGACACCCTCGCCTGATTGCCTGTCGTGATCCAAGCAGGCCTGGCCATCCTTCTCCGAGTAGATCGTGTACCGCTCACCAAACTTGATCTTGCCCACGTCCTTCAAGCGGTTGATTTGCCAGCGCACAAACGCGTCGTAGTACGCGTTGGCAGGCGTCGTTACCATGGATCTTCTCCAGTCAACCCGGCCGCCAAAGGCAGTCACATCTTTCTGCACCAAAGGAGGGAAGTAGTCGAGCCAGTGCTGTGGGTCTGCGAACGCGGCCACCTCTTCCTTGCTGAGGCCCAACTGCATCATGATCTCGAATTGATACTTGCCCCGGCCCTGCTTGGCGGCGGCCTTGGACTTTTTGGCGGTGAACTTGGTGATGTCCTCCTTCTTGGCCTGCTCTTTGGGGGCCTCGATTTCCTCGTCGTCCTCCGCAGGCACGCCCGAGAAGTCGGCGCCAAACTGCTCGATCTCACGCTTGATCTTGTCTGCGGACGACTTGATGGGCATACCGGTACAGTGGAAACCCAAGGGGAAAAGCGCTCTTTTCCCGTTCATTCTCTCGAAACCAGTGGCAAACTCCACCTTGGACAACGTGAACGAGTGGCCCGCATGCAACACTCCGTTCATGTAGGGGTACGCCATGGTGGCGAAATGCTTGGGGTGACTCTCCCGCAATTTTTCGCCGTCTTCCTCGGGGTCCTCTTCCAAAGAGGGCGCATCGACATCAAAGAACTTGTTTTCGGCCCAGTACTGCTGGTACTTTTTCTCGAGGGCCACAAGCGTGTCACGCCTGTCAGTCTTCTCCAACTTGATGGTGGCACTCATGGTGATATTGGCGTGGTGGTGAGATTACTGCCCCAAACTGAGATTCCAATTGGTGTAGAGAAATTTTGGCACGCGCAGGCCCTGGAAAAAAGGGTAGAAAAATTTCGCGGCCCAGTTGATTGAGACGATTAAGACGGAGCCAGTGCTGGTGTTCCTCGAGTCGGGACAGAACCTTACAATCAAAGATCGCAATTTGGGAAATTGCTGAAGGTGGATCTTTAGTGTCCAGAAATACAAGCTTTGACGCCTTGGTATGATGGTTGTATACTGGCCTTTTTAGCTCTACTAATCTCGGCACTATGTTCACTCGCTCGCTCTTCCCGAACATCCATTCTGCGGAGAGAACACATTCTCGCGAGAAGTTCTTATATTTTAATCTAACACCTGATCTGTTTTTTTTTTCTCTTCAAATTGAGGAAAATATCTTCGAGACTTTGCTGTTTTTGCGTTCAGAAAATGGATTGATGATCGGAAACTTTCGTCCGTAATATCGCTTATTAGTGGATATTGGTGACTCAGTCGCGCCAGGCGGGCTGGTCGAAGTTCAGGTAAACCACATTTATTATAAGTCTTTCACCTGAGGGGCACGCATTCAAGAACATTAACCGGAGCAAAAAACGCCAAGAGGAAGAATAATCTGTGCATATCATTCTCTTAATCGAAATTTACCAAATTGAAAATGTTCTCGGAGACTGGATCTCCTGGATGTCTTGGGTCTTTTGAGAAAATGACCTGGATAGACACAGCAGGATAAAAAGCCTTTCAGCAGCTAGTGCTGTGAAATCCTTTACATGCGTACATCTTTCATTGCTCCGAGCATGGGTCTAACCAGCCATGATATTCTCCACTAAGGCTATCGCATTAAGGCTCTATTGAAGTCAGAGGTCAAAACATGTGCAGCTTAAAAAAAGCCTGGCTAAAATTCAGCTTTTATTTTTGAAATCAACCTCACAAGCAATTCGGATGATTGAAGCTAAATATCTATTGGTCCCAATTGAGTTCCACAACAGCTGCGAGAATTACTACCTTTTTGCTTCGTTTGTATTAAACGGTTGCGAGCGATGACGTGTGACGGGAAAGTTATGAGACATCAATTAACCATTTTCTGAGGTGATATGACATTGCCCAAGATTCGCGCGGCAGTAGATGACGTGCATTTGAAAATCCCCGATACACTCGGGCAAATCCCGCCGCTGGCATCTTTTGCCTGCTGTTGAATACAAAATAGCTGCTTTTTGCTGTTCAGCTTTTTTCTAAACTCCGAGAACGCATGCCTCCATAAAGACAAAGACATAGTGCAATCCGAAGTCTTATTTCAAATGGATGTTCGCACAAGAGGTGTTCTCCCAAAAATACATGCTTTCGGTTATGATTTCGTATCATCAATATTTATTCAAGCATATATAGTACTTAGGATTCTGGTTACTACTATGTTCCAGACTCCTTAGAGAAGAAGAAGGAATCCGAACCATATCTTTCGAGGGAGAAAACATCCTCTCCGACGTTCGTCGGGGAATATACCTGCATACAGAGTTGCTACTCCGGCATTTCCACGTGACACATGCGCCTGAGATATGCGTGCAATTAAGATATGCGTGCTACAAATATGCGTGCAATAGAGGTATGCCCTTAAGCTATGCAGAGATGGGAGTCTGACCCAAAATAGATCAAAACGATGTAAAGGATAAAATTCCAGAAATTTTTGTTATTCAGATTAAGACTGAACGTGGCTTGCGATGGGGCCCCACCATGAGCCAGCTCTGTGAATGGCTTCTTACCTTTCTGGGGCATTCTAAGTCTATTATTCGGCATTGTATACTGCATACAAACAACGATTGCCACCGGCCGAGCATCGCCCCGCATTTGATAAGATAGAGCGCCACGAGGGCAGCATACCTTTTTTCTTTACTCCACATTCTTTTTTTGGTTCCACCACTTCACCACGAAAAGAACAAGAAAAAATAACTTCAGGTAAGCAGCAATTACACTCTCACTCAAATATTCGCTGCTCTTTATCAAACGCACGTGTTTGTCAGAAACTGACGCCCATATCTTAGCAGACTAGCCCCTGACAAGCACTTCTATTCAAGCCAGCCAGGACCAAAGTCAGAAACAGCAAGTTGAAATGAAATTGGCTTTAGCATTATCCCCCCTCTTGGCTTGCTCGAGTGCCTTGCTCATCCCACATTTGAACAATATGGGCAATTTGGAGCATATTTTCTCGCTCAAAGAAAACAAGGACACGCCAGGTGAAACGCCCCATGAGCCTATCTCGCCAAAGCCCGCTCCAAAGCTGGCTGCCCCAATTTGCGGCGGCTCGAATGTGGTACCTCAACTGTATATTGTTGTGCTCAAACACGGATTTGAAGATAGTGCTTATGACTCCCATAATGAATGGGTCAACGACCATCTCTCTGCGATGGCAAAGAGAGATGTCATTTCCGACTTGCGGGACGAAGCTTTTAACTTGGTTGAAAAGGCTCTCAAGTTTGTGAGTATTCCTTCCTTCAGAGGCTACGTCGGCTACGTGCCTCCCGCATTATTGGAAATCCTTAGAACCAACCACATGGTTGACTTCATCGAACAAGACTCCATCATGCACATCAACGAATTTGATACCCAAAGTGATGCTCCTTGGGGCTTGGCCCGTGTTTCCCTGCGTGAATTATCTCAACCCGCCGCCACAGAATATCTCTACGACGATGAGGGTGGAAAAGGTGTCACGGCTTACGTGATTGACACTGGCATCAAGGTGGCACACCCCGATTTCGAGGGCAGAGCTGTTTGGGGTGACGCGGTGGCTTTCCCCAAGGTTCGCATTGACGCACACGGCCATGGCAGTCATGTCGCTGGAACCATTGGCGGAAAAACTTACGGTATTGCGAAGAATGTGGACTTGGTTGCTGTTGGTGTCATGAATCTCTTGGGCAGTGGAACCACGTCCGATATCATCAAGGGCATTGAGTTTGTCGTGAAAGACCATCAAGCAAAGGTGGATGCTAAACAAAAGGGATACAAGGGTGCCACCATCAACATGTCTATCGGTGGAGGTGCTTCGGAAGCTTTGGATTTGGCTGTGAATGCCGCCACATCGGCCGGCTTACATGTTGCCGTGGCTGCTGGAAATGAAAACCAAGATGCTTGTAGTGTCTCTCCCGCTAGAGCCAGCGGCCCAATCACTGTCGGTGCCACAGACAACTCCGATCAAAAAGCCGAATTTTCCAATTGGGGCAAGTGCGTTGACATCCAGGCACCAGGAGTGGATATCACTTCCGTGGGCATTTGGCTGGAGACTCAAACCATGTCGGGTACCTCAATGGCAGCTCCACACGTGACTGGTTTGTTGTCTTACTTGTTGTCTTTGCAGCCTGAGCTTGATTCAGAATTCTCTTCCAAAAATCTCGTGACTCCGGCTGAGTTGAAGAGAAGATTCCTCAAGTTTGGCACCAGAAATGTGGTGAGTGGACTCGACCGGGAAAGTCCTAACATTCTCGCCTACAATGGTGCAGGTCAAGATCTCTCCGAATTCTGGAAATTCTAAATGGTGGATTCGTGAGATGTTTCCCTCATTCAAAAAAACTGTTCAACAGGGTCATGGTATGTTACTCATCGATTCCTGAAGACACGAATTGATTTGCACTGTCGTATTCGAGCGTACTAAATATTTTTTTTTTTCTTGAAAAGATAATCGTATTGAATAAAGTTTGAGATTACATTAATTTGTTGATTTGCGTAAACAATTGCAAATAAATCACGATAAGGTTCGCTGTAATCGCCTGAAGACGAAAGTATGTGCTAGATGAACCGCAAAACAGTAATCTCTGCAACAGTACACTGTATATGGATTCATGAAACCTTTGAGGAACTTAATGGATAAAAAGCTTGTAATCCCTTATCAGAGCGCTTTATTATACAACAGAGGGACTTTAAGGTAGACTTCCAGAGATACAGTGAGGTGTGTTAACATTCGAAAGGAGTCTCCATAGAAGAAATTAGAAAACTATCATTCAAAGTACATACCGGAAGAACAACTAAGATAAATCTGTTCTGTTTTTTCTCGGCAAAAATTTCAGTAAGTTGTTCTCAAGGCGAGTCTTGATAGTACTGTCTATTTCTCCTGACAAAAACAGGCGTTGGTAGATCGCATATAGGTCCAGAAAATACATTGATCTTTCATCATCTTCTCCTTTTTCTCATGAGCATTGGAGACATCATTGTGGGAACTTTCGCTGTCACTTCTTGGAAGAAATCTTTTTTCAGCCCCACATGAAGTAATAGGCCTTCATATGCAAATCTCTCAAGGGTGAAACCGGCTTTCCCGGCATCTTGAGTCACCTGAAATTCAATTAATGCCATTTTCTTGCTTGGTTTAAGCGAGATCTGACTCACGGGCCCAACTTGTTCCTCGACCAACTTCCGCAACTGGGCCTCCGTGACCGTCTCTGCGACATTTTTAATTGTAACGGTTTTCTGATCATCGAAGTCTGGAACTTTTTTATCCACAGATTTTTTAGTTTTGACTGCAGAAATGTCAATAATTCTATCGTCAATCTTAGCTTTGCCTTTTGCCAAAGCTTTAGATGCGTCGGATTCGGTTGCAAATGTGATGAATGCAAAGCCATTATTGAGAAAGCCTTTTGTCTTACTTACATCACTCAAAGGTAGATGAACGCTGGCTACCTGGCCCCAATCCAGGAAAAAATGGCGCAAAGTCAGTTCTGTCGTTTGCTTAAAGTTCAAATTATGAAGATGGATCTGGCGTGAAGCCGGCGCAAGATCTTTAACCTTCTTCAAAGTGGGATTCGAAATTTCTGCTTGTAGCTCATGTCCATGCAAGACGTGTCCTGAAAGTTTATCTCTCACGAATAAGGCAGTGGCCTCATCGGAAAAGTCAGCATAAAAGAATCTGCGCTCTTTGTTATCTCTCTGCGAGGGCAAGCGCACAGATAAAGGCGAAGTTCCCGTGAGTTCAACAATCATAGTTTCAATGTCATGTGAGTCAAATCCCAGAGGATAATTTGTGGCCCACACTGTAGCACCAAATATTCTAGTAACGTTGACTGACACACCAGCAAGCGATTTGAATTGCCTGGTTAAGCACGACAATACATCTAGTTCAGAAGCTAACTCGATTATAGCGAAGTTGTTCTCGATATTCTCACTTTGATTTGAGATGGTATACGACAAAGGTTTCGCGTAGCCGCTCAAAAAACTCTTGATGTCTTCCTCACCAGTGCCAAAGCCAAGTGGATATATCTTTACTCGAAATTGTTCTCTGCTCCGCACTGGCTCATTAGATTCATGAGTCTCTTCTAACTTCACTCGTTTCTTTTCCGGATGTTCTGGTTCTTCCATACTTTTATGAACGTGTGATCTCAAATTTGTGTCTTGCTGCAATTCTGCAGAGTCTTCCATATCATTATTCATAGTTGTTTCTGATCCTTGGTGTTCGGAAATAGAATGAGTGAGTTTTTGAAGTCTTGAATGAACTTGACAAAGGGAATCCCTTTTCGCATGTTTGCGTATGTAGATTTCAAGTTTTGAAAAAAGAACTTCTGGCTCATCAAAATGAACTATGTTGTCTTCCATTAGTTGCAAAATCTGCAAAATAATCTTTCTATCGGGATGAATCCGCTCGAGTAAAGCAAACCCAGAAAGCCACAATCTAGAACAATAGGTATTTTGAGTAGTGTACTGTTTCAAAATACCAACAATCAAAAGCCTAGTTTCTTCTTGTGCCGATTCTGCGAGGAGTTCCATGCAAAACTCGACCACTTCAACATTTTCCCAAAACGCTTCATACGTGGTGCGAATATCATTAATAAGGTCATTTGACAAGTCAGGCTCTAATTGAAGTGCCCACTGAACCATCAACATATCTTTGGCCAAATCGACGCATTCTTTATTTTCATTTACAAAAAGATTGACGTCAATAACATGGTTCCTTAGACTGTGGACCTCTTTCTCAGTTGAGAGAGAACATGCTAACTCCGAGTAAGCGCGAGGAAATTTTGGGTAACATTTGACAAATGATGTAGCAATGCGCTTTCTCTCCAGTGAATGGTGCATTTGAGGTTTGCTCAAAAATTGAAGGGCAACGAGCCATACATCTGTCCATTGCGAATCACCCATCTTACATAGGGAGCCGGCGAACAAACTGCGATAGAAAACCGCAAGAAATGCAGGATACGGTGATTCACCATTTGAATATTGATGCAACTGAGTCATGTATCTTATCCACGGTTCAGGTGAGTTTGGATCATCAGAAATCGCTTGTTCTAGAATCTCATAATACCTTTGCGATCTTTCTGTAGCCCGAAGAAGCTTGCTGGCTGTTCTCATAATCAGAGTGTACTCTTGGGGATAATGCTCAGATACAAAAGAAGAAAACGAGTCATATGTATCTTGGATTTGCCTGTGCGGGACTTTCAAGCGTGATTCATATAGTGCCCGTATGGCTAGCCAATCTTCATCCGCACATAGACTAGCGAGAAGTCGATCAAAAATGACTTGGCTGTAGACAAAGTTATCTTTGTGCTTTGCATAGCATTGCTGAAGTTGAGCCATAGTGGGGTTCAGATAGTCTAGACTTTTCAATACATTTTGCATGGTAGGATATTCCGTAGCTATGAGGTTGTACATCGTGGATTTCTCGTCTGATGCTTGGCATCCTGAAAGGTTGGAATCGATGGCAGACTCCCAGTTTATTAAATCTTCTGCACTGAGAACTTCATATTCCATTCTTGTCCTCCAAACTTGCGGATGATTTTGAAGTCCGTTTTGCAGGGCGTACAACATTAGTTGTCTGTATTGCTTATAGGAAAATGGGTCTGAAATTCGTTCATTTTCCACCTTGTGCCTAAGCTCAATCATCTCATCTTGTGACATATTTGGGCTATTTGACTGTAGAGACATTCACGTTTGTGTTTATAATTAGCCTGGACCTCAATCTTCTAGGAAGGAAATATAAAGACTGGATGTATATCATCTGACCCGCACTCTCGAACAAAACATTGCGGGACAATTATGGCTCAAGGCAAGATAAATACACATGATGAAATTGACATCACATTCTATACTGTGGATTGACACAAATTCGTAAAACAAATGCCTACTCTGTTTGAAATGCACGATTTAGACAATAAGCTACACATGAGCTCAAATTTCTATGTCCACATCCAAGAATGGTACTAGTATGGTATAGTAAGAGATGCGCGTTGAGAGATGAGCATCGCCTATCAAGGCTTTTCAGAAACCAAGGCCCTGAAGAGTGACAAGTCTGAGTGAAAGCTATATCCTCCATTCGTTGAACATTGCCGTTTAGATCTAGCAGATCATTGAACTTCTATTATTGAGTTAGAAGACTGCATGAAAATCAAAGTGAACTCTCACTAATAATATATATACTTTGCACATTAAAGAAATGAATGCAAGCTCATATCTTCAGTCTTTTGGCTGGAAAGAAGGGGAAGCTTTGAAGCAAGGTGGTCTCAGAAAGCCAATTCTAGTCAAGCACAAGAAAGATACAAAAGGATTGGGCTCTGAAGGCAATGATGCTGATATGTGGTGGGAGAGACTTTTCGATGGGCAATTGAAAAACCTTGAAGTCTCGTCAGGCGAAAATGGAATTTCTGTCAGCCAAAATGAAGTTGAGGTTGCCAATCATATGAGAAAAGTTAATCTGCCGTTATACAAGATGTTTGTTAGAGGCGAAGGCTTGGCCGGGACAGTGGGAAAAACCGAAAATGCGCATGTGAAGAGCATAAGTATAGAGGCCACTGCGGTCTTAGACAGTGTGGAGAAAAGTCTAAACATTCTGAGCGTGGAAAGCAAGGGAAAAAAGGAAAGTAAAAAGAAAGAGAAGAAGGAGAAGAAGGAGAAGAAGGAGAAGAAGGAGAAGAAGGAGAAGAAGGAGAAGAAGGAGAAGAAGGAGAAGAAGGAGAAGAAGGAGAAAAAGGAGAAGAAGGAGAAAAAGGAGAAGAAGGAGAATACAAAGAATTGTCTGTCCGACCTGGAACATGGCAAGCTTTCAAGAAAAAGGACATTGCAGGAGTCAAAAAGAAAACTCAAAAGAAGCAAGGTCTAAAAAAGGCTTTTTAAATTTATAATAGAGATTTCATTCTCGCCTCCAATGAATAATCTGTAGTGATGAAACATGAAACAGATCTGCACGCTAGAGTTCATTGCGGAACAGTCATGGATTCCTCTGGCTCGAGGATATACTAGGACTTATTGAGAATGAGGTGGATTTTCTTCAAATTCCACAGGCCAACTTCCCCGATATTATGCGATAGAGGATGCTGGTCCTCTAAAGTATGCTCAGAAATAGAATAGAGTCGAAACCGGGAAAGGCTTACCATGTGAAGCATACTGAGGTTTCCGGGCTCTGTAAATCAATTATTGATCGAATCACTAAAATTAAATGTAGGTCAGGTTTCAACATGGAAGATCACAGCGTGGCGCGCACGGCCTAAGCGCACTTCGTGGATTCTGGCACATGAACTGTGTCTTTAAAAGTAAAGACATGCAAACGAGCAATATTTCCGAGGCACTGTCTCAAAAACAAAAACATCTCGGCCGAAATACAAGGGTCCATCTATCCTCCATTTTGCCATATGTAAAGATCCTTGCAGGAGCCATAGTCTTGCTCAAATTCAAGCACTCCCTAATTTGGTGGCTTTCCACCAACATACTGATCTTCCTATACATACTTTACCATGTTTCAAGACCTAGGCTTACCCCGATAAGCTCCATTCGCTGTCCAAATAAACAGTTTAATTTCATGACGAAGGAATCCTGGACAAAGGAAATTTCATCTTTAGAAATCGACCGGAACTTGCTTACACTGCCAGTCGTCAAAGAGTCACCAGTGATATCACAAGCTTTGGCACGATTGACGGATCTCGTCCTTAAAGAATTAATTGATCTGTGGTTCTCAAAAATCTCAGTAGATCTGCTTTTTCAAGATTCATTGAGGTTAGAACTAAAACATGTCTTTTCTAGTTTGAGCGCTCGTATAGCCGCTGTCGACGTGCCGAATGTGCTAGTTCACAAAATTACTCCCTTATTAACCGACCACTACGCCCAATTTATTTCTACAGACTATGCCCATGATTCTGTGCACTCATTTGAAAGCAAATTGAACGTTGCTCGAAAATTTGGGAAAGGGTCTATTCACAACGGCGTGACTATGACGGTACCTGGGTCTGGACCCAGAATCAAGGAGAAAGCGTATTTACGTACAAAAGTGAAGAAGCTCCTCCCTTTGCTCCTATCTCCACAGGAAAGCTCGAATGAACTTGTTGGGACGCTCTTGACTGAGATTCTCGCATGCACGGTTCTCACAAATGCGTTTTCTGTGCTTTCAGAAGGGGATTTCTTTAATCAAATGGTCGTCAAAGCAGTAGGAGCTAACCTTAAGCACCGAAACCAGGTGAAACGACTTCGTGAAGCTCTTCAGCAACACACGACGCAAACCCCGACTCATACTCTTCGCATTGGCCAAAATTCTGCACTCCCCCCTCTCAAGGCTCCTATCTCTCCTGAATGTGTTAATGCATGGAGTGTCAAAGTAGCCGAGCTCAGTACTCCAGCAGAGCGCAAGCAAACATATGACACTTTGAAAAAAGCACAAGAATCTTTAGATCTGTTCAGTGCCCTGTATTCACACGACTACGCACGCATTTCGAAACTTCTCTCGATCATTCCCACTTCCTCAGACAAATCGCTTAAGTTCCAAACTCTCGATACTGTATTGGCAGAACCAAAGCACGCCGCTGTGTTCCGGGAATTCTTACGAGGTTATAAACATGAGGCCGAAATTGACCTTTGGCAACATATAGAGTTGATGCGAGCACCACTTGAGGGCACAGACACTTCAGGAATACCTTTATTCTTGGAGTTTTCTAATGAAGATGATATTGTCAAGATCTACGAGAAATATTTTGCATTACCATTCTTGGAAATAAGCGAGCTGATAAGAAGACAAGTCTCGGCCTACGTTCAAAATGCTACCCGAAGAGATGCGGCACTGTATCAGCAGGCAAGGCTGGCCTTGTTTGAGTTGCAAAATGATATATTTGCGCACATGAAAGCAGCACATCTAGAACAATTTCGAAGTTCAAATCGGTTTGGTGATTTGGAAGCTGTACTGCCAAAAAAGTCTATCAATCCTCGAGTCATATCTACTGCTTTTCCCCGCACTACAAATGTCAATGACGAAGACAAGTCGAACACAGAGATTGATCAGGAAAAGTCTCCCATTTTAAGCCCTGTCGTTGTTCAGGCTGTCGAATCAGCGTTTGAAAAAATCATGAAAACAACGTCTATCGACCATGAGAACCGGCTACTGACCCCTACTGATTGTCCAGATTCTACCATCACAGTCTCGCGTAAATCGTCTCAACCTTCTTTATTTGGTGATACAACCGAATTGCTTGACAATTCTGTATTTGGATCTAATCCGTACAATTCAAATCGATTGTCAGCATTGTTCGAAGAAACTAGCGACTCTGATCTGGATTCAAACTCATTGTCTGATTCTGTTGACTCCAGTATTTCTGCATCACAAAGTTTTTCAAATCTGGAATTGCTTTTAGCCGCCCCAGGTGACTTGAGTTTGGCCGAGAAAATCGGAGTTCTTGATCAAGATATTGAAAATCTTACGAAACAAAACGATATTCTTCTTTCACTTCTAAAGAAAGCAGAACTCACAAATAATGTCGCAGAACTAAAAGTTTTACGGAGATCAAACGCAAGTCTTGAAAAGGAGATTAACACTAAAGAGCTCCAAAAACAGCAATATATTGTTCAAGAAAACGACAACAGTTTGTATGGAAAGTCAAAAATCCGCATACAATCATGTGTGTTTGGAAAAGATGAGAAAATATCTTACGTGATGTATGTTATCGAGGTACAGAAATACTCCAGTGAAGACCCTAACGAAATTGTTGCTGGCTGGATTGTTGCCCGTCGCTTTAGTCAATTTCACAAACTCCATGAATTTTTAAAAAGAAGATACAATGATGTGAACGAAGTCAAGTTTCCAAAAAAAAATGTTCCATACTTGAAGTTCCAGAAAACTCAGCAGATCGAAACCAGAAAACCAATTCTAGAGAAGTACCTACAAGACTTGCTTGCCATCCCTGATGTCTGTTCAGATCCGGCTTTCAGGTCTTTCCTTTCATCAGAAACTTTTAAAGTCGGGAAATCCCAAGCTACTTCAAAAAGTACTTTTTATTCCATGTTCAATCGGTTTCCCCGAGAGCTGGGCAATGATTTAAGGTTCGATACGTCTCAGGTGAGACAAAATAAAGAGATGTTGCAAAACATCAAAGAAATGGAGAGAGAGTTGAAGCAATATGACGAAATTCAGAAAAATAGCGCGGAAAAGGTACCTTTTGTTAAACCCATTTCTGATCTCTTGCTCACGCTTTTTGACTTGAGCAAATCGAATTGGTTACGCGGACGTGCACTCTTGGTCATCTTGCAACAGGTACTTGGTTCCACTATCGAGCGTACTCTAACGTCTCAAATTGAGCAGAACATCAAGCAAGATTTGCGAATTGCAGATGTTCTTAACTCCTTGCAAGATATGCTTTTCCCGAATGGAAAATTCCGAGAGTCGCCGGAGCTCAGAACAAAAGCTCAGCAGCTGGCAACAAGAAAAGAGGCGAACTCGATTTTGCAAATCTATATGTCTGAGACTTGCTCAAAGATATTTGGTATCAGGAACACAGATCAGGCTTGTAAAAACATTTTGGAAATGTTCCAAAATGATTACCTAAACAAACACTTAATGTTTAATGTACTCGATGTGGTTCTTCTCGCTATATTTCCAGAGCTTGACGAGGACTCATACAAAGTCTAGTTTGAGTATGCATTGCAACAATATAATATATATACACAGTTCAATCGTGGTTGCTCTTTCCCGATGCTTTTCAACCCGATTCTTTGGTCAAAAAAGAGATCTTCACACAGTCTCTATTGTTCTTCCTCCTCCTCGTCCTTTGCTTGCTTTTGAACAAACTCTACAGCAAGTGCTTTCACACGTGCAACAGCTTGTTCATCCCCAGCCTCCGCCTCAAATGAAAGCCATTTGGAAAAGAAAAATTTGGCTTGCTTTCTCGACAACTTCTTGGTGACAACTCTCTCGAACAAGGCCTCGACCTTAGCACGGTCTCCCGTCTTGATTTCTTGGTCGATGTAGACGTTCCACAAATCGGTTCTCTTGGGTGCGTCGGTGATCAAGCCTTCAAACAACGATCTACCTTGCTCGGGATCTCCTTTGGCAAATTCAAGCTGGCCGAACTTTCTCACAACATCAATGTGGTCTCTCTTGGGAAGAGACTGCAAGGCACGCGCCAAGACCTCATGGGATTGATCCAGCATATCACGGTCCATGTAGAAGGATCCACATTGCACCCACACGGCCACGTTCTGGCTAAACTTCTTGCACATGACTCTGAAGAGTTCCTCGGCCTTCTCGAACTTTTCGGAAAGCACATAGATGCCAATCAATTTTTGATGCATGATCAAACTGTCCATGTATTGGACTGAACGTTGGAAAGCCTCGGCCAAGGACTCATCGGTGCCGAAAGTATTTTCCAAGTTAAGTATAGCAATCCAGATGTTCATCTTCTCTTGCTCTTCACGGTAGTTGATGGTCTTCAAGGCTCTCTCAGCAATTTCTCTTGATTTGTCGATCTCACTGAGCTGCAATTGGAACGACATGTAGTTCATCCAAAGAACAGACGAGTCTGGGTTACCGACAAGCAAACGCTCAAAGTCTCCCACGGACTCCGGTGCCCTGGAGTTCATTTCTAGTGTACGGTCCTTGACCTGCTTCTTACCCTTGCCTCTTCTCTTCTTCTTTTGGGTAAAGTCTTCGCCATCGTCATCGGAGGACTCGTCATCCTCGGCTTGATCCAAGATCGATGCAGTCCAGTCGAAACCGTTCGTAGACAAGCCGCTCAAACCTTGGCTTGCGGGCTTGGCTTCCAGCGTGCTTTCTTCCTCAGATTCCGAATCGTCATCAGACTCGAAAGCGTCGTCCATAACTTCGTCCTCCGCATCAACTTCAGCCTCGGACTCGCTTGCCGCATCCGACATCTCAACATCTTCATCCTGTAATCCCATGAAGTAGGAAGCTTTCATGCCAAGAGAAAGCTGTCTTTTGGTGGTATCGATCTTCAAAATCTTCACCTTCACACGGTCACCTTCACTGAAGAAATCACCGACATTTTCGATCTTGTTATCAGAAACTTCGGAACGGTGACAAAGCCCACTTACATTGGCAGTACCATCCAACCTAACGAACACACCGAATTCAGCCACCTGCTTAACACTTCCATCGTAAATCTGGTCGACCTCCAATTCCTCAAAAGTCTTGAAGCTGGCCAAATCACCATTGACTTCGCTCTCCTTCAAAGACATCGAAATCCGTCCCTCCGTCTGGCACTGGGCTATCTTTCCAACAACACATTGGTATGGCTTGTAGTACTTCTTCCAGTCGCTTAATTGTACATCAGAGATGTCAGACACACGCACCAACGCGAACAAGTCCTTGTTTAACGCGACAAAAATACCTGTGTTAGAGATAGACTTGACGAAACCCTTCACTAATTTGCCTCTCTTGAGGTCCTCAATGGATCTGATGGCCTTATCTTTGGCAGTTTCTTCGTTTCTTAAGCTAACCACGAGTCTCTTCTCGCCCGATTCGATCTCTAGGACAGTAGCGAGCACAGGCTGGTTTGGCTTAAATGCTTCTGATAACTTTTGGTCGTAGTCACCCAAAGCATCAGTAATGAATGCTCTTCCCGCAACTTCTGTGCTGAACTCCACCAAGACGTTGGAGTCTGACACAAAGAAAACCATACCCGGGATTTTCTGTCCCTTGGTCACTTGAGATGTAGAAGTGATTTCTTTGTTTCCAGCAGACAAGACAAGTCTTTGCTGTTTGAAGTTCACTCTCTGAACTTTGAGCTTCAAGCATGCACCAATCGGGAAATTGGCCTCGAAGTCTTCATACTCCTCGGCCTTTTTCGAAAGGTTGTAGACAAGAGCTTCACCGACAACGCCAGGTGCAAGGGACACAATGGCATGACCACGGTCGAATGCATCAATGTAGGCAAACACGGTCAGGTCAACTTCTACGTCCTCCAACTGGGCCGGCTTGTATGGCGTTTTGCTCTTCACCTGCTTTTTCAATATGGACAACTCTACCACAGAATCATCTGAAAAAGACGAACTTGTAGTGAACTTACAAGTCTTAGTATTGTTGTAGCCAACGACTTGAGCCTTGACTGACTCGCCGATCTTGACCGAAGCAAGCGGATGCTTGGTGTCCTTGATTTGATCAGCGGAGCTAAAGTACTGGCTGGCATGGACCCTGCCAAAGAAGTTGTCAGCCAAGCGCACCTTCAAGTGATTTCCCTCGATGGACTCGATGATTCCATTGGTGGTCTCACCACAAGCAAAGTCGGTGGTGAGTTTCTTTGAGGAGTCCACAGGGTTCTTCAACTTCTTAGCCTTGTAGGCATTGGCACTTTCGGTGTCAGCAAGAGAAAGCAAGAATCTCTTGTTCTCATTGTCAACTTTGATGACCTCACAAGCGACAGACTGGTTTTTGTAGAAACGCTTCAGCAAGTCCTCGGATGGATCAGCAGATGCGTTCTTAGGTAAAACCAAACCAGTCAATCTGCCGGTGAAACTCACAAAAAGCCCCATGTTTGTGACAGACTTCACGAATCCGGAAAGAGTCGAGCCGACGTGAATGTCTTCGTAATGCAAAGGCAAAGTCTCGGACTTGGCCGCGTTGATCAACGATTTCTTGGCGGAAACAACCACAGTTCTGGTCTTCATGTTCTTCTCAAGAACCAAAACTTCCAAGATGCCACCAACTTTTGACGACTTGTAGATGATTCTGTTCTCCTCGTAGTTACCATCAGATAAATGGCCAGTGAAGATCAAGCCACGCAAATTAGAGCCCTCCAACTCCACCACGAACGCCTCTTTGGACTTTTCGACGACAGAAGCCTTCACCACACTGCGACCAGGAACGATTTGTTCGAGATGTTGGGCTTGTGCATTGCTGAGGTCAGCAGCCTGTCTCAAAGTGACAGAAATCTTACCGTCCTCAGGCGAGAACTTCATGACTCTGACACCAACGGCCTGATTTTCTCTCAAGTAGTCCTTGGCGTTTTCCACGAAGGTCTCTGAAATTTCGTTCTTGGGCAAGTACGCCTTCAACTTACCGAAGAAGGAAACCACGGCACCGCCCGCGACAAACTTCTCAACAACTGCAGTGGTCTTGAACCCCACAGACAAGTGGTCGGTGCTGTATACGATGGCTTCCTCCTCCATGTTGACTAAACTCTTTCTCAACGTCACGTAGAGCTTTCTGCCATTCTTCTGCAAAACTCTGCCCTTAACAATGCCACCCACCTTGAACTTTCTCTCTGGGTACACCAACTTGATGTCAGACATGTGCTTAGGAGGCACCATAGCCTCAAAGTCACCGAAAAACTTGACAATCAAGCCCCTGCCTTCGGGCAAAATCTTGGTCACCTCAGCCGACGAGATGTACTCGCCAACAGGGATATCCTCTGCAGAGGCAAACTTGGAGTTGATGACTTTCGGGTTGAGCGTCATGATCAACACGTTGTCGATCTGGTTGAAGCCCAAGACGCGCGCACGGTGCTTCGAGCCGATCGGGTATTCAATATTGGCGACTTTATCTGGGTCCGTGTTGGACTTGTGCACCTGGCCCACGATCTCGGAGCCGGTAGAAAGGTATATGTATTTGGAGTCGGCGCCGATCACGGTGAGCGGCAGCTCGAAAACAAAGCCCGAGGGGAACGCCTCGAGGGGCTCGGAGTTAAGCGAGACGTCCATGTCAAACACGCGGGGGGCACGGGATAACATTAGACTCTTGACACCATCTTCGACCAAGATATTAATGACTCTGGCCCGGACGGTCGAGCCAATGGCAAAGTGGTTCTTCAACTTGTCGACGCTGAACTCGCCCGCGTGTGGAAGCGAAAACGTGGCGTCCACCATGCCGAAAACACGGGCATGGATTCCATCCTCGGCCACGTCGCTGATAAGAGCGTTGACCACAGCACCTGGGTGGATCGCGTCCACGGATGTTATCGTGGACACGGTGGTCTTCTTGTTGACGTTCTCATTGTGCGCCGGTCTCAAGGTCACAGTCCGGGCGCTTGTGGAGGCAATCGATGCCAACACCACCTGGCCCGGTCTGAAGGACAGCACTGAGATCTCGGCCTTCTTCAACTCTTTTTTGGGCATGAAGCCGGAATAGTTGTCCAAGCCCAAGCTAAGCACAATGCCGTGGTCCTCGACGGATTTGACGGACGCCTGGAGAAGATTGCCAGGCGCCAAGTCGCTCTCTTCGAGAGCTGCATTGTTGACCTGCGGCTCGATGGTGAGATCGATGGATTTCTTCTTGTCGTCGCCAGGCATCACCACGGCTCTGAGCCACTGGCCGATTGAAAACAAAGACTCCAACTTGGGGAACTCGGGCTTGATAGAAAGCACAGGCGCACTGCTCTCGTCCTCGTCCTCCTCGTCAGACGAGTCCATGGCAGCCTCGTATTTTTCTAGCTGTTCAGTGAGCTCGTCACTGATTGCTGTGATGGGGACGTGGCCGACCAAGTTGTCACCGATTGCGATCGAAAGCTGTGTTCTGGCTATGCCTACAATCTGCCCGAGCACAGAAACACCGGGCAACAAGTTCTTGAAACTGAGGTGCGCCACGGGCTTGAGTTTTTGGTCCGCGGCGTCGGTGTTTTTGCCACCAGCGCTGTGTTTCTGCTTCTTGGCCTTCTTGTGCAGCTTGGCAACCAGGTCGTCGGCAACAGGCCCTCTTTTTTTCTCCAGAGAAGCCTGCTCGAAAAGCACGTCTTCCGTGGCCTTATTGGAGATTGTCTTCATTTCCAAGGGCGTCAACACGGACGCACCTCCTCTCGGAAACGCCACCTCGCTGCTGCTGAGTTTCGTGTTGACAGCAGGGTCCATTTTTGTATGTGTGGTGCTAACAAAAAGATGGGATTCAGGCGTGAGATTCTGAAGCCAATACCGAGAAGAGGGAAAATTTTGGCACCACGAGAAGCGCATTTAGTGAGATGAGCTCGATGCTGCTCTGTGTGCAGGCCGCGCGCATGTCGATAAAGCGGCGGCGGATTACTGCCTGCTGTGTTCGTGTAATTTCAACGACTCATGACGAGACCTTCATCGTTTGGTCTTTGAGATCCGCATCATCGTATTTTGAGGCTTTTTTGTTTGAACTGCGCTCCTGCGTTTCTTGCTGTAAGGCTCTGATGTTTTTTAGTATCGGTTTAATGTTTTTGGATGTGAACTTTTGTGAGTATCCACTCTGTTTATGCATTCCTAAGAATTAGATATTCAAGAATTAGAAAATAAAACTTTGTGAACGCCAAGTCAATACCTTATTAACTTTACCACCTATCAAAACGTAAAGTAATAATATATAGACCAACGGGCCAGAAAAATCCTCAAAGTAACGTATTAATCTACGAAAACCTCTCATCTATCAGCTTTCCTTTTGAACCTCCACTTTCTGCAGTTAGTGGCCAAGCACGATGTTCTTCTCACTTCTTCTTTTTGTTGTTCTTCTTCTTCGGACGCATGATCACTTGCCCCTCGGTAACTTCGGGCGGCTGGTCCTTGAATTTCTCCTGTGACTCGAGATAAAACATCAAATCCTTCACTTGCTCACCGAGGTCTTCATTTTGCACCTTCAATTTCTCATTCTCCTCAGTCAAAAACTCCACTTTTTGCGAGAGACCCTCACAAAGAGCATTAGACTCCTGTAGTTCCTGCGCAGCTATTTTCAACGAGATCTGCTTCATGTCGATCTTCTGTTTGAGCGCCGGAATCACGTTCGTCGTCACCTTCTCGAGTTTTGCAGTCAAATCTTCTAGCTTCTCCTCCAACTCGGTAATCTTCAGCAAGTTGCCGATTGGCTCTATGACAGAAGAACGTCGCCTGGCGCCACCCATCTGCTGCCTGTCTTTAAGGAGAAGCTCGTAGTATTCACGTTGGCTGATGAGCTGGGAGAGCAAGAGCTCTGAATACTCGTCGCTTTCGCTCTCCAGCTTGGCAGATACTTTGTCATCCACGTGGGCTTTGTTCGGAAACTCCACGATTTTCCCATCCGACTCGCTCGCAATGAGCCTGTGCACGTAACTATCGCCTGCGTAGTCCCACACCCTGGATGTGTCTAGTTCCATGGCAAAACAGTGGCCACTCTCCACAAAATGCTTTAGCAGATGCTGCTCAGGTGCATACCGGCTGCACCCTAAATTCCCACAGATTAGACACACCCAGAGGTTGTCTGTGGTGGTACAGTTCATACATGTTTCGGTATCGTCTTCCACCGCTGAACGCGGCTGTTCCCCCTCGAGGGGTTGCAGAAGCTGTTGTTGCTGCATGCGTGAGTTGATTTGCAGCAACCGACGCACCGATCTTCTGATTCTCTGGTTCGAAATGCTGTTTGTGTACCGACAAACAGGACACGTGTCGTCCCGCCATTTGGAGAGGCATTGACAATGGAACGTGTGCTGGCATGGAATTGTAAGAAGCCCCGAGATCTCGCAGTCTAGTTTCTCAAGACACACGGGGCACGTCGGAAGCTCCACCAGGACCAGGTTTTCGCTCGTCTTGCTGCTGCTGGAGTCCGCTGTGCTAGCTCCAAGACTGTGGCCAGACGTGAACGGGTCTTTCATAAGAAAAGGAATTAGTGCCTCCCGATTAGGCATTTCCGTCTCTACAGGCGCATCTATAGTCACCGATCGCACAAACACCACGTGGCAGGCCTCGGGCTCCATGGAATTGAACGGTTTGCCGTCGAAATGGTACTGGAATTCTGCCGCCTTGAGCGCGTCGTTGAATTTGACGAGTACCAAAAAGCGGTTTGGCTTTTCACTCTTGAGCACCCGGATATGCGTGACGTGATCCATGTAGTGATCGCCTATGAAACCTAGAAGATCGGTGGCCGTGAAATATGTGGGAAGAGCTATGATCGATAACATGGTATCATCATGTTGATCTACCGCAGCAGTCTGTTCTGGTGTCCGAATGGACCCGTCGTCAAAATCACGGAAAAGCCGGATGGCGCCGCGGCCCAACAGCTGCGCTTTCAACGGCTCATGGCTGATGTGGTCAGAGCTCATTTCGATGGAATCGTACCCGAAAACAGATATTTCAGAGATCCTGTAATCTTGTGGTGCAGAATTGGATTCTTCGCTTCCAATTGGAATCAGGTCTATTTCTAACGGCAAAGATTCAATCGAGATGTGGTAGGAATCTGTTCCTATCATACTCTGTGATAGTGTTGAAGGTGCAGCTCCATGGTGGTCTGGAGTATTTTCGCGTGGGGGAACTCGCTGTATTATGCAAGAAAGCCGCATCGTGGAGGGGAACTGGAGAGAACCCGAGAAAGGCTGTTGGAGATGAGGCAGAGAGGTGAAGTCAAGTATCATCAAACTATCATGTGCCTTGGAAACTGTTGTCTTTGCAATTCTGTGTATTGAATCAGTTTTGGCTGTGCTTTCAAGACGTCGCTTCATAAGGTAATGTGGATAAGTTGCGACAACTGGATATTTGCACCCACGGCTGGCGAACACTATATATCAAAATCACGCACCTCCACTATGTAATTCTAATGATTTTGGACTGTATCGGTGGAGCTGTTAGTCTAAAGGACAATATTGAATTTTCATTGTCTCATCGTTCTGGGAAAAGTACCTACTACTGGGGCCCAATAAATCGAAACGCACTCTCATATTAATGAATGTTGTTCTTGATGTGCGAGAACTTTGGGTAGAGAAACATTTGAGAACGCCATCTATTTTTGAATCAGTAACTATGCTCTATATAAAACATTTATGAAAGCGACTGACTTGATGCCGGTTTCAGGAAACTTCCTCTTATGCGATCGACTCTAAAATTAGGTGATGTGACCAGTGTTTCTCTTTGCAATTCTTCACAGCCCAATCTCATAAATATCTAGGATCTAGAGATCTTCGACATGCTTCTTTGGCACTATTTATTGCGGCAAGCCGCTTACTTGAGGTACCATGTGGCTATTCGTACAGCCTGGGTGTATCCGTTTCACGTGGTTGAGAAAAGGTACTAAATAAGCCGATTTACGAAATGAATGGCACCTGAACACATCAGTATTTGTATTTGTATCAGTGAGAATGCAAGGTATTAATTTGCAATACGACGCGGGCTCCATCAGACTACAAGTAAGACTCTTGCATGTTCTGTCCAGCTCAATCATAATGCTTCTAAATCGTTTATCTTCACACGATCTATAATCTATCAAAACCCATACTTTGTGGGGTCAAAAGCAGCCAAACTAGGGAGAATTTCACCGCCCGTGCTGAGAATGTCCTTTTCTTTGCCCTTGAGTTCAGCAAGCGCACCTGGGTGGGGTACCCAGATCACGGTGGCATTGGCATTCTTGCCAGAAAGAACACCAGGAATCCCGTCTTCAAACACCAAACACTCCTCCATAGCAATACTTTCCAAGCCGTCTTTTTCACGCTGCTGGTTCAAAGATTCAAGACAAACGTGCCAAATATCTGGGTTTGGCTTTCCACGGCCAGGCGGAATACGAGGGTCGTCTCCAGTCACGACATGATGGCCGAATATCTCGAAATGTTCCGAGAGCCTATCGGTCTTGAGCTTATAATTAATCAGATTCGACCCTGTTCCTAAAGCCACGGGAATGTTCTTCTCCTTCATATACGAAAGAAGAGGCAATGCTCCCTCCAACCAATCGCTTGTGCCCCAGAGATCTTGCAACACCTCGAACGCTTGTTCCATGTATTGCTCAGGTGTCACTTCGGTTATACCGTACGCATTTAAGAGGTTGCGCGTGGCTTCAGGACCAGGTCTGCCCTGTAAGTCGAGTTTGATGTCCCATGTTAACGGTCCTTTTCCGTATTTGGCGAGGACCTTGGAGGTACCCTCGGTGTAGATATCCTCGGTGTTAAGCAACGTGCCATCCAAGTCTGGATCTGTTAGTATATGTCTATATTTGTCGTTTGTGTGTTGTCATGAGTCACTGGTGATATTATGAGATATTGGGAGTTTTTCGTGGCTGCCTTGGGCTGACTCAGCACCTTGTCGATTTCACATACCGAAAAGACAAGCTTTGAATCTGGAATGTTAGTATCGCGAAGCGAAAATACCTTGTTTCACTTTGAGTCTACATACTGCTTTTGAGCCATGATGATGGGAATGAATGTAGGAATTTGGTGGGGAAAAGTGGGGGAAATGGAGGTCTGCGCGGAGATTCGGGTGGAATAGATAGTCCTAAATATCTTCTGCTGTGCTCTCGATGTCGCGCAATATGATTATATTTGAGATAATAGTAGAAGGCTCTTACATGGATTGGTCAAGGCGAAAGATTCATGGTTATAAATTAAACTGGCATTTCAAACGTTGCACAAACGTTGCGCTTTACTTTTGAAGTCTTTGATACTGTTGCCTTGGAGCTCAATTACGTGAGCCCTGGCTTCATTAGCATGACGCCCGCCGCGTATCTATTGGCAGGCTACCAGTTGGCAAGGGCTCGTGTCATCAAATACTCGGGCAAAAACATTTAGATATGGATTTTGTAAAACACCAAGCTAAACGATGTGATACGTCCTTTGAAACACCTCGGACAAAAAATACTCCATGCATTCCGGCTTTATTTATATTCGTCCACTGAACTTGAAAGCCAGCCGTAAGACGCCTCATTTCTTCCCTTCTATATTGTTCGAACAGAAATCGCCCAAGAAGAGCCGGACTTATTAGCAGATGGCTCCTGCGTATTCAGCACGAACGCCAGCAATTAACACCAAATAACCAATTTTTTCGGGCCCATTGATCAGGCACTATGGCCTCTGGCCTCAAAGAAAATATAAGTAGGATAGTGCACATCACATCGGAGTACAGGTCGAATACTAGAAATATTTCGAAGTTGAATATGTAATTCGCCGGCTTCTGTCGACTATGACCGAGCTCTCGCCTCTTTTCTTACAAAGGCGCGTTTTTGAACAAGTATGAGATGCTCTCTCCGTTGTGGAGTCTTCTGATGGACTCGGCCAACACGCCCGAAACATCGATTGTATCTAGCTTAGGACAGAGCTCCAACTTCTCCTCGAAGGGCACGGTGTTGGTGCACACAATGGCCTTGAGCTTGGAGTTGTTGATGTTCTTGATGGCATTGCCCGACAAGATTCCGTGCGTGACTATGGCAATGACTTCCTTGGCGTTGTTGTCCAACAAAACCTCGGCAGCTTTGGCCAACGTGCCGCACGTGTCGGCCATGTCGTCCACAATGATACAGATTTTGTCGGTGACGTCACCGACCAAGACCATGCGGGAAACCTCGTTGGCACGCGCTCTCTCCTTGTGGATCAAGGCGAAGTTCAAATCTAGCCTATCGGCCAAGCCAGCGGCTCTCTTGGCGCCACCTGCGTCGGGCGAGATGATAATGGCGTCCTTGAAGCTGACCTTCTCTCTGATGTAACGCACAACACTGGGCTCCGCGTACAAATTGTCGACAGGCACGTCGAAAAAGCCCTGGATTTGCGACGCGTGCAAGTCCATGGTGATCACATGGTCACACCCGGCGGTGGTCAACATGTCGGCCATGAGCTTGGCAGTGATGGGCGCTCTGCTCTTGTCCTTTCTGTCCTGTCTGGCGTACGGGAAGTTGGGCAAAATCACGGTGATTCTGCGGGCACTGGCCGTCTTGCACGCGTTGATCATGATCAAGAGCTCCAACACACGGTCGTTCACCACACCAGACCCGATCTGGCAAATGATGAAGATATCTTCGTCACGCACACTCTCGCCAATACTGAACGTGACTTCGCCTGTCGAGTCTCTCTTCAACTCGCTGGGGCTGATCTTGAGGCCAAGGCGTGCCGCCACGAGCTCAGCGAGGCCTCTGTGGACATCCGAAGCCAAAAGCTTGATCGAGTTTGAGAGCATTTTGTCTGTTTGAACAACGAGGGTAGCTGGCTTGAAGTCAGAGTCTGTCTAGAACAACTTGGCGAGCAAATTTGAGGGGGGAACAGAGAAGTTCAGTCTGGTGTTCTTGCACAGAGCTGAGCGTCGACAGCAAAAGTGGTCGAGTCTATGCGGCGAAACTTCTGGTGGTGTTCCCTGAGAGCCTGGGCCGGAGCCATTTTTTATGGCGGTTTTTTCCTCATTCCATCTATGCGCAGTTCGCGCATGCATGCCGATGGAGTTCCCCGGGATGTGGATCGGGGAACTACACAAACGGGTGTCCAGGGCCCAAAAGTCTATGGCATTTCCGTAAACTTTTTTTCCAAGAAAGCAGGTGCTGCCCAGGCCGCTGGTAACAAGGGACGGAACGCCAGGCCTGCCGCTGGCACCAGGTTGCCGGCGCCGTGCGGTCACGTGACCGCGGCACGATGGCCGGTGCCAGGCGGGCCATTTCAAGCGTGGCCCTGTGACTTGTGGAGGCGGCCAGGAAACGCATTGTTCGCTATTTCTGTGGTGAGCTGCCGTGCACCAACGCGGCAGCCTGTGGCAGGCGTCTGTGCGCCTCTAGAATAGACCCTGGAAGTCATCGTAGTTGTCCTCGTCGTTGGCGTCATTCATTGGGGGCTCGTCGTCTGCGCCGTTCTCGGCGAGCAACGCCTGTGCTTTGAAGGCGTCGTCCTTGGAGGTGCCCGAGTCGGCAGGGCCGTTGCCGGCCTGCATCGGGTCCTCCGTCGGCTCGTCGTCGTCTGGCTCATCATCATCATCATCGTCGTCGTCGTCGTCTTCCTGCTCGATTCTGCGGGGGTCGCCCTTCATGAGGCCCGGCACTTGCAGCTTGTTCTGGTGCTCGCGCACCTTGGCCAACTCGCGCTTCTTCAAGTCGAGTTGCGACTTGAGGTTGTTGTACGCGGACTGGAACTTCATCCGCATCATCTTGTAGCTGGCCTTGGCGAGTAGGACCTTCTGTTTTTCCGCAGCGTTCTGGAGGTCCGCGATCTCTTCCTCGAGCTTCTTGGCCCGCGACTTGTCCCGTTTCACGTCGTCGTCATCGTCGTCGTCATCGTCGTCGTCGTCATCATCGTCGTCGTCATCATCGTCATCGTCGTCATTGCCAGCCGCCGCCCCCTCGTCGTCATCTTCGTTGTTGTACTCCAGCTTCATGAGCACAGTGGCGGCCGTGGTGTTGGACGTCGAGTCCAAGGCGTCGGCCAACTCCTGCTCGAGAGCAATGTCGAGATCCGCCTCGAGATCAAGCGCCATCTGGTCATCCGCGCCGTCTTCTTCCAGGTCGGCAAGCGGTGTTGTGGGGGCCTGTTCCGACACGCCCGCGGCGTCCCGCGCCACCGAGGCCGAGGACGCGGTCCGCAGAAGCTCGTGGGACCGGCCGTTGTCGGCGGCTCGAGGGAGCTGCAGTCTCGGGTTGACGTACTCGTAGTGGCTCTCCTGGGCGTCGGCGTCGCGGCGGATGATTTCGTCCACGCGCAGCTCGACGTCTGTCATGAGGCGATGGTTGACCTTCTTGGGGCGGAAGCGGCGGTACACGTCCTCAAACGACGCCAGGAGCCCGTGGCGGTACGCGGTTTTCGAGGGCCGGATTTCCTTGTTGACCGACAACGTGTAGAGCGGGTGCGTGTACGTGTGCTCGTCCGGCACCTCGAAGTCCGAGTCCATGTTCAAGTGCTTCGGGTTGATGGTGCGCAACACGAGCAAGATCTGACTGACGTCGATGGTCTTGAAGATGTTCTTCTTGTCCACGGTCTTGTAGAGCTCCGTGAGCGTGGGCAAGTCGATGAGCCGCGCCGAGTAGAGCGTCAGGTTGACGTTGACCACGGCCTTGTCACGGGTGATCCACTTGATGTTGACGTTGGAAAAGTCGCCGCTGTCGGCCGCGGAATGTAGAAAGTCGAGGTTGGCGTCGTGGAGGAAACGCACGGCAATGGCCTGCTCCAACAAGGGGTCGTCCTCGACGTCGGGCGCCTCGGAATCGTAGCCTTCGCCGGGCACTCGTGTTGGCTTAATGCGCACCTTGGGCACTTTCTTGGGAACCGCCGGGAGCGGCGCGTTCTGGTCGCTGGCGCCTGTGCCGCCGCCGGGCGACGACTGGCTGGACTTGCCCAAGCTGAGCTTGAGCTTCTTGAGCTTTTCCTTGGGCGGCCTGGGCTTGTGTATGCTGCCCAGAGCGTCGTTCTGGGAGCCGTGCTTGATTTTGAGCCTCGGTAGAGGTTTGGGCTCCGGCTCTTCCGGCTTGTTCTTAGCCGCCGGCCGCTTGGACGGGTTGACCTTGAGCTTGAGCTTCAAGGACATTTGCAGGGGGTGTGGGAGCGGTTTGATGAGTGTTTGGGAGAGGTTGGTGAAGACCGGACGGTGAGCTGGGCCAACTCGCTGGGCCGACTCGCTGGGCCGTGAGGCCTGGCGCTGGGTGCAGGAACACCTGGTTCCGGCTGCTTCACAGGCGTCAGGGAGACGGCTTTTTACGGCCCGTGGAGATCTTTGGGCCTACTCTGCTTAGCTCCAAGTCATGGACTTGGAATCCTGAGATTTAATCGAGGGTGGGGCAATTGTGGCGGGGCCTGGCACGGTCCTCGCGCCCCGGTATGACGCACCTCGGCCCGCAGAACATCGAAGGATATGATATAGATCTATTCTATGAAAGAGCATTGCGGTTGGATCGTGTGCTTTGCTTGTTTAAAGCTTGTTGTATGCGCAAGAAGCATATTAGAGCTTTGACTGTCCGCGGATCAAAAATCAACTGGAGAGGAATGGTCTCAACTGACTTAACTCGCTGATGAATATACGTTGCATACCTAATATCCATAACTTTAGAGTGCGCACTTTCATGCGATCTTGATACTCTTTCCTATCAGGGTTTTGCGCTTTTGTCAGAGCACCTTCTGGTGTCAGCATCTAGTACACGTATACTTGTCAATAGTAACATCAGGACCTGTATCCGAAGAACTGGCCGTTTATGTGCAAGATATTTTAAGTGAAATGTATTGATCATATGTGATCTTGGATTCATGCAAAGGTCTATACACTGGCTCACCATGAGAATTGCATATCAGTTGGTATGTGTCTTCGTCAGTGTTGTCGCCCTCTGTTCGTTGAGAACACAATTGATTAATTGCGATACAGAAAAATAGTTTTTGAGTCGACGATGAATGGAGCTTCAATATTTAAATTTGGCGGTTTTATCTTTCATCAGCTTATCATTCGTCTCTTGGAAGAAATGGATCTGGACTCATTTTACTTGGGTAATGGGCTGCATTCATAAAGACCGTCTAACTTGAGACAAACACTATTGCCCAAGAATTCTGCTACCAATCTAAGCAGCTATTGCTTAATGTTTCTATCAATCACTTTCAAGCGTGGGAAAATTCGAGTCATGCGCTTGTTTTGCAATGCTGCACACACTTTGCGTATTCCGATTCACCGGGAAACTGCAGGATCTAATACCAAGACAGTGCGTTGAAAGCTTACGAGTGTTTGGAGAATTCTGTTTTCGAGTGGGCGATAGAACCAATGGGCAGAATAATAAGAGAATAGGCTTTAGAAGCTGAAGATTTGGGGCGATATAGTCTGAGTTCTGAGTAGGCTGCGTGATATACAACTGAAGGCGATGTGACATTTTGGATTATTCAGTTCGAAATGAGTATTGCAGAGCGCGAATATCGCAACAAAACATCTTACGGAGTATCTTAGAGCAGTATGTGGCAGGGGGTACAGAGCTAAGCATAGTCTGAATGGGCCGTATGATGACGACGCCAAAAATGCATGTGGTGGAATTGAAGAGACCTGTTGCGCTTGCATGTTGCAAGAGGAGACGTACCTGGATCTTCAAATGTGGAGTTCCAATACCTGGCCAGCCCGGGAATATTGAGCGAAAAGTCAGAAGATGGAAAGCACGGCAGTAAATCAAGCGCCTAAATCACGAGAAGGGAGCATACGACAGGAAAGATCCATGGCTTAATTCTTCGCTTCTTCGCAGGCTGCCGGACGAGACGCAGGCCCTAACTCTGGGCCGTCCTGGATGCGCCCAAGTCGCGGATTCCACGGGGCCAAGGACTATGGATCCAAGCAACGGCGCCTGGGCCAGACTACGGGGCCCGGCACCTCGCCCCGTCTTGGTGCTATTTGGCATTTGTCAGATGTGCTTTTCCTGTTTTTCTATTTATGTTTCTTTCAAATTCAAGCTCCTTTCATATTCAAGTTCCTTTCATATTCAAATTTCTTTCATATTCAAGTTTCTTTCATAATCAAGTTTCTTTCATATTCAAGTTTCTTTCATATTCATTTCCCTCTCATCTTCATTTCCCTCTCATCTTCATTTCCCTCTCATCTTCATCTCCCTCTCATCTTCATCTCCCTCGCATACTCATCTTTCCTTCATTTTCTCTTCAATTCCCCTTTGCCTCCCTCTTTCCAGTTCCATTCCTCTCTTCACAGTCAGTTTGTGTAGCCGTCCGACAAGCGGCCTGTCTGGTCTGCGGGCAGCGCGCTCGTCTTCCGGGCCTGCTTTTCGCCCTGGCCCTGTCAGTCTGGCGCCGCGCCGCGGCCCTGTCGCAGCAAGACTTAATACAAAGTAATACACTGGCAGCTGCAACAACCCACACCACCAGCCCCAAACACCAGAGCTCTGAAGGCCCCACCCAGGACAATTTTCAGCTTGTCCATAGAGTGCACCTCCTGTGAACCTTCTGTGGACCTTCTGGGGACCTTCTGTGCCACTGGAATTTCAATCGCCGACTGCCCCAGATTCGTGGCCCAGTCGCAGGACCAAGCCTGCCCCGGCCTAAAGTTGCACCCTGCCTCGCACCGGCCCTTGCACCCATTCGCGCCAGAAAAAAGCCGGCCTGCCCCAAACCACCTTTCGCACCCATAACTCCACCCTCTTTTCTTCCCCTACCCCCGGCAGCCCGCTGCATTCCCCGTTCTATCCCGCCGCTAACCCCCGTTGCGCAGCGCTGGCCCGTGGCAGTCTCCTCTGGCCACAAACGCAAAAAAAAAGAAACGCAGAAAACGAGCCAAGCGCCCTCTCTGTTGCCCCACCCGCCGATCCTACCCGCCCATGTCGCACAGACCCCTGTTCCAAGGCCGCCGGCGGCTGAGCACTTTCCAGCGGCGGTCCCGCCAGAACAGCGTGTCCACGCTCGACGCCACTGCGCTTGTGGACGACAACACCTCGGAAATGTTTTCTGGCGTGGCCTCCGGCGTCATCCCGTCGTCCGTGTCGTCCTTCCACTACGCGCACCACTTTGCCCGGCGCCCGTCCCAAGGCGAGCCCCTGGACGACGCGCTGCCGCTCCTTGCGGCCGCCTCGCGGCCCGCGTACGGCGCCAGCGCGCCGGACTTGGACTTGCGCTCCGTGGCCTCCGCCGTCTCGGCCGTGCTGACGGAGTCTGCCCAGGGCAACTTCCGCTTCTTCACGTCCGACGAGATCGAGGCGGCGCCAGGCGGCCTGACCCTCCAGACGCCGGCCTTTGCCGTGGACTACAACACCCACTGGGACTACCCCGTGGACAAGCTCGGCGACGCGGACGGCACGCTCCAGCCGGACGGCCGCGCCCGTCTGCCTCCTGCTGGGGGAGCCACTTTGAACGGGCCGGGGGCCTTGGACCGGCTCTCCCGGGCGTCCGGCCCTGCCGGTGACGCGGACGACGATGCCCGCTCTGTGTACGAGGACCGGTTCCGGCGCCGCAGCTCCGTGGCCTCGAGCAAGAGTAGCGCGTCGGCCAGCGCCGCGTCCGCGCGTGCCTCCCTCGAGGAGGCCGCGTTTGTGAAGGACTACGCGCCCGTGGCCTGCTACCAGCGGTACTACTTGGCCGAGGAAGACATCGTGGTGGGCATCGCCGGCTACTCGGCCTGTCTCTGGAAGACCGTACTCTACTACGCGCTCTGTGTGTGCACGCTCGGCGTGGGCTACGTGGTGTTGCGCTGGCTCCCGCGCTACCGCGTCAACTTGAAGGGCACGCCGTGCCCGTTGGGACGGGCGGACTGGTGCGTCGTGGAGAACGAGTACGGGGAGTTGACCATGGCCGAGGTGACGCGCGCGCGCTTCGGCGACCGCCTCTCGAGCTTCCTCACGGTGGCGCTGAAGCTGGAAAACGACGGCCTCGATGCGTCCTCCGCCAAGGACCACAACCCGGTGGTGCCCTACGTGCACTCCTTCGAGTATCGCTACCTCAAGTTCTTCTACAGCCCGGTGGACGACATGTTCCGGACAAACTCCAACTGGTACGACTTGCACTGGCTCAGTGTCAAACACCTCCGCGAGGGCACGGCCCAGTCGCTTCAGGAGCAACGTGCGGACATCTTCGGCAAAAACAACATCAGCATCCGCGAGAAGTCCGCCCTACAGCTCTTGGCCGACGAGGTCTTGCACCCGTTCTACATCTTCCAGGTCTTCTCCATCCTCCTCTGGCTCGCCGATGACTACTACTACTACGCCTCGTGCATCTTCATCATCTCGCTTGTCTCAATCATCAACACGCTTATAGAAACAAAAACCACCATTGCCAGGCTCAAGCAGATGAGCTTGTTCAACTGCGACATCCGGGTCTGGAGACACGGGTTCTGGACTCAAACCGACTCCGACAACTTGGTCCCCGGGGACGTGTTCGAGGTGGACCCCTCCTTAGCCATCATCCCTTGCGATGCACTCTTGATCAACGGCGAGTGTGTGGTGAACGAGTCTATGTTGACGGGCGAGAGTGTTCCCGTCACGAAATCGCCGGCCACAAACGACACGGTCCAACACCTCGCAGAAAACTTCACCAGCTCGGTATTGACTCGCTCGTTCTTGTATAATGGAACCAAACTTCTCAAGATGAAGACATCCAATGACGAGCCTGTACTCGCAACAGTGGTGAAAACGGGCTTCAACACCACGAAGGGCTCCTTGGTGAGATCCATGCTTTTCCCAAAGCCTGCAGGATTCAAGTTCTACGAAGACTCATTCAAGTACATCGGCTTCATGACTATCGTGGCCTTTTTTGGCTTCATTTACTCAACCTACAACTTCATCCAGATCGGCCTTCCCAAGCGTATCATGATTTTGAGAGCTTTGGATATCATCACCATTGTTGTGCCCCCCGCATTACCCGCCACTTTGACCATCGGAACCTCTTTTGCAGTCACAAGGCTCAAGCAGAAACTGATATTTTGCATTTCTCCTACGAGAATCAACATCGGCGGGAAAATAGACGTGGCGTGTTTTGACAAGACAGGAACTTTGACCGAAGATGGCTTGGACGTTTTGGGTGTTCATCCCACGAAAAGTGCCGATGGAAGAAAGGAGATTGTGTTCGAACATCTTATCTCCAGTATTGACCAATTGTCGCATCAACATGCTGAAGGTCATGAAAACAACATCCAAAGTAAGAATCTTCTTCTAGGATGCATGGCCTCTTGTCATTCCTTGCGTTTGATTGATAATGGACTCCTCGGTGACCCGTTAGATGTCAAGATGTTCGAATTTACGGGATGGAACTTCATTGAAGAGTTTGGTGGCTTGCCTTTCCCACTTGTATACGACAGTGTGGGGAAGGAGACTTTTGGATACAAGATCCTCAAGGAATTTGAATTTGTCGCTGCTTTGCGTAGAATGTCAGTCCTTGTTGAAAGGAATGGTAATAACTACATTTTTACCAAAGGTGCACCGGAGGTCATGCTTGACATTTGCGACCCCACAACAATCCCATCTGAGTATGAGGAGTTGCTTCATAAGTACACTCACGGTGGGTACAGGGTCATCGCTTGCGCTAGTAAACCGTTGGCTAAGGGAAAACATAAAAACCCAGACAGATTGGATGCCGAAAAAAATTTGAGCTTCTCTGGTTTTATCATCTTTGAAAACAAGCTCAAATCTTCTACAAAAGGAACTCTTAAACAACTACGTGACGCAAAGATCCGAAGCGTTATGTGTACTGGCGACAACGTCTTGACGGCTGTGAGTGTTGGAAGGGAATGTGAGTTGATTGATCCACTAGTCACCCAAGTCTACATACCCCGATTCGCCAGCGATGAAGAAGTTTTGAGCTCGGGAGACACGGGGCTTATTTGGGAAGATATGCACAACCCGCTGAACAAATTAGATCCCACTTCCCTTCAAAGAGTGACGAGTGATATTCGTGATGATGTCCACGAATACATCTTGGCGATCACTGGTGACATTTTCCGTTACATATTGGTCGAGTTGCAAAGACCATATTTGACGGATATGCTCTTGATGAAATGTAACGTTTTTGCCAGAATGTCGCCGGATGAGAAGCATGAACTTGTCGAGCAGCTTCGAAAGCTTGACTATACAGTGGCATTCTGTGGTGATGGGGCGAACGACTGTGGTGCATTAAAAGCAGCTGATGTGGGAATCTCATTGAGCGAAGCTGAGGCATCTGTTGCTGCGTCGTTCACGCTGAAAATATTCGAGATCTCGTGTGTCTTGGATGTGATTCGGGAAGGACGGTCTTCATTGGTGACGAGTTTTTCATGTTTCAAGTACATGTCCTTATACTCGGCTATTCAGTTCATGACCGTGAGCTTGTTATACAGGCGGGGGTCCAACCTAGGAGACTTTCAATTCTTGTACATTGACCTATTCCTCATTTTGCCACTTGCTATCTTCATGTCGTGGTCAAAGCCGTTTGAAAAGTTGGTGGTGAAGAGGCCAACGGCAAACTTGGTCAGTCCAAAGGTTTTGATTCCCCTTTTGTGCCACATCTTCATCATCGCAATGTTTCAAATTAGTGTCTGGCTATACGTCCAAGAACAGCCATGGTATATCAAGCCTGTGCCATCTGAAACTGATAGTGATGTTAAGTCATCAGACAACACTGTGTTGTTTCTTTTCACAAACATGCAATACATCTTGAATGCTGTGGTGCTCAGCACGGGTCCGCCATACCGGGAGCCAATTATCAATAACAAGCCGTTTTTATTGAATTTGGTTTGTGCTTTTGGGATGTCTACGCTCTTATTCAAAATTGATCAGGACACATGGTGGGGCAACTTCATGCAGCTTACTAACATGTCGCTGGAGGCATACTTTCTCATTCTTGTTGCCGCCTTCATGAACTTGACACTTCTGTACCAAGGTGAGCAGAGGGTGTTCCAGAAGTTTGCCTGGATTTACAAAAGACTATTCCATCGTCACCGAAAGAGTAAGAAAAGCTTCAAGAATTTGACAAACGATTTTAGACTTACTGTGTGATTGCAAAACTCGCACAATTCGCCATTATGCCGAGTTGCGAGAAAAAAATCTCAATCCCTCCAATTACATAGCGGGTAATATTATTGATCTTGAAGATTGCGCATACGCAGCCCATGTTTGAAAGTTAATGTGATCCCCAAACACTGGGGTTGCAGTTCAGGAGTAGATGTGTATCGAGAGGGGTAGGAGTCTAGGACTTCAAAAAAACGCAAGTATTACCAGATACGAGAGTCTATGATGGCTAAAATGTGGGGAAGTGTTTGCCACGAAAAAAAAACGAGGATAACGGTGCAGTCGTACGATACGAATCCTCAAAATAGTCCTAAATTTCGAAGTGGAGGTGTGAACAATTACTGACAATTCCGGAGTTTAATAGCAACGCCAGGAATCCCCATGAATGGCGGGACACATAAATTAGCTCAAACAAAAAGATTTCAGACCCCGCTGCATTTCTACCTGGAATGGCGGAATGATTGATACTAATGTTGTTCGGGGCAGTTGATAACCCTTCGCGGTTGAGGTTCTTCGGGACTCGGCCGGAGTTCTGCGGACTTCGCGGATTTTGCAGTTTTGGGGCGCGAACGTTGGCAGTTTGTGGGGACCCTCATCGGCCCCTCAAAAAAAACGATGGCGAAGACCCGCAAAAAAATTTGGTTGTGGGGCCGTGCCGGGCATTCGCGGGCCGGCGCGTAAAATTCTGACCACTGCATTAGTAAGACCAAAAATGTCAACACCCACGTTGAACAAAAGAACAGCGTCTCTTCTGGTGATGTGTATCTCTGTTCTTGAGAATACCCAATAGCAGAATACAACAAAGACGCAGAATCAAAAAAAGAATAAAAAAAATGAAAGAAAGCGTTGAGGACGGTTTCGGCAAGTCGGGCCATCTTTTGTCTCCGGGTCCGAGGTGGCCCGGCGGCTGGCAAGTGGCTCGCTTCGTAGTCCGCGACGCGGCGGTACAACGGATGGCCTATATGCACAACAGGCCAAGAATGCCATAGCCGATACCAGCCCCACAAAATAATGCCTTTAAAACGGCCGTCTCGCTGCGCCCTGGCATAGCGCAATTCCAGATTGGTCTACAGATAAAACATAGTGGCTTTTTTCGCAGGACGTTAAACATTGCCTCACTTTGATTTATTTACAACAGCCGTGCACTCATCACGCCTCACTTTTTTTTCTTTCACGGATATAACAACTCTCGCTAGACCGCACAATTCTTCTGGAATTCACAGCCGTCTGCATATCTCATCACTTGAACAAAAAAGAAAAAAAAAAAACTTTAAGTATTAACCATGTCTTCAATCTCTGGTGACTCTCACAAGGAAGTTCAGTCCGACCCAGGCGTGATGAAAATCTCGACCTCGGGTACCGCCGACCAATACGTGACAATCGGTAAGCACACCTATCACAAGCACGAGTTGATGGAGGCGTTCGGTGGTTCTTTGAATCCTGGATACGCTCCATTCCCAACCCGGGAGTTCGGTAATCCTTCTCCCCTTGGATTGTGTGGTTTCGCTTTGACCACCTTTGTGTTGTCGATGATCAATGCCCAGGCCATGGGTATCAAGGTCTCGAATGTCGTTGTCGGATTAGCATGTTTCTACGGTGGCTTTGCTCAATTCTGTGCCGGAATCTGGGAAGGTTTCGTTGGAAACACCTTTGCCATGTGTGCTTTGACCTCGTACGGAGGCTTTTGGCTTTCTTTTGCAGCCATCAACATTGAGGCGTTTGGCATTGCTTCTGCATACGAGGACCACGAGGGCATGCTTGCCGATGCGATAGGCTTCTTCCTAGTTGGATGGGCCATCTTCACGTTCATGTTGACTTTGTGCACGTTGAAATCCACAGTGATGTTCTGCTCTTTGTTCTCGTTCTTGACTATGACCTTCGTGCTTCTTGCTGCCGGTGAGTTCACAGGCAAGGTCGGTGTCACTAGAGCCGGCGGTGTTTTTGGAGTCATCACCGCGTTCATTGCGTTCTACAATGCATTTGCTGGTACAGCCAACAGCAAGAACTCTTACATTACTGCCAAGCCTATCAGATTGCCATGGGTCAGATAAGGTAAGCTACGAATCTGGCGGGATCTCCACGACTAGTCCTGTGAGTGCAGCTATGAACGGCTCGTTGCTTGCAGACGGGTTCGATGACACCCGGATGATTTTATATTTAATACGAAACGGCTTTACGAATAACCAAGCCATGTCCCTGAACACAAAGGGCATGCTGGGGCACCAGCCTGTAGTTCATAGTCACATACTTGCCGTGGTTTCCCTTGTCAAAGACACGAGGTGTCATTTATATGCATAAACTGTCGCAGAGACTGGTGTAGACGTTTTCACAAATTGGTGTCCTGATGCTGACGATTTTTCCTCCCTTCAATTAGTGAATGGTCTTGTACAATGGCACATAGTGGGCGAAGCGCTGTTAATTCCGCCTTGTCTCCTGGAAGACAAGTTAATTAAGCGAGTTCTCCAGATTACCAGTGATATTCTACGACTGCATGCGGGTGCATTGGGTCACGTGAAGAAGGCCGTGTTCCTCGTGAAGGCAGAGTGTGATCTGCCAGCAGAAGCAGGTACAACATTTGGTGAGTGGTTGCATAGAAGCCTCAGCGGGTTCAAGCAGAGCCTGCTCGAAAAAGGCCATGTACAATACACGTTTCAAATTGTATATCTGGTCGATGGTAGGACCGTTCCCCGACGCCCCGGAATCATTCGACCTTCAACTGGATATTCCGCACATAGGAAGCAGCGACTCTTGGACGCAATAAGTGTTCACCTTTCAGTGTTAAAGTTTCATTTCTTGCTAGACATTTCATTCCCCTGAGCCTGTCTGAAAGTAGCCCTTCTTTCAAGACAATACTTCTCAACTTGGGTGCGAGTTCGCATACCTTTAATTAACCACGATGGTCCGCCAAGCGATTCTTGGCCAAAGGCCGATTTCGGAAGAAAATCGTCAAGCAGTCACATGTGGACCCATGGATATGAGTCAATTTTGCCAATCTGAAAACCAAAGCCGGCCCTGAAGATACCGACAGAGTAGCATCGGCCGGCTAGCTTTATTACACCCACGTGCGATATAAGTGCACGCCTGCACACAGTCTATCCATAATCTGGAGGTACCAAAGACGGGTCTATTAAGTGCAGAGTCTTCCATCCCGGATTTTCTTCCCCTCCCCATATTCATCCCACCGCAAATGTCCGCCAACAAAAGAATTGCATTGCCTGCCAGAATCGAGCCCAAGGTGTTTTTCGCCAACGAACGAACCTTCTTGTCGTGGCTCAATTTCACCGTGATCTTGGGTTCCTTGGGCGTGGGTCTCTTGAACTTCGGTGACCAGGTCGGCAGGATCAGTGCTGGGCTCTTCACTTTCATTGCCATGTTGACCATGGTGTACGCGTTGATCACCTACCACTGGAGGGCAAAGGCCATTCGTTTGAGAGGGTCTGGACCATACGACGACCGCTTCGGCCCCACGATGTTGTGTGTTTTCCTCTTGGTGGCCGTCGTGGTCAACTTCATTTTGCGTATCAGAGCCTAGGAGAACTTGGGCCCACAGGCGCCGGCCCTTTTTGGTGGAGCAGCGTGTGTGCCAGGGGTAGTTTTGTATGCGCCGCCATTCCCTCATGCCCCCGTGAGGCTGTATACTAATAAACGATTGTTTAGATGGAGGTGTGTTGAATGCTACTTGGTTGAATCTTGTCCTCCGGGTTGCTGTATTGGTGTATTTACTTGGAGACGGTCGGTTCGATTGCCCATTCAGAGGGCCTACTTGTAGTACGCACGTTTGAGATGACGATATCTTTTGAGGAAATAGAGGGCCTCCAACTCTGCGGTTAGTACATTTTATGGGCCCGGGTTGCGATCTGCGCCGCCGGGGGTGGGTTCTTCGTACGTACCTTTGACGATGTACTCGCCTTTGCTGAGGGCACGGTGCATATCGTCGGCATGGCCGATTTCAGTGCCCCGAAACGCCCGTTTGGCCTGCCCCACGAGCCTGGAATAGCCCCCAGACTCGGCAGGGTACTCTTTGGCCATGTACACGAGCTGCTTGAAGAGCTGGCGAACCCGAGGATCCATGTCTGAGAGCAAGGGTATTATGGGCAGGCTGGGCCTGGGAGGCCCCGATAAAACGCGGGCCTGGGGCCGCGGGCCCTGCGCGGGGACCCAGGCTAATTTGGACCGCTGGATTTCGGAACTAGGCCAGAAAAGCGGCGAGTAGAAAATGACGAGGCGTTGAATAGCTGCGTGGGAGGTTTGCTTTTTGCCGCAAAAAATGCTTCTTCATTCTAGGCGGAGGGGGTTTCGGGAGTGACTGGAGATTGTCGATTGGGCCAAGTAGCGCGTGGCCGCGATAGCAAGCGAGATTCCGGGGCCTGCGGGGCCGCGAGTCTGCCACTGGAGGCTCGGTCCAAATAGAAGGCTGGAGCCACCGAGGAACACCGAAAAACAGACGGAAACCAGTACGAATATTGGAAGTACACCAAAGAAATTTGAAGAGGATTGGGAGAAGGCCGTCAAGGGAGTTATCGATGTAGACGACCACTGGAAGAGATGGCTGGAGGGGTGGCCAACATTTCTTTTTTGGAATTTCAGTTTCATGAAATTCATCTTCTGACAAGTCAACACGGGTATGTTGTACACCCTTGTTTGGGTTTAACTTAACTGTATACATATCAGCTTCTAATATTAATTTAGTTTAGTTTCACTTGATGTCGCCATACATGTGATTATTGAATTATATAGTATTGACTGGAGAGATGGCTGGAGGGGTGGGTTTAGCTTACCTGAATATATTTAATATCAGCTTCTAATATTAATGTGGTTTAGTTTCACTTGATGTCGCCATACATGTGATTTGTAAGTTAATATTGGCTGGAGAGATGGCTGGAGGGTGGGACTGGAAGAACAACTACAAAAGAGATCACCAAAACCATCACATGACTCAAAAGGGAGTGGCCCGAAACATGGAGCCCAAAATAGTACCCTAAAGAAACTGGAAACAATACCAAATTAGGCAAGCAAAACCAAGAACGAGATCTAGGATACTAGGAAGACCCTGGAAGCATATATATTGTCTTGTCTCTTGTGGAGTGGGCGCGGCCCTGGCAGGTCCATGGGTGCGCTGCTTTTCCTTCACATTTTCATGTTCCAGATTGACCTTACGTCTTTTTATCCTTTTTTAAAAAAAATTATTCTAAACGTCTTTTTATCCTTTTTTAAAATAAATTAGTCGAATAATCCTTAAATCAACATTATTTACATATACCAAGCCAGAAAGAAGCCCCGGAAGACTTTTGGAACGGGTGCTCCCCGCTGGGCTGGCGTTTTTCTGCCCAACGGCCGTCGGGCCTTTTCACACGTCCCACTACGAAAATAAAAAGAATGGAAATGTAAATTGGCATGGAGACTGGCCGCGAAATTGGCCGCGAAATTGGCTACGGAAATTGGCAACGGAAAGGGCAAGAAAAGGGCAAGAAAAGGGCAAGAAAATTGGAAGATAGAATAATCACAAGAAAAGCGAGATGGAGAGACGGAGAGAGGAAGAGACGGAGAGACGGAGAGACGGAGAGCTGGAGAGATGCAAAGAAAATAGATGGAAATGAAAAATGACTGCGGAATAAGAATACTGGAGTCACCATGCACTGCGAAACTTCTGTCTACCCATACAACCAACAATTCTGACCGGCCCGAATCACCGTGCACCCAGCATTTGTATCCCTCATATGGCCATGAATTCGGGTTCCCGGCCGTTTGAATTTTCCTCTGTTTAGATCCCCTCTGTTTAGATCCCCTCTGTTTAGATCCCCTCTGTTTAGTTTCCCTCTGCTTAGTTCCCTCCACTCAAGAAACACCGTGCATCCACAACCCCGCCTCCCCAAATATCCATGCATCCCCACCCTGCCAAGTTCGTGCCGTGCCAGTCCCCCGCCAGCCCAGGGCCTAGGGCCAGACGCGCGCGACTGGGCCAGGACACCAGCGTCAGTTCGGCCCGCGCCTTCTACTAAACACCGCACCTTCCCCGTCAAAACACGACATTCCACCAAACCCGCACCACCAAACCCGCACCACGAACCTCACCACGAACCTCACCACGAACCTCACCACAAAACACACCACAAAACACACCACAAAACCCGCAAGCAGCACGACAGTCACACGCGCCATACCCTAGACCAAGCCTGCAAACCCCATGTCGCTGTCGTCCTCCGAGACCGCCGTGCACGTGGCGCCGCCGCGCATCGCTTACATGTTTCTCGCCCACTTCGACCCGAAACAGGGATACAAGATGGAGTGGGCCAGCGACCCCGCCGCGCACGACTTCGCGGGCCTCGAGTGCAAAGTGCTCCCCTCGGGCGTCCACGAGTACGAGGCCACCAGCATGTATTTGGCCCACGAGGCGCGCGGCAAGCTCTTCTACGGCTGCGCCCGTTTCCGCCAGGCCAACCTCAACCCCGCCGGCGGGCTGGACCGGCGGCTCGTGAAAATGTACTCCCTCGGCATCCTAGTGGAGCCCTTGGAGGGCCAGTACTGGACACCGCACGAGTTCTCCGCCGTGGGCTGGGAGCACTTGGGCGCGCTCGACCAAGCGCTCGGCGAGTTCGTGAGAACGGGCGACTTGGCCGCCGTCCAGCGGGCGCACCGCAGGCTCTCGGGCCGCGACTGGCTGCTCGACGTGCCGCGCCCGTTCGCAGACTGCCAGCTGGACCACCCGCTCCGCAAGCTCCCCGCCACGCTCTCCACCGTGGGCCCGCTCTTGTTCCCGTTGTTCAAGGCGGCGTTGCTCCGCAAGAACATCCTCATCTTCAACCACTCGTCGCAGGGCTCGGCCGAGCTCGTGCGGGAGCCCTCGCCGCGCGGGCCTGCCGCGTGCGCCGCGTTGGCGTACGTGCTCGCGCTCATCAGCGTGATTCCCAAGACCGTGCGGCTCGATCTGCCGGCCCGCGGCCCCGGCGACAGCCCGGCGGCCCGCTGCTCCCGGCCCCTCTACACCGTGGGGCTCCAGGACATGGGCTCCGGCTTGCTCGCCCACCACCCCGGGTTCATTGCCTGCACCAGCGACGAGATCCTCAAGTACCAGACCCGCATGTACGATGTGGCGGTGATGATGCCGTCCTCGAGCCTCGACACGTGCCTGGTCCACGCCAGCGAGGCCCTCGCGCGCCCGATCCGCGCCACGCACAACGACTACGGTATGTTCTTGAAGGTCTACAGGAGCTTGCCGCAGACCAGCGACGGCACGCAGCTGTCTACGGGGGACGACCAGTCATCCATCCGCACGTCCAGCTCGGTCTTCAGTGCACTCCGCTTCGGCTCGTTCGCCGACTCCAAGGACGACAAGCTCCGCCGCGAGCCCACGTGGTGGCTCGCCAACGCCACGTTGCCCATGTCGTGGCGCGAGTACATATGGCTGGCGTTTGCGTGGTTTGCCAGCGCGGGCACCACGGAGCGCGAGGCGGGCAAGATCAACTTGGACGCAGACACCGTGCCCGACGGCGCCCCGAGCTCACGGGACGAGTTGCTCCAGCTCACGTCCATCGTGGGGCATTTCCACAAGCTCACGAAGAAGTGGTTTTACATCATCGAGGAGATCATCGAGGAAACCACGGGCGGGCCTGCGGCAGACTTGGCCTCCGAAAGAGTCACTTTGGAGCTCACGCCGCAGGACATGGTGGACATGGAGTTGGACCCCTACTCCGCCCAGGACTTGGACTTCGTGCGTGAGTTCGTGTTGACATACTGGAGCACGGTGATCGACGACGTCGAGGTTGGTTTGGGCCTCCACAACTTCTTGTGCTAGAAGCGGTCACGGATGGGTTCCCGCCGGACTGGGCACGGGTGGATTGGTATGCCAGCTGCCGGATAGCGCCTTCTCGATCCCTGTCGATGTCCTGATACGCCATCTGTACATGAGCCCTGCCCATTGCAGGAGCAGGTCCCCTGCTTGGTGCAATGACCGTTGCTTGGGCGACAGTTCGCAAAGTCCAGCGAGAACACGTTGGCGGCGAGAAAACATGCGTTTTCCTGCGCGTTTCTCGTCACCGCCAGAAGCTTCTATTCTGGCTCGTTTCGCGTGCCAAAAGCTGTTTTCCGGCCCATCGCTTTGCGCAAGCGCAAGTGTCGTGGCCCCAATAGATTTGGTGTGATTGTATGCCGCGACCGCAAATTTCGCCTTGGAGAACTTGTTCCGAGCTTTCGAAGTTTGTTCCCGCCCAGACATTATGGGCTCGAAGTGCATGAACTGGACGGTTAAGTTTGCAACATAGAAAAGTCGCTCTTATCTCCTGCAAATTGGTGCACGATGTAAATGATTGCTCATGCAAATATGAGCGCTGCGACACCGGTGCCTTTTTGGGGCAGGTTCCTAGTCATTTGCAAGCTCACCCGTATGCTGCCAAGCGACAACAACTGGGTGCTACAGCTGCCGCATACCCGAACCGCACTGTCGTCTGTCCCGTTTGGCGCATCAGCACACCGATTCACATTGTCTGTGACAATTTGTTGCATACACAAGACAATAGCCTATACTACATACAGACCAGCGGAGGCGCAGCTGGGAACGTCGTCAAATCAATTCCATGTGTCTGCGGCTTCTTGTCATCTCATGATTATACATACCTGGACTCAGCGCTTCTTGTCAAAATAAGATGTGCTTGTTTCTTCACGGTCTGATGCACTCAGCCTACCATCTCCAGAGACGACAGTCGGATTGGGCGTCTAGCTTAGTAGGTACTGCACATGTGCATGTTCGCGGCCGAACAAGGGAAGATCAATGGAGAACCCACACGGCACATATATAAATATAAACCGACACCGAAACCTCACCAGGCCATCTTTGTGCAAAGGATCCCGCAGTACATACACCTTTTGTTTGGGTGTGTTCCTTGGGTTTCAGTTTCGTCTGTTTGCTTTTCTGCTTTTTTCCTGTGGTAATCCCAGCTTCCGTGGTGGATTTGCTTTGACCAGGCACAACATAGGAAAAACCGACTCGCCGAATATAAACGTGGCACAGGCACAGTCTGCTCTTTTTTCCCATATACTCGGTTTCATTTTCTGTTCACAGGCAGTCAAGGTTGAACTACTCGGTTGCTCTAAGTATCAATCCGAGTACCCCAAATAGCCGAGTGACGTGGTCAATCGCTTCTTGCTGCAACTGAACATCGAGAACCACACCAACGGCGCAGGAAATCTGCTCCCTGGCTTTTTAAGAAAACGACTCTTTATCATTATTGACAGCTGCTGCAATAATGAAAAGCCAAACCTCGCGTGGTGGGAAGCAAAATAGCTTCTCGGGTATGGGCACCCACCAGAACTATCCCCAGGGGTTCTCGGGACATCGCAAGAATTCGGTGAAGTACGCAAACGGGAACCCTGCTGCAGGAACGGACTCCCAAGATCGGTTGATCGACTTGCTCGCAACCGCTGTAGGAAAAACGGCAGTTGCCACCGTGAGTTCCGGCGCCAAGTACAAGGGCGTATTGCTGTCGCTCAACATCGGGGCCACTGGTGAGGAGGCGCTCTCTGTCGTGTTGTTGAAGCCGTCGCTCTTGTCTAAGCTGTTGATCAATGAAACGACAAACGTCGACCAGAAGTTGCCAACAAAATTGGTGATTGAGTCCAAGGACTTGATAGACATCGAAATCACTGGTCCTTCACATCCCGAGACCGTGGAGATCAACGAGAAGACCCCAGAACCAATCGCTTTTGCGCAAACAGGTACCACGACCGAAACCACGGTTCTGCATGAGCCCCCAGCGGTCTCTTCCCTGGGCTTCAAAACTGACCGTGATATTTCCTCGGGCTTCAAATTCAAGGAGCGCGAGCTTCAGCGTTGGGTCCCAGACGAAATCACTCCGGAATTGTCGCTAGAGACCGATTCGGGTGGCGCTTGGGACCAGTTCAAAGTCAACGAAGAGCGTTTTGGTGTCGAGTCCTCCTACGATGAACACTTGTACACGACTAAGATCAACACAGAGGCAAAGGACTATCAGGACCGCTTGCGCCACGCCGAGAGGTTGGCCAAAGAAATTGAGGGCCTGGCTTCATCGGACCAACATGTCTTGGAAGAGAGAGGTGTATTGGTAGATGACAGCGGTTTGGATGAAGAAGATAAGTACTCAGGTGTCATTCAAGATAGCACTGTGGATAATCGTGGTAGTGAGTTGATGGCTGCGCTCCGCAACGCCAGCATTTCGAATGAGCTGGTGCCTATGGCTACTGGCGAGGGTAAGTATACCACGCCTAGACAGAGGGCTGCTCAGTATCACAATGACCCGGCTATTGTCTCAAGCTCCGCAGCTCGAAAAGCTTCCCCTGTTGGAAAGGCTGACGCCAAAAGCGGCAAAGAATCGTCGCCCATCGCTCCAAACGCACAAGGGTCCGAGCCTCAGGGTGAGGCCTTCAGATTGAACGCCCAAAGCGAGTTCAATGCGCTTCGTGAGTTTTCTGCCAACTTCAAAATTCCGCACAAGATTCCTAACGATCTCTTGCCTATTTTAGCAAAGGACAAGCTCAAACAGGACGAGATTTTGAAAAGGCAGATGGATGACAAAAACGGGGCCAAGGCTGATCTGGTATCGTCCGGTGCTCCATCAAAAGCTTGGGGCTCCGCAAACAGCCCTGTATCGTCAGGGTCCGCTGCTTTGTCGGGTGCCCTGGGTGCTAAAAAAGTGGGAACAAAGTTCAAGTTGAACCCAAGGGCTGCTGCGTTCACGCCATCGAGACCCCCTCAAATGACACCTGTGCCACCCAAAGCCAGTCCAAATAAGTCGGACAACTCTTCCCCAAGAACTCATGGTCAGAGGCCATACAGCAATTCTTCGTCGTCGGGATCCACTGGCAGGAGACATTACCAGGTCTCACCTGCTGATTTCTTTGGTGGTGTGGACAAAATCCCCACCGCCCAATCTCAAAAAGAGAAAGCAAAGCTCTTCAAGAACTCGTTCAACATGTTTGCCGCCGCTGTCAAAGAACATGAGGGCAAGTCAACGGCCCTTATTCTCGAGAAGGCGTATAAGACACCACCTACATGGGACTCAACTGTCGACGAAAGATATGACAAGATAGTTGTGAAACAAAGCTCCGGTAAAGTGCTCCCAGTATCGCCTGTGCCGCACGCGCCTTTCATGACAAGCCCAGTCATGGCTGTTCCTACAGGCGTACCACCTATGATGGCCGCTGGGTATATGGGATCTGCTGGTAATGGAGGGAAATTTCCAGTATCACCTCATATGCAACAGCCAATGGGCGGACAATTCCAACAACAGTTCCACCCATCGATGATGTACTCACAATTCCAGGGTGGAGTTCCGCCCGGTCAACTACAAGTCATGTATGCGCCACCTGGAATGGACCCCCTGCTTTTTTCTCCGGGTGGATTTATGATGCCGGGGTATATGGGAAGCCCTGTCCCAATGAACGGGGGCGCTTCGTTTCAAGGAGTGGCCCACAGTCACATCAAGCTGGCCAGGGCACGGGCCACCATCACAGTGGAAGACGCTTCAATCAGAACAAGAGGACAGGAGGCAATGACCGCTGAAAACCTGCGAAACGAGGAGAGTAAAAGAAGGTCGGAACAGAGGGGATCTGAGCAGGATAGGAAAGATTCAAACAGGTACTGCGTCGGAGAGTTTGCATGTCGGGTCTCAGGCAACGAGTAGCATGGCTGCGAACGCTCTATGGCGAACAATTACGATTGAAGTTAGCAAGAATCTCATAGATAAATCAGCTGGGGGTTCCGGGGAAGAAGTATGCAAAGAAATAAAAAAAACACGAAAGCTTTGAAAATGTATATTTTCTTGCTGCAAAAGATGCTTGGAGTGTCCAGTCAGGTCACGTGTCGCACATGAACTCTATCGCAGTCTGTATAGTAGCGTTTTGTGGAGGAGAGGTTGGATATCGAGAACAGACAACATCTTGCAAAGTCAGCAGACTTCACTTTTCACTTCTCAGCTTAGCGATTGTAAGCAGTGTTTCCCTTCTGCTAAATATCATCAGGAAATCAGATTACACTGACTGTACGATGAACGAGGCCGCACTTTCACGGATTTCTAGTTTGATCAAAGTTGAGGACGATCTCCTGAAAATCGAGGGGCTTCGCCTGCAATTCGTCAAAGAAAAGACTTCAATAGATGTGAAGCTATACCATACGACGCAGGAACAAATCGAGTCTGTTTCATCGAACCTTGAAAAGCTTAAAACGTCGGCTACCAAGCTTGGAAACATCAAGGCGAATGTCGACAGGATCAACACAATTCACGAAGAGACCGTGATGAACGTACGTGAATATGACACGTTGAAAAGCGCCAGCAGTGTCTATCAAACCATGATGCAGGTGCAGAATCTCTACACAGATATTGCCAACTTCAGGCAGTATATAGAGCATATCAACAGTATGATCGAGACGGAGTTTGCTGCGGTCAGCGAGAGCATCGAGTACCCGCTTGATAATATCTACCGCATTCACTTCAACGTTACTCAGGCACGCAACTTCCTGGAGTATCTAGAAGTGGAAACACAAGCGCTATCGGACGATACGCAGTCTATCATCCGCAGGATCGTGGCACCGGTCCGGAAGATGGTTCGGAATTTTGACGACTTGCTCAAGGAGATTGTAATCAGCATCACCGAGGCTGTCAAAGAAGGCAACTTGGAAATGGTCACCCGAATTGTGCGAATCATACACTACGAGACCATCGAGGATCTGAAACTGGTGCTCAACACCAATTTGAAGACCGTAGGGGCTGAGGCTAAGAAGACAGCAAACTACTCAAAATACAGAGCACACCCGCGGAATTATAAAAAGTTCTTTTATGATAAGTTGGAAGAGAGCTTGGCCGATACCTTCAATAAATGCTTGGACCATTTCCAGCAGGACTCAATGATGGTATATGACAATCTCGGGTGGCTCGAGGACGAGTTGATTTTTGCCGACCGTACTCTAACGCAACTCTTTCCGGATGACTGGCAGATCTCAGAGTTCATTTTCACAGCTTACTATAACATCTTACACAAATTTACCATGGATATCATCCACTCAAGCCCACCAGCTGAGGATTTGATGCAAATCCTCATGTATGACTCGCATTACAACTCATTCATCGTGTCTTTGTGGGGCCCCGAGAAAATGAAAAAAATCAAGTTAAAGTCGATTTTGGGTGACGAACTAAAAGAAACGGTATTGGACGACTATTCGAAGGTGATTGTTACTAAGATGACCGAATGGAACGAGGTGCTTATTGAACAAGAGACTGCTGTATTCACAAACCGTGAAGAGCCCCCAGATTCTTATTCACTCTCTCAGACAATCGAGGATATCGACGAATTCGACCACCCTATATTCTATGAGGTCATGACCGATGTCTATGTGCTTCCTGATTTCAAGACCACTTTAAGCATGCTCAAAGAACAGGCTGACGTTGCTGCTGACTCAGGATACGGCAAAGTGCTAGCATGTGTGATTGAGAATTGGTCTGTTTGTTATATCAAGCGGGTCGAAGCATACATGCAACTCATTGAGGAGGAAATCTCAAAGTACATGTCTGTGTACAATAACGATCATTGTTTGATAAAAGGTTCCCGGGCCAGGCGCCTCTTGAGAATTCTGCCCTCCAAACCTGAACCCACGTATGATGTTGAGAATATGACTTCTGACGAGCTCGCAGAAATTTCCAAACCAGGGTTAGTAGAATACCTCACGGCGCTTGGTAACACTTATGAGATCAACCACGAAAGACTCGAAGACAAGTTTTTGCCCAAATATTTGTCTAAAGTTCATCTGACATACCAGGCGCGAATCAAGGAAGCATTTGAGAACACTGATCTTCCAAGCAGCGATTTGAACGGTATGGTGATTCGTGCGTTAGTTGACGTTATCATCAATGATTTAACACCAGCCTTGTCCACTGTTTTTACCAGCAAATGGTACGACAGCGAACGGGCGCAAAACTCGGGCGAGCTAGATATGGCACAAAAGATCGTGAAAACTATCGAAGAATACATGCTCGAGATGAGGGGATACGCAACCTACGAGATGTACAATATCACTTTCACAGTCACCTTGGACTCTTTGATGACTGCATATCTCCGAATCGGATACCAAAATATTTTAAATGGCGACGGAAAAAAGATCGATCCAACCGCCGTTAAGAAGCACAAATCGTTTGCCGAGGCTGTTAACAGAGACATCAGTGTCCTCTTTGAAGGACTAGACCATTTGTTCTCACGGAAAGATGTGTTGTACTTGGTGAAAAGCTTAAGCTCTCTTGAATTTTTGACCACGTTGGCCACATGTGAGAACGTTTTCGAGGAGGTCCCTGAAATATGGGAACATGAGATTCTCGAGACATACTACGATTGTTCTGTCGAATATGTTCGTGGCGCTCTTTTGTGTCGCAAGGACATTGATTCCAAAATGGTTGGCCCACTCATTGATCGCCTACAGGATATAAAGGAGAAATATCACCAGTCAGTGCCAGCACCAGAAAATGAAGTCGTCACACTCAACAACTTCGTATACACATGAGTGTATCAAACATTGAAGGAAGATGACGTTGGGTTGGAATCGCGCAAAATGACATTGTTTGGGCTTGTCAAGATATCTATATATGAACAACTCGTCAGGATACACTCTTATGAAGACAACATACAGACAGTTTCTACGTTTCGGATCTCCCCTATTGCACCAATGTTGGCCATGATCAACCCAGCAAAATTAGAGTGATCACGCATACGCTGGCCAAAGTAAGCCCAAAGCTCTTTTACTATTGAACAATTTAGCATCGCTATCAAATTAGTGCCAGCTCATACTTTCTGTAGAGACACTTGCCATGGCTACTCGACGATTGATTGAAATGAAGCGCTGCATACGGGATATACGCCGCTTGGCGTCATGAAAGCTTGTCAGCCAATTCAAAGTTGAAGGCATTGTAAGTGGGTGAGTGAAGGATTGAATCCTGGCTAAATCAAGACGTCGAGAAGTTCTTGAGGACCACTCGTTTGTCAGTGGAGAAGTCCTCGTCTGATAAACACCATCTTGGTCAAATGTGGCATAGTGCATTAGAGTTATTTTTTCAAAAGAGCAAAAATCCCACTACTCTTCTTCAGAGGAGTCATAGTTTCCAAAAATAGATCCGACTTCTCTACTTTGAGGCAGTGACTCCTTCGATTTCGAAACCAGTGAGCTCTTAAGTTCTGTATCAGCAGACGTTCGCGTTGCTCCAGAGTCAACAGCATTTAGCTTCCGGATTTTGGCTTTTCGTACTGTGAAGCTCCCAGGCACAGTTGGAATAACTTTCAGCTCAATCTCTGTGTTCTTGTGCGGCGTCTCATTAACCTTCTGATCAACCTGAGCCGCCAAGTCATCGTCTTCTCTATCACGTTTCGAATCTACCCGAAGCTTCTGTTGTGCATGATTAACAAGATAGTCTTCACCGCCAGATTGTTGAAGTTTGTTGGCCTTTGCTTGTAGATATAGAAGATGATCATGGACCTCTTGCTCGCGTTTCTGTTCGATCAACTTGTCTTCGAGGTTTGACATGATGTCCTTCGATGAGTCCAGTGTCTGGCGCAGCCAGAACGGATTATTCTTTCGCTTCTGTTGCTGTTCCTGAAACTGCTGATCTTCTTTCTCCTGCCGCTCGAGCCGTTCCAAAATCTCGTCCTCGGTTTCAAGAGGTTTTATGGCTTCAGTAGTAGATAAGGACTCGTAGTTTCGCGTGCACCCAGCCACTGGGATGAACCCGGCAGACTTCGGGTCTGTTTGAAACAGTAGCGAGAAGTTACATCGCGGGCATTTGATATGAAATTTTATGATTTTAATCCCCATGTACTTCTCGTTGGTGATTTCCTTGCGGGCATTGAATTTGCGTCTTGATGAGATGTACTCCAGGCACTGCAAGCATTTCATAGAGAAAGGCACCATAAGGCGCACCTTCTCTGCATTGGGGTTTGTGTTTTTCTTTTTCTTTGGAACCTTCGACGGATCCCAGTCCGGCGGATAGTACTTATTGATTGCCTTTCTTTCCGACATTACAGATGGAAAAGAGCCCGTAGTTCTAAGATTGATCAGCTAAGGTACAGGAACGGTGGACCTGGGGCGATAAGCCGATATTTGAAAAGAATTTTAGTTGCCCATTTTGCGAGATGTTTGCAAGAATGTAGCAGGAGACATTCAAGTTCGGTGGCTGTGATCGCTTACGTGGACAGTTGTTTGATAAAATTCACAGTGTATAGTGGTGGCTTGACCGCACACCTTTTAATCAGAGGAACTAATACGCAAAAGCGCAGAAAGAGGAGCAATAATTAGAGCTGTTTTCTTTAGGAGCGGATATATACTTCATGGTGTCTTCAAGACTGCAGTGTTCTCCTGATTTCTCACAAGAATGCCAAATTACATGAAACAACAAATGATCCGGAAAGTGGAACTGAACTCTGATCATGCAGCACTGACAAGCAAAAACTGGACGAGCTAAGTTTCGTAATTGATTAACAATACGGGGAAGTGATTGAGACTTCTTTTTATTCCGACTGGCTGTGAGGTTCATCCTTAAAACTGAAGACCCGGTCGCAAGACGGAAATAACCTTCGTCGCAATTTCCAAAATCCTAGATGCACCAGGTCAGCCAAACCGCCGCAGCTTCCTCTTCTAACAAGAAATCAGGAGATTCCGTGGATCCTTTTTCAGTTGGGAATGACCAGGGGGCCCACGATCCGCTTTCTGCTATAAGAATATTTTTGATTCTATTGTCTATTCTTGTCAACTCCAGGTGAGCGAGGAGGCGCACATGCCCAACAGAAACAACAACTGGTTATTTACTTTTTACGCAAAACGCCGAGACATATCTCGGAGCCCCTTCAACTAGTGGCAATTCAGGCGTGACGTTATTCCCTGCGCCATCCAAAGGCCCTATTATTACCTCCTGCGGCATGGTGGAAAGTACCCGACACATGTCTGGTCACGTGACGCCATGGGAAGGCACCACGCTTTCGTTCCCCAGCCAATCAAAGAGTTGCTAGAAATTAGACATTTCGTGGCTACATCGTATAATGTGTTCTTCGAAGAGCCAGAGACAGTGCAAGTAAAAAGCCCTGAGCCAAAACATGTTCCGAAAGATGTAAGGGCATATATTACGGATTACGGGCTCGCATTGCTGACGCTGGTTTTTGAGTTCACATGTTTTGCCCTGGTCTCACTTTTTGGTTGGGTCACGAGTGTTACTCCTCTTCAAGGGGTTCGAGCTTTGAAGAATGTATCAAGTCACCGTCAATTAAGTCGGATTCAAATCAGCCATTGCCGCAGGGATTTTGTGTCTGCAATTTATATTACTGATACTTTAACAACTCGCTTGTTGCAAAACATATGTCAGGTCGGGCCAATTCCACGTCCGCCTGAACGCCCCGATAATTTGTGGAGCCGCATAGGCCCTAAGAGGCGGAAAGTGCGAGGACCCCCAGTGCCCGCAGGCAGAAACAGCCCAAAACAGCAAAACAGAAAATGCCTCAAAAAAAATGCTTCGCGCAGCATCCCCACGCAGGCCAATGAGGGATTTTCCTGCCCCAAGGCCATGCGACTGGTGTATTGTTTCTTACTCCATTGGTGTCAGCTAGAAACGGAAACTCTCATGTCGTCATAATTCACCCCCCTCCAATATATATGGTGAGAGCTTCTCCTGAGTAGCTTAGAGTCACTTTCCTTTTTTTTTTCAGTATAAATTCAGGCACAATATCTGAACTTCCCGGGACCCAAAACAGCAATTGCCACTGATCTGGCATATCCAAATTCAGCCCGCATCATATTATTGTTCCTTGAGCCGCTCACAAGTAGTGAATTATCATACGAAGCATTGTCCCTCAGTGGAGCTGCGAACGGGATTGTGTGAAGAACCAAAAAAAAAAAAAAATATTTTCATTAGCCTAAAGCTAACTCCCATCCGTGAACCCACCCTTTTTCTTTTTAAGTCGGCTAAACAATATCTGTCGGCCCATCAGCTGTTATTTTTTGTGTTTTACTCTGCCTGTCGCCACCAAGTTAATTATGGGTCTTTAGCTCTCACCAGCAGGTAAGACACATTTGGTGAAGGACCAAGACAATCGCAAGCTCCGGATTTCGAGAGGCTCTCAAACTATTCAATAATCAAACCCCATTTCGTTTTGCTGACACCGAAAGTTCCAGCCTGACTTAAAATGACTCTCTTCTTCAAGAAGAAAACAGCTTCCTCGGCCTCTTCCATGACCTCCGCCGGTCTGAACACCAGCCAAAATGCGCCGGGGAAAAGCCCTTGCTCCTTCTCGAAATTTGACGAGAAAAAGGATTACGTACGTCGCTGCAGCTTGAAGGGGCCCGCCTCCAGAAAGTCTGCTCCTTGCTCTGTCTCGTTGTGTTTGGGAAAGAAGATATAGCGACGAGTGTGCAAAGCATGAATTGGCAAATGGAGTCAACGGGACTTCGACCTTCAGAACAGGAAGGAAAATCACGAGGGAAACATAATTGGGAAAGGAACACAAGCAGGTCCCACATGCCTGCTTGGAAAACATAATGTGAAAGGCCAGCCTCAAACTTCGTGGGTTTGAGATCAGCCTTGTATGTAATATAATGTGTACTATCAATGAAGATAGAGGTAATGATACTTGCTCTCGCTGGCAAAAGCTCTCCGTACATACTCTACCTTGAACGAGGTTCACCTTTCATCGGGCCCTTGGTTTTGGCAAGCTTTGAGCAGATCCGTATACGTAGTCACGACCCGAAATCTAGTCGTCCTTCAAAAGAACTTCTAATCAGAACTCCGGGATCTACTCTATATGTATGGCGCCTACACTACTGTTTTTACACGTTCACCTCTCACAGCAAATTAACATTGGTGTTATTGCTGTTGGTATGTTGGAGCGATCGTAGGGTCAAAGCTCTACCGGTAAGAGCTACAACAGAATATTCGCTGCAGTTGATCTCTCGGGCTTCTGAGTGCATCCGCTGTGGTGGACCGGGGTCCTACACGGACGCTCAATGTAATTGCCCGAAAATTGAGTAAAGAAAAAAGACCCAAAGGTGGAGAAAAAAATTCCAACTTAAGTAGCACCCGGCATCGATGCGAGGTGTACAGGTGTATGTTTGCAACGCGTCGTTGCTAGGTATACGACGTAGTTCAAGGGATCCGTAAAACCATCGTCAATTTGCCTCACAAACTTTAGTGACTTTGATTTAATATGAGCCGTCCGGAACAAGACGCCAGTGCCTTGGCCCCGTCGTTTGAGAGCCAGCGAGATCAGCTTGTGCAGGAGATCACTGCTGCCATGGACTCTGTTGTCTACAATCTAGATATCTTGAACCGCTCATTGAAAGACTCTATACAAGTCGGAAATGGCTTCCAGGATGCCAGCAGGCTATGGGCAACGTTCTATGACGGTGCAACATCCGATGTTAAGCTGGATGATGCCCCGCGCGACGAACCCGAAGATACAAATATAGCCCCAACTGGAATCGAGTCACCACAACACACGGACACAACAGGCGGCCAAACTCCTGATGCTGAAGTGGAACATGAAGCGCAGCCGCATAATACAGCTGGTCACCTCAATGTGCAGTCAGGCGAAGGAGAGGATGTTGGAAAGAAATCCATAGGGGTGCAAGGTGATGAAACCGAAACTGCAGACGCCGACCCTGGAATATGAGCTGCTGCCAAAACGCGCTGCTTTTGGAACCATTTTCAGCAGAGTTGTTTTCTTATGGGAAATTGTAGATTTCTTCAAGCGATTGGCAAACTGGGCTGGCGTAAGCCTCAGAACGCATTCTTGAAGTGCAAAGATCCTTCTTCGAGAAAATGACAAGGGCAAGGCGTGCCAGTAAGTTCAGCTTTTCGGCTCGGACGAGGTGCTAAACCCTCATCACATACATGCATCCATCCAGGCCCCAGCGCCCCTGGACTGGGAGTTGGTAAAATCCATCCTCGTCGGGAGTGACTATGGTCTCTCCCACCTTATCCATGACTGTTTTTGCCTTGCCGAAATTGTATCCGCGAGCGGCAATTTTTCCAGAAACCCCGTCAAAATTCACGAGCTTCAATTCATTGGACTGAGCCACGGCTCCGTGTGTGCGTGTCTGGGCTGAAAGCTCTCGAGAAAACGAACGGAAGTCGAAGAAGTCACTCACTAATATAGGGCCAGCTGCATGGAAATACCCGGACTCTTCAACAACATGCGCAGCGAGGGACGCACTTATTTGTCTCCAGTCAGGCGATACTGAAGTGGAGCCAATTGAGCGATGGGCGATCACCAATCGCAAGTCAGGATGCGGCTTGTTCTGTATAAGACCACTGAATCTATTGCACGCCAAGGAATAAAGCCTGTGGGGTTTCAAAAGCCGGTCAAGACCCGCAGGTTTCTTATACATGGTGCTCACCACGTCAGTGGGTGCCAGAATAATTGTGGGTTTCAGGGCAACACATGTGTCGAGACTAGAAGCGAGATGAAGCTCTGCCCCTGTAACAAAAGACACTAGCACTTTCACCAAGCCATTCACAAGGCCCTCCATTGAAGCTGTGTTGTTCAATACTGCCATACGATCATCGGATGATATGTGGTGCTGGGGCGGGAAGTGTTTAATGCAACTTGCCACTGCAGATACCAAGTTTGTCTGAACAAAGTTCGTGCTAGTCATGGCCATGTGATTGGCTCTGCAAGACACCTTCAAGGCGATACCACGATCTTTTTCGGAGCTGTACTCATTAACAAAGGACATGTTAGTAATGTCTGTGTCGATGGTTCGTGTCATATTCAGAACTAGTCTTGAGCCCCGGTATATAACAAGATCACCCTCTTCTCTTTGGACATCCAAAGTATTCCCGTTCTGGTCATCTAAGCAGCTTTCATCGTATATGTGGACTGTTGTTTGAGAAGTAAAACATGCCAAAAGTACAGTAAACGCTTCTGGATCTGAGAACACGAGATTCTTGTGTATACAAACTTCGTCTATGTCTTCCTCCGATGCCAATTCAGACAATAGTTTTCTGACCTGAGACGCCAGACTATTCAACCGTGCAATTTGAACCGGCTTCTGGTCGAAAAAAACCGACTTCGTGGGATCTTTCTTGGCGTGCCCCATGGCGAGTTCCCAGATATCATATAAATTGCCATTCCGCAATTTGTAGCTGGAATAGCGAATGCCTAGACCTACGCGGAGTCCCTGAGAATAGTCGAGTTTCGTGGACTTGTGAACCGCCAGCTCATTGGGCTTTCGGATAGATTCTATGACACTCTGCTCATTGAGATATTCGTCAGGCACGTCACGTGTAAACACCAAAAATTGTCTATATAGGAGAGCCGTCACAAGAAGGGCAAGAAGCACCCAATTTAAGAGACCATTCTCCATTTTCAGAGGAGTACGGTGTAATACGCTATATCCAACAAATTTCTGTGAGTCGTATAGCGCATGTCTATCACGATGCGCGGAAGGAAGGCTTTGGCAGGTATACAGTATGGCAAGCTGACCATCGCGTCGTACACCGCTTCGGGATACGGTGATGGAATTGTAGTGGTATCTCGAGCACAGGGAGATTTTGTTGTCTTGAACTTCTTTTTCTCTTTTTCTCTTGCGACTTTTGATTTGGCTGATATTCCACCCGCGGGAGCTTACAAAACTCTCGCTAGTTACGCAATATATAATACGAGTGAGCTCTAAGAAAACAGACAGATGTCATGGACAAACATGAGTTTATAGTTTCACATATGCCAACGACATGGATCGGTATTTTGTCTCTGTTTACTTTCCTCGAGGCGACATGCCATAAGGCCTGGAAATAAAGGGCCGCGGATGATTTTGGGGTTCTCTTTCCTTGGCCACCGATTTCAAAAAATGTCTTGAGTGAGAATTGAGAGTGGATGATGCACTGGCGAAACCCAGAAAGACTGGATTACTTAAGCATTTCAAGCACTCGTTGACACAAGCTGAAAGTTCAAGAGGTAAAAAAATCGGGAGTCGGAAAAAGTGGTCAAATCCCCAATTATGAGCAGGGGTGTTGCCGTGACACCCAGGCTAGAATACTCTAACATGCCAGATACCCACACATGTCGTATTGCGGCTCTGGATGTTGTAAAACTTTATCACAAGGCCAAGATACATAGCGCGTGAGTCATAACGAAGTTGTACGAAAACCGAATAAGATGTAGTGGCACAATGTTGGAGACAGAATATCACGGTAGCCATACAATATATTGGCGCGGCGGCGCAATATTTCAGGGCAGTAGTGCGATTTTCACAGTTTTCCATAAACGTAGTGACGAAACCTTCTAGGCTTCCCACAACAGTAGCAAATGACACATAAGTACAGGGGCGTGGGACAGTAATTCCATCACTGATACTACGATACCATAGCAACACGATACTCAAGAAGTCTGGTACTCAAGCAAATTCAAGAAGTATGGTACTCAAGCACATTCAAGAAGTATGGTACTCAAGCACCGCACCAGCGAGACAGATTGCGAAAAAGTCACCAGCGAAACACGATAGCGTTCCAGCCCAACACGCTTAGAGTACGTCCTCGCCAATACACCTCCTCAGAAATCACGGCCCACTTGATGCATGCCTCCAAAGCTTCCCGGCTATTTAATGTCCACCATGAGACCACACAGTGACCAAAAAATGAAAATACAATGCCGTGGCAATACAGAGCGCGTGCCATCAACGCGGCCCTGGAGCGTCTTTTTTCTGTGGCCCCACGCACAAATCAAGACATCTCGCCCCAGGCCTCTCAGCATCTCAGTGCATCTGTTGGCACCAAACAGGAGCCATACAAACAACACTCGCAAGAGCAGAAGGACGCCACCATTTCGAGGCCTCCCCTCCCCTCTCTCCATTTTGAACAAACATTCCGCCCTGCCCCCACGCGGCCCGCATTCCATAGACCATGCCGCTTCTACCCCGGTTCCGCAACATGGCCGGGATCATGGTGCTCTTGACGTCCCTTTGGCTAGTCCTTTTTGTATACCACGAGCACGTGGTGCCCATGCTATTTGCACGCCGGTGTCTATGGCATCTGGTGGAGCCTGAGGCGCAAACGAACGTGCTCTTGGTGGCCGATCCGCAGCTCATAGATAACCACACGTATCCCGGGCGCAACGGCGTGTTGTTGGGCCTCTCGAAGCACACGGTGGACGTGTACTTGAAGCAGAACTACAGGGCGTTGGTCACGCATCTTGCGCCGGACTACATCGTGTTTTTGGGCGACTATCTCGACAACGGCCGGCTGGCGCTGGACGCGTATTTCGAGGCCGAGTTCCGCCGCTTCGAGCGCATTTTCAACCGCTGGCCGGAGTACCCGCGCGGCGACCGCTGGTTCACAAACGTGGCCGGAAACCACGACATTGGCTTTGGCGACGGCGTGAAGCTCCCGCTGCGCGAGCGCTTTGTCTCGCACTTTGGCGCTGCCAACGCGGTGCACAGCATCAACGGCGTCGACTTGATCGTGCTAGACTCGGTGTCGTACTCGTCCTCCAACGCGGCCATCAGCGAGGAGGTCCGCCACTTCGTGCGCCTGCTCCCGCCGAAACAGCGCCCGAGAGTCTTGCTTTCGCACGTGCCTTTTTACAGAGACTCGGCCCAGCTCTCGTGTGGCCCGCTTCGCGAGTCCCGCGAGTTGTGGCAGAACGTGGGGTACCAGTACCAGCTGGAGTTGACGGCCGAAGTGCTGGCCGAGCTTTTGGGCCTCATCCAGCCAGACTTGATTTACTCGGGCGACGACCACGACTACTGTGACGTGCAGCACCTGGACGCCACGCGGGAAGTCACTGTCAAGTCCATCAGCATGGCCATGGGCATCAAGCGGCCCGCGGTGCAGTTGCTCTCATTTTCAGCGGGCGGCGATACGTTGAATTACCACACGGAGATATGCTACTTGCCCCGGCCATACGTCAACGTGGTCGTTTACGTGGCCCTTGCCGTGTGCTCAGGGCTTCTCTTGCTTTTCTCCAGCATCAAGCTGCGCAGGTACGTCTATGCCGTTTTGCCCTCGGAGCAGGTCACCGCCATTTTCTTGGAGCGCGGCCAGGCGCCTATGTCCAAGCGCATGTCGAAGTTCTTTGAAGGCGATGACTCGCCTGCTGCCTCGCTTGCGCCCCTCTCAAACTACACCAAAACCACACTAAGTGCTGGGGAGAAGTTGCAGCAGCAGTTTCGTGTGTGGAAAGCAGAAATGCTTCTTACGTTGAGGAGATGGAACCTAATAACCTTTTTCAAGCTGTGCGCAGTGCTCGGCCTGGTGACCATTGGCATATACCTTACTGTTGTCTCATTTGTTTAGGCCGCTTGCACAGCTGCACACAAGTGCGGCCATCATGACCACTGCTGGGCGCACATTAGGTATGGGCCAGCTTTTGTGTGATGCAAGACTGCTTGATGCAACCCGCTATGGGCTTTAACTCCGCGGATATTTCCAGGTTTAGTGATAATCAAAGCTTCCATTGCATGACCAACGAAAAGCTTCAAAACACGCTACTTCTGGGTATCACTCAGAAGACCGACAAAATGGTAATACGATTATTCCTAAAGGCAACAATTGGTTTGTGTTATTTTGGATAAGTACATTTTTTAGTTATGACAATCGATTACCTTTTCTATCGTCTTCAAATGGGTATTAAGCCGAAAAAACTCCATTTAAAGCGTAAGCAAATGCTCCAGATCCATGCTGAGAAATGTTCAAGAGGGTACACTCTTTTTAGACAATCTATGCAAATTCATTCACCATATAGAACTGCAAGAAGAAACATGTGACGGGTCTGTTTTATTATCTTACGATTCTTCATCAAACGCGGAAACCGATTCCCTTCTCAACTCGCAGCCAAACATGTTTCAAGTTCTGATGTGTATCGCCCAGACCTGCATAGCCCCCAAGCCTGGGAAGCCGAAAGAGACTTTTTGCCTGATATGGGTGCGGCAGAAATTAAATAGGCGCGTGAAGAACTACAATTTCGCTGGAAGATTGGAAGCGAGTTTTTGCCCATAGTCGTCCTACCTTGGAAATTTGATCTCTAGGTATACGGGCAAAGTGAGAAGAAACTTCCTAAACTAGAAGTTTTGTGTGTGTCACCCTGCACACATCCCTCGCGTGCATCTGCCTTGCTTATCCTGCAAACTTATGGGGAGAGTTGGCCGCTTTTATAAAGAACAAGGAGGATGCAGAATCGCAACCCGGGCGTCGAAGAATTTACAGTCCGCAGAAAAGGTTGATTCACATCTGAAACACATCTGCAACGGTGCGAGTAAAGTACTGGATTTTGTTCAGTCGAGACAGATTTTTGCCAACAGCCCTGCGAATTACCCCGCTTCTTTAAGTGATAGGACAACACTACTGTGAACACTTAAAAGCACTATATTCAAGTAATGGGATGCGTAGCTAGTACAGCCGGGGAGCTGGAGGTGCTAATTGATCAGCAGCGTCTTGTTTCTGATGCCATAGATCGTTCTCTAAACCAAAAGAAGAAACAGGACGCCAACCTAATTCGTCTTTTCCTCTTGGGGGCTGGAGATTCAGGAAAATCGACTGTGCTCAAGCAAATGAGATTATTGCATAATTCCAGCTTCACTGATTTCGAGCGCAAGAAGTATTCCGACGTTATATGGGTGGACATGATCGAGTCCATGAAGATGCTTTTGCTAAATGCCAGGAAATTCAAGATCCCGTTGGACTGCGATCGGCCCAATTCTCCTCTTATACCACACAAAAGATTGATTCTCGCCACCAAGGGCATTCATGATTACGGGGAGGCCGACGAGTCTTTTGTGAATGATTACGCGATTGGATACGGCAACAAGGTCCGGCGGTCCTCTCGCGACGAAGACGCGGACCTTCCCAACATTCTGTTGCTAACGGAGGACGACTCTGTTGATGAAATAAAGCCAAGCGTGCCCCACAGCAGGCAAGAAATCGCACGGGCCATCACTGAATTATGGAACCGAGATAAAGGAGTGAAGGCATGCTTTGACCAGGCACACAAGTTCCAGCTAGAATCTTCGGCCCTGTACTATTTCGACAATGCGTCCAAATTCCAAGACCCCAACTACTGTTGCACCGATAGAGACATCATCATGGGCCGGATCAAAACAACGGGAATCACGCAAAACACATTCCATGTCAAGGACACGGTCTTGAAAGTGCTAGACGCGGGTGGGCAGCGGTCGGAGCGGAAGAAATGGATCCACTTTTTCCAGGACATCAACGCCATTATCTTTGTTCTTGCCGTGCTGGAGTACGACCAGACCTTGTACGAGGACGGCCGGGTGAACCGCATAGACGAGTCTTTTGCGTTGTTTGAGTCCTTGTGCAACGCCAAGTGGTTTGTCAACACGCCGTTCATTTTGTTTTTGAACAAGGTCGATTTGCTCGAGCGCAAGCTCCCGCATTCGCCGTTCCAAAACCATTTCCCCGACTACAACCGGGACCCGCTCGACGTCGGGCATGTGCTAGACTATTTTGAAGAGTCGCTTTTGAAATTGAACCGGACAAGAAAACCAATATACGTCCATCGCACGTGCGCCACGGACACGGATGCCATGCGGTTCGTGCTCAACGCTGTGACGGACATGATGATACAACAGAACTTGAAGCAGAGCGGGCTCATGTGAGGCCCCGCGGAGACCGATGATTTTTTTGTGTATTTTTCCTAAGATTGACTTCGCGAGGAATGTCTGATGCAGTTATATAATAAAAGACCGGCAGAACGTTTTACACATGGCGATCCCACGGCGCCGCGTGGCGGCGGGGGCCTCTAGATTCTCAACATGGCCATGTCGTTTCTGCATCTGTTGTAGTCCAACAAGCCCTCGATGGAGCCGGTGCCTGCAATGACGATGTCCTTGTCCCACAAGGCCGCGGAAGCCCAGGCCTTGACGTCCTTGGTGGTGATGGCGTCGATGGCGTCCAATTCCTGGGAGATGGAAGCCTTGTAGCCCTGCAACAAGACCTTGTTGGCGACCTCGGAGGCGATGGCGAGCGGCGAGTTCAACGAGGCCAACAACGCGGTCTTGGCCGCGGCCTTGCCCCGCGCGACCTCGGCGTCGGTGACGGACACGGACAAGCGGTTCCACTCCTTCAAGGTGAAGTGCACGAAGTCGTCGATCTGCGAGAGGTTGGAGATCTCCGCGTTGAAGCCCCACAAGCCGGTGTCGGAGTAGGAGTTGGAGAAGTGGGTGTACTTGTCCACGATGTGGTACTCCTGCACGATGGAGGCCAACTTGGGCGATGTGAACTTGGCCACGGCGGCGCTGTGGTCAAAGTCGCCGAGGACGGCCGCGGCCACCTTGGCCACGTGGTACGCGGGCGAGTTGACGCCCTCGCCCTGCGCGGCGATGGACACGAACGCCTTGGGGTTGGTGTCGTCTCTCATGCGCACCTCCGAGCCCAAGAACGACGCGGGCGCCACGGCGGGCTTGATGCCCGCGGGCACGGCCAACGAGCCCTCCAAGGCGTCCACCAAGGCGTCGTGCTCGAAGTTCCCGCACGCGGACACCACGGTGTTGGAGCCCACCAAGTGCTTCTCCAACAAGCGGAGCACGTCGGACTTCTCCAAGTCGCCGATGCTCTCGGCCGTTCCCAACGTGGGCAAGCCGAGCGAGTAGCCCTGGAACGCGGACGCGTTCAAGTGCTCCAAGACCATCTGCGAGGGCGAGTTTTCCACGGCCGCGGCGCGGGCGGCCTGGGCCCGCTTGGCAGCCTCGAGGTCGGCGCGGGACACGGCCTCCGTGCTCTGCGACACGATCTGCGCAAGCGTCTGGGCCGCCGTGGCCACGTCGGCGTTGGTGCTCTGGGCCACGATGGCGTTGGTCTCCCTGGTGCTGAGCGACGAGAGCAACACGCCGTTGTGGAGCCCGGCGCCCAACACGGACGCGGCCAACGCGGCCACGCCGTTGTTGTATGGCGTCTCGGCCCGCGAGCCGGCGCCGAAAAAGACTCCGATAGCCGCCGAGGGGGCGAGCGGGTTGTGCTCGGTGGCCACGGTCACGCCGTTGGACAACGTGGAGTATTTGGTGGCGGAATTGGAGGTGCTGACGAGGCGGCGCGCGGCGGCGGCGCCCATGCGGAGTCCACGGATCATGGTAGGCGAGAAGGTGTGGTTGTAGAGGGGAGGGCGGATGGAGGATTGCGAGCTGAAGTTGAGAGGTGAGAAAAGCGCTCTCCGGTTGGCGGGAGTGCATGCAGGCCGCGGGCTGGCGCGGCGAGGAAAAGTTTGCCTGCTGGCCAATGAACGCGGCGGGAATGGCGCCGCGGCGTGTGCAGGAGCGGCCCGGGCCGTGGTGCGACTGGCGTCTGGGGCTTTCGGGACATTTGGTTTGGGGTATTCTGTCTGGGATTTTTTGGTTGGGATTTTTTGGTTGGGATTTTTTGGTTGGGATTTTTTGGTTGGGATTTTTTGGTTGGGATTTTTTGGTTGGGATTTTTTGGTTGGGATTTTTTGGTTGGGGTATTTTGTTTGGGGTATTTTGTTTGGGTGTTTGGCTGGGTGTTTGGCTGAGACTATAAATTATTTTGTTTGGGCTGGCTGGGTCCTGGTGCTTGGTCGTGGGATTGACGGGTCATGGGGCAATCCGGCTACCGGCTCTGCGCGTGCTTGTCTGTCTGACGAGATGTATTGGTATCAGACGTGGCTGCGCGGTGCGCCTGGGCCATGGGCTGGAGGGGACTTTGGTCAGACACCAATTAATTGCTGGGAGTGTATACTTGTCTCTTGGCTTCGAGTTTTCTTCTGATGGTGTTTTGATTGTCTCTTGATTGTCTCTTGATTGTCTCTTGATTGTCTTTTAATTGTCTACTAGATGCTTTTGATTGTCTTTGATTTGTCTCTTGAATGTCTTTTAGTTGTCTCTCGATTTTCTTTAAATGGTCTTTTAATTGTTATTTGATCGTCTTCTAGTTTTCGTCTAATGGTCTTTTAATCCTCTTGTGGTTTTTTTCCTAATGGCCTTTTAATTCCCTTGTAGTTTTCTTCTAGACTAGGTGTCTACTAGGTGTCTACCAGGTGTCTACTAGGTGTCTACTAGGTGTCTACTAGGTGTCTACTAGGTGTCTACTAGGTGTCTACTAGATGTCTACTAGATGTCTACTAGATGTCTACTAGATGTCTTTTGATTGTCTTTTGATTGTCTCTTGATTGTCTTTCAATAGTCTCTTAATTTTCTTTCGATAGTCTTTTAATTGTCTTTTGTTGTCTCTTGATTGTCTTTCAAAAGTCTCTTAATTTTCGTTCGATAGTCTTTTGCTTTTCTTTCAATAGTCTCTTGATTGTCTTTTAATTGTCTTTCAATAGTCTCTTGATTGTCTTTTAATTGTCCTTTACTTGTCTTTTACTTGTCTCTTGATTGTCTTTTGATTGTCTTTTGATTGTCTTCTAGTTTTCTTCGAAGAGTCTTTTAATTGTCTTCTGGTTTTTTTACAATGGTCCTTTGGTCTTTCTCTAATGGTCTTCTAGCTGTCTTCTAGTTGTCTTCTAATTTCCCTCCAATTGTCTCCCAATTGTCCTCGAACTATCTCCAAATCGTCTCCAAATCGTCTCCAATTTGAGCTCTAATATATTCCCAAATTGCCTCCGTCCTATAAATGTCCTCCAATTTCCCTCTAGTTATCTCCAAATTGTCTGTTGGCTGCAACACCACTTCCAGGTGTATTCCTGGGGCCGGTGTTTGGTTAGTCCTGGACATGTAGCATTGCAGATTCCTACCGTGTAACCTAGCAATGTGACACGAACTAGCTGACACTTTGAGCAATGCTTTCCAATGCTCTCCAATGTAACTGACAGAAATTACATATAAATAACAATCCTGGGCCCATGGTGGCTTCCTGATATTACCTGGCCCCACTCGTATAGGTTTAGTAGCAGTGCAGCGTGCGACCCGGTGGATGCAAAAGGGAGTCTGCCCATGCGGCTCACGTGGCTCGAGGCTCAAGTCTCTTTTTCAAGATCATGTTGGTACTAGCAAAGAAATATGTTCACTATTTTGTTTGGCTTTTCTCTGGCGCTGGGGGGCTGCAAAATTGGTTGCAAGCCTCAGCTTCTACGCCAGAGCCGCGTGCTAATATATCCTACCCAGAGACTGCTTGACAAGATTCTGTGGTTCGTCCACAATTTATGAGGCACGAAGACAGAAACGTCCTGGCGTCTTTATCAAAGTTCTCTAGCTTTTAAAATTACACCCACAATATTCCCGAGATGAGCGTGCTTTCTTTTTCCCTTCCCTGGGCCACGACCTGGCTCCCCAGCTACGTCCTGCGGCCAGAAAGAAGAATACAATACTCGCAATTCAGGCTCTTGTCACGTTCTGTCATAAAGCACTATTCCATATGTGCTATCTCAATCGCATTTCGCGGTAGCTACTTGTACAGCCTCACCGATCAGTTACTGGAAATATGACAATGGCAAAGCCTCACACTCTGGACGTCCTCCTCTATCCCATGGGCCCAACAGTTTCACCTGGGTGCTGCAGAGGGCAATCGCGGGGCCGTCGCTGTAGAATTCATTTAATATGCAATGTGTTCATTATAGCTCATGATAAATACCGTGTCCTTCATTCAGGAATTTCTCTTTGTGTCTCCGCCCTCTTCTGTGGCGTGCCCGTAGAACTTCGCTTTCGCCTGTCTCATATTCTCCGCAAAGAAATCGGGGTGCTCTTTCACCTTGGCGTGGGTAAGGTCGCCTTTCAAATCCTCGAACTCATCGCGTGAGGTCCCCTCGCTACCGGTGGAAAGCCTGGCCGCCGAGAGTGAAATATCGCTGAGCACCAATTGCCAGACTTTTCTGTCATCTGGACGGCTCTCACGGTTCCCGCCCGGAGATCTCATGAACCGTGGGGAATTCTGCCTAAACATGCTCACACTCTCAACAGGCGATATCACTTGCAACAAATTTGAATAGTTTGCGTAATTTGCATAGCTCGAGTCCTTCTCAAGGAGAGACCCTGAGTTATTCCCACTCGTGGCACTTTTTTGGTACTCGTGTTTATTTTTGCGCTGGCCATGGGCCTCTTCTTCAGCAAAAGTCACCGGCGAGCTATACGAGCTTTGAAGGTATCGTGGAAGCAAGCTTTCCAAAGGCAGGTCTAATAGAGCGCCAGCTTCCTCTTCTTCAATCACTGGAACATATGACTTTTTCGTCAAAATACGCCTCATTTTCTTCTTTCCTAATGCCGTGGCAGTGTCTGATGACACTGCTGTTTCATCGTCCCACTTTTTTGTAAAAGCCATTTTAGTCTTCTTCCTTTCCGCATCTGAAATGTACCGGGAAAATCCACCTCTGTATGGGTTTCCTGCCAAAGGTTTTGGTCCAGCGTCTTTACTTCTAGTAGCAAAAGCCGCTGGAACAATTTCGGCTTCCTCCTTCCGATCACTCTCGCAGAGCGCAGGGGGACAGGACTCTATGTCCAAGCTGCCTGGGTGATAGTAGTAGTGCAATACTCCATCGAGGGTGTCAGAATTGTAATTCCTATCGGCGCTTCCCAAAGTGAGAAACTCTCCGGGTTTGACAAAGTATGGATCTTGTGGGTTCGTCCGCAATGTGAGCAATCTCTGGTTGTTGAGCTTGGTCTGGATAACCCGCGGATTCTTGGAATTACTATAGTACTTTAACCGTGCATGAATCAAATGGTAGTCTAATTTGTACCTGACATTGTGGTATGCTGTCTCCAATGTCTCGAGATTGATCGATGCTACTGCTCGCACAATATTCCCCACAAAACTCTCTCTCCGCTCAGGATAAATACTCGGAGAGTAGCTCATACTCTCCAAAGCAATTATTTCTTCTTGTGTTTGTTCTCAATCGGCTTCTACCTTGCTTCGGGAAACTATGCAGTGGTTGATGTAAAAGACGTACTCTCAAAATCAACAATTGGTCTTTTGGGGCTTGCAATGAACAATAAAACGTCAATTTTCCGTTAGTCTCCTCTTCTTCTTTACTCCTGTCACAGAAAAAAACACGATCGTTTCAAATTTGCCTGGAACGTGAGCTTTTCCTCGGTGGGGCCTCTAGTACATACTTTCGCTTCTGTGGCCTTGGCCCAAATTGCAAAAAACTGAGTGCGAGTCTGCCTACGCTCACAGAAAAAGAGTTAACAAGCACAAGTGGAAAAAGGACGTCCCGTTGTGACCAGAACCACTTTATTCCTTCCAAATCAAAGTCTTTTTGGAGAAACAGGTTTACACTGCATCTTTTTTCTTGATTTGCGGAGAGCTGTTTCTTTTGCAGCAATTAATTGCCGATGTGGGTCACGTGACGGTGGCACTACTCGGCTGCCCAAATTCCACCAGCATGATGCCAAAATTCTTCAGCTTCATTTGAAGCCCGTAAGATTAACCTATGATCTCTATGTACAACTCTCAGCCAAAATGTCCAAACCTCACTCATTACAACTCGATGTACGCTCTGTTCGTAATGGCCATCTTGTGCAACTGCGCTTTCTTCTCATAACCCAGCGACTTACCCTCGTAAGCTCCGATGATTTCCTCAGCCAAACGCACTGAGAAGTCCAGCGACTTCTTCTTCTCAGCACCTCCCATGATCCACAAAATAGCATAACGGTTTCTCTGTCTGCGGTTCAATGGAAAAGGCACAGTTCTATTCTTCGCAGTACCGGTCTTCTTCACTTTGAGCTGGAACAAAGGACCCAACTTGTCCAAAGTCTCGTATAATACCTCCACTGGGTCGCGTCTGGTCTTCAAGTACACTATGTAAAGAGCCTTGGAAAGTTTGATTTGTGCGCGTTCCTTTTTACCGTCTCTCATGATCAAGTTGGTGAAGTTCTCGATAACTGGGTCGTTGGGAAGTGGAACAGACTTGTTGCTGTATCTCTCTACTTCATTCAACTGCTCCTCAGTGGGAACAAACTCCTCTTTCAAGAATTCTTCCGGTTGCGCAAGTTGACTGAGATAAACCTCTGCCTCAGTTTCTGGAGTTGCCTTCCCCGATTTCAACGTCTGCACGGCTTTTAACCACTCATCAACATCTTTTTCTGTGATTTGGTCTTTCTCTAGCGGGAAGACCTTCGCGGTCAAAGCGATTTTGGGCTCTTCAATCTGAACAGTTTGAGGTGTCTCAGCCTTGATCTGCGCAGCAGTAGATTGACAACGGGAGAACGAAACTACAGATACACGGGGTGTGAATCTGGCCACGTTCGCGAATCGGGGCACAATTCTGAACATCGACATCGTGCTGGTACTAGACAATTCGTGAGGTCAGTGTCTCTAATCGTCCTTTTTTTTTTTCATTCGCACTCGGCTTCTGTTCAGTGCACTCTCATGAAGGTGTGTTTATATGGTGTACGGGTTCACGGTGAAGATTACAGATCCAACCCTTTTTCGACAGTGTAACATTGACGCCAATCAATATAAATTTAGCTAATTCAATATTTCCTGGATTTCTGCATTTATTCTTATGAGGTGCGCAGCTGTTTTGCTTCAGCTCTCAATCAACTTATCAAGAGTAATGCCATAAAGGACAAGCAGGGCGGAGTTGATTTCAACAACAGACAAAGTCTTGAACACAGTATTTCCCTTCGGACAGTCAACCAGTTTGAAAAAGAATCTAATAAACATACACCTGCTTCCAAGTATTTTGTGTGTGGATAAATGCATGCTGCGTATCTTACTCCCCGTGTCCATGATTTTAATTCAGGAGCGGGCTTCCCCAATGTAGCTCATTTACATCTCGCACATATTCCACTCACGTGTCCTTGATTCTCTCCTCGTGTGACTTCAGCCTCAAATTCAGAAATGTGAACGCAGCACTTATCTAAAGATGATCGATATAATTTACTGCACAGTGTGCTTTCGTCAAGAATGTTTGGTTCGCTTTTTTTGCTTAGAGCTTCGATCATCGTTTTGTAAAGAAAGCAAATTTGTGGAATTTTTATTCGAGATACATTTTATAGCTCAAAGAGAGTTTTCAACAGCGTAGTGGCCAATGATAATAATCAGCTTTGAATTTGTTACTTCATGTTGTACTTCCATACGAATTTAAGGTGTCATTCTTTTAATTTTTATTCGATATAATACATTGAAAGCCAATACTTTGGTAAATACAACCAAAAGCCTGATTTTAATGCTGGCCTTAGGTTCACCTTCTGTTTCCGTCTAGTTATATTGAAAAGTCTGTCCTTATCACTTGTCAACCAATAGCCGAATAGAGAGAAAGGATTCAAATTAAAGAAAAGTGAAGCCAGCTTCTTTGTATCACAAGCTTCATGAGGCTTGGAATATCTTTAACAATTTATAAAGTCCCCATTCAGAAAGCAGCCTGGAAGAAACACTGTGTAGCTTTTTTTTTGTTTCTTACTGCTCGTCATTTGTTCATGTCAATGATCTTTCCAGCTGGAACCAAGTGTAGGAAAACAAGTGTCATCCCAAGATATATTCTGCTAAAGCCTCAGCAGATTTTTGTGTGCGTCTGGCTTTTTCACTCAAGAAACCTAGTGAATATTACAACTATTTTAGGTCATCCACGCATAATCTCAACACGGTCATGAAAGCGGTTGGCATAAATTCGCAACCAAGGTTATGGTTGAAGCACCCATTGTATCCGTCTTCGCATTAAACCATGGCTACTCTGTTAGCTTCTCTTCTTTTTTTAAAAAAAAATATTATTTAAATAGAGGAGAGACGCACTAAATCTCTTCCTCGTTCTTCCACTTGGATCCTCTTGTCCGATGCCGGTTACATGATTCACTCTTTCCCTGAGATTTTCGAGTTTCTGAGACTGACAGGTATGCACGGCTGGATGCACTCTCGCAATAGGGCGCGTCTCTCCAGTGGCGCGTGACGGCCAGGCCTACGGGCCCAGTCACGTGGGCTGCAGCAGCTGCGTATCCATGAATCTGACAAGGCTAACCGGGTGGTCTGACAAGAAAGAGCCACGGGACTGCCGCGCGGCACTACAGCCCAAGTACGTGCTTTTGACGAACATATACCTAATGTGAATACTGCAGATAACTGCGATATATCATGAACGCGCGCCCAGCAGACAGCGAACTTCCGCTCCATACAGTAGCTTTGATACCGACTTTGAACATGCTATCTAAAGCTACTTAACACCCGCTTTCCATCCCCCCATATTTCGCTTCTAGACCACCCAGTATCCGCACAAATGGCCCGGCTAGCTGTGCCGCCTATAGACAAACGTCTCCGCGAATTGTTATTGCCGGTTTTGGCGAATAAACGCCTAGGAGACGACGCGCTTTGGCAGGCTGAAATCTTGCCTCTTCTCCACAATTTCCTTGATTCCTTGGCCGACCTGGTGCGCCAGTCCGCCACCACAAATGCAAACGCGCCAACGGCCCTGATTACTGACGACATCCACAAAATGTTGGGCGTGATATCCCGCAATTTGGCCGGCTCTTTCGCAGACGCGGCTCCCTTCACCATCCACCGTGTCGCCGAACTTATACTTGCATACCACGAAAGTGGGTATTCGCTCAATACAGTCATCCTGGCACGAAAATGGCTAACGGCACTTGCACGAGTTTTGTCGGTCACTTCCTCTGAACTATCATATATGGATACGCGGGTGCAGGCCCTGCCGCTATCAGAAGGCACCACAGCTGGAGAATCGCTCGGGGTTTTGGAGCACGAACGCCAGCTGGCTGAACTCCCCCAAATTATCCGTTTTGAGCGCTTAGAATGGCCCAAAATTCCCGATGTAGAACAGAAGAGAAACGAGGATGATCATCCTGACGAGCCCACGGCAAAGAGACCCAAACCATATGCAGAGGAGGAGACGCGATCTCCTCTTCAGACGAATGGTGACGCTAGTCTCGCTGAAGAAATACCCCCTTGTGTCATTGACTCTTCAAATACTGATGAAGCGCATGATATGCCTGGGAACGCGTCAAACGAAGACTCCCCGCATGAACAAGAACCAATGCAAAACAACGGGATCCAGGGCCTGCTCACTCTTTTGGTCCGTGAGTCTCCTGACAAACAGGCTCAGATCAACGCAGAAGGTGAAGTCGATACTCCGCAGAACGAAACACGTCCTGGCTCGGCCGCAAAGTATCCACAAGGCCGTGCCAAGGAGAACCAAGACTCGGGCCTTTCGCACCCGGCTTTCTACGAGAATGGCCCCATCGACCAAGACAATAAAATGAGGCACAAGGAAGAAGTCCTGATATGAATCAGTGCGCTCGCCCTCTCGTGTAGATCGTCTGTACTTCAGTTCTTCGGTGTATTATAGCAACTTTTATCCATGTGTCTACTAATGGCAAAGCGTTAATTCATTCATGAGTCTAGAGGACAGTGTGCTCGTACAAATTGTATGAATCGCTGGATCACGGAGGATGCGAAGCCAAACCTTTACTTCACCTTCGCCTGCAGGCGTTTAAGCAGATTCTACAAGCTCTCACGGCTCTGTTCTCGTATGACTTATTACAGACATTGATTTTGCAGAGGGCTTTATGACAAATATATCTGTATGATGTACATTCGAATGATTGATATTCTCGCGCTTCGTTCAATGATGTTTCTTGATGACAGATGCCTGGTATATACAAGATTTCGACGAAACGGCACCCTGGTCGGGTCTCATTGTTTTCTTGCCGAACATTCGTGAGCTTGTTGATGCCTAGGCAGACCATAGCCTCGAAATGAGATCGAAAAGCCCGTTTTCAGAAGTCTCAATGACATAGATACCATACATTGACATAAATGATCCTAGCGTCAACAACTTGGCCGCTGCCTTGTGCCAAAATCCATACACTCGCTCGGGTATGTAGTCAATGATACATGACTTGATTCCACAGTGAGAGTGGAACAAGAGAGTCAAGCAGAACGCAGTATCAACATAAGGATATTCGACTCCCATTATAAATGGGAACACTGTCATTGGCACAAGTCCAAAAGACAAAATCCTCTCGTAAGTCCAGTGATAGTTACTTTCGTACGGACTAACGAGTGGAATTTCTGAGGCCTCGTTGACCGTCCCCACAATGTTTCCAGGAGGCTGCTCACGCAACTTGAGCTTGGAAAAATTTGGTTTGAGCAGAAGAGCTCTGACAGGACTAAAGCTGTGTGTCAAACCTAACAGGCCCCTGCCGATAATGCTTCTAGTCAACATGGAGAATATAGCGATTTTGAAACAATGTCTCCAGGTAAGCAGAAGGCTCTTCTCAGCTCTGCTGTGCGATTGCAGCCACGCACCCGTACCTCCTGTAGGTGATCGATGAATGCAAGACGAGATGGCGAAATAATGTCCGCGCTTGGTGCCGGGTCCCCAATCTTAGGCATGACGATATTTGGAGGTTTAATACCTGGAGAGGAAGGGACGAGCGATGACGTGAGAATCAAAGCTTCAGTAACATGGAAAAAAATTCATGCCCCAATCTATGAACGTATTCCGAGACTCTGTTTCTCGCGGTCTCAAGCCTGCACGAGAGTTTTATCGGAACATTTTTTTGTGGGAATCACTGGGTAAATATTTGTGCTTTGGATAGTCATGGTTGAATTGCGACGGCTGATTAGAGCCTGTGGCCGAAACCGGCGGGCCGGCTCGCGATGTTCGTTATCACACGTGACATGAAAAAGGACAAAGTCAAGGTAGCGTCGACCCTGACAAAAAAACAGTGCATGCATTGGAAAGTGTTGGGTTCTTTCTTTCCTCTCTATACATGTCTGTGAACTCGTTGATTTTGGTTGTCTTTGATGTAGTGGCGTCGAATTGAACTATGAAACGCCCTCGGAAATCGACAATTCCGGCGCGTGGCCGGTTTACCCGGTTATCGCGCACACGACAAGCCGGGCTTGAGAGTATATGGATTGATCTCTTGCCCCTATATCTTAAAGGATCTGAATTACTGTGGAAGCTGGTAACAAAGCTCAGACCGCCTGGTCTTTCTCTATTTTATTCACGTCAAATTTCTAATTGTAATAGCTGGCATATCTTCCGCATAGCCATCCCCGCATGCTCAACTTGAAAAGAGCATTTCCTCATTTAACCAAACGATTCTCTGTCGCCAACATGTCCTCCTTGTCTAAAGACCCAGCTTCGTTGCACAACCCTTACTTCCAACAAAATCCATCCAAGAAAGATGTGTGGACTCTCATTAACGAAACTGCCGCCGCTGCACAAGAAGAGCTAGGTGCCCCAGTGACCAATTTGGGCCAGGGTTTCTACTCGTACAACCCGCCAGATTTTGCCATCGACGCTGTTTCCCACTCTCTTGCCAAGCCTCAGTTCAATCAGTATGCCTCGCCCAGAGGTAACCCAAATCTTTTGAAAAGCTTGGCTGAAAAATACTCCAAGGATTTCGGGCGTACTGTTGATACCTCGCAATTGGTAGTGACCACTGGAGCAAACGAAGGCATGTTCTCTGTGTTCTTTGGGTTCTTGACCCCGGGAGATGAGGCCATTGTCTTTGAGCCATTTTTTGACCAGTATATCCCAAATGTGGAGATGACGGGTGCCAAGGTTAAGTTTGTCAGCATCAAACCACCCAAAGATTTCGGCTCCAGGAACACGACTGGTGATGATTGGGAAGTCGACTGGGAAGCCTTAGAGAACGCCATCACCCCAAAGACAAAAATCATTGTTATCAACACTCCACACAATCCAATTGGCAAGATATTCAATGAGGATGAACTTGTACGCATAGGAAAATTGGCAATCAAGCACAACATAATTCTTCTTTCCGACGAAGTATACGAGAACTTGTACTATACCTCATTCCCTAGACCAGCTGCTTTGCCTGTATTGCCTGAATTGGCAGACAGAACTTTGACCGTGGGATCAGCAGGAAAGTCCTTTGCAGCTACCGGGTGGAGAATTGGCTGGATCCAGGGCCCTTCTGAATTGATCCAATATGTGGTCTCTGCTCACACCAGAATCTGTTTCTCGGCCCCGGCACCTTTGCAGCAAGCAGTTTCCGAAGCCTTGAGCCTTTCTGGTGATAACGGATATTTCGAAACCACTAGAAAAGATTACTCCAAGAAGTATGAGTTGTTCTCGGCGGTCTTCGATGACTTGGGCTTGCCGTACACCGTGGCCCAGGGTGGCTATTTTTTGCTTGTCAACTTCGAGAAATTGAAGATTGCAGAAGACTACAAATACCCTGCTGATATTGAAGGCCGTGGAACAAATGACTACAAGTTGGTCTACTGGTTGATTAAGGAAATTGGTGTGGTTGGTATTCCGCCCACCGAATTTCTCCAACCAGGCACTAGGAAAGGAAGCCCCTTAGAGAACTCTGTTAGATTTGCTGTTTGCAAAGATGATGAGATTTTGCAAGACGCTGCAAAGAAATTGCGGAAGTTGAAGAACTTTTTGTAGTAAAGTGAGACGACACAAATGAACAATATAGAATATACGCAGTTTCTGCCCAAACTTTTACTCAATCCGCCCTAATATACTTCTTGAATATGAACGAGGACTCGCCGAAATCATCGTACCCAAGCTCCTCACACTCCTCCGCCGCCAAATATCCGTTCTCCTCCATCAAACGCCATAAAGAGGCTCTTTCCTTCTCGAAAGTCCTTCTAACAGGTACTTGCAATAGCACGCGTGAATCTTTCTCTTGACTAAGAAATAAATTAAGCATGTTCACAATCCATTGAGGGTGGTGTGACGAATAGAGCGGATCCGACAAAATGATTGTCGAGTATTTGACGTTCCCAAATCTTTGGAGAAAGCTCTTTGGGTTACTCCAGTCAAGCTCGGCCACCCGAGCGTTTTCAATTCCATTCAGCTCTATGTTGTTTTGCAAATTTGGCACAATTTCCGCAAGGTCCGTAAGCATTGTCGTATGACCTAGGCAACAGGCCACCATACCCACCAAACCTGTGCCTGCCCCAAGCTCAAGCACAGGATCCAAGAGATATTCTTTATGAGTCTGCAGTGCAAGTCTACTGCCTAAAACAAAAGAAGAGCCCCAAGTCTTGAGGCCCAAATTGTCTGATGTGAGAGACGGTTCTTTTAACAAGAGTTTTGTGGGGAGCATTGGGATTTCGATGGCCCTTAGCATCTCCGGTTGCGCCGTGCGGCCACAGTTTTCAGCGATTCTTAAGGCAGCCAAGGTCTGGATTTCAGTCGATTCATCCTGAGAGATCCATGCAAACTCACATGAAATGAGTTGTGTAAGCCATGCATTGTACTGCGAGGAGAAAGTTTTCTTCAACGAATCGGCCAAAAGCGGTAAGTCCGCAAGTCTGGTCTCCGTGCCAAACCTCGGGCAAAACTTCTGGAGCCACAACCATGCATCCACGTCCATATCGACATTCTTTTTTGCAAGCACAAGCAGAGGATCAATCCTTCGGGTATCCTCCCTGTGCGTGTGGCTGATAGGTGCAAAATTAAGGCTTGTTTCAGGGGAAAGTAGCCTCAAAAAAGAAATGAGAACTTTCAGTGGGGGAAGACATCGTAGAAGAGGTAAGTCGTGAATATGAATCGGCAAGAACCCATCTTCTTCATCGATATGCTCATCTTCGTCAGCACCGCATTTCTCGTCTGGTCGTGATTTGTCACTAGAAGCCACGAGGCGTGCCGAATTCAAGTGGTTGGAACTAGTGTCAATTTTAGATATTGAAGTTGTGAACGAGCTAGATGTTGGCGTGAAAAGCTCGAGGGGATCGAAGTCCATCTTGACGACACTGCAAGGTTAACTCTACGACTCGGCTCAACATGTCATCTCCCGCGATGTCCATCAGTCGCGGGTCCCGGAAGATGACTGATGCTTATAACAATGGGGAATAGAATTTGTAATAGTGACAAATTGGCTCGGATCTCTGCTCAGGATTGTATTATATAAGTATATCATTCGAAATTATGCTTTCTGTTCAACCAGCTTAATTTGGAATATTCTTTCTTGGGCTCCAAGAGCAGTGGTAACTACAATTCTAAATAAGCTGCAAAATGTGAAAAGAATTAACCACAACAATTTAAAAACATTTATAAAAAATGGAAATTTACTATCCACTCTATTAAAACAATGCATACTACAAGAAGGAAAACTGAATATCCACAGAAAAGACATAAAACTAATTTTTTTGTTGGGATCCAAATGAAATGGGAACAAATGCCAGATGAGAATTGAGATCTGTTTCGTCGCAAATAATACGCGACTCTATGAGCAAGTTGAGATAGCCTAGCACACCTTGTAAGATCCCCTGGATGGATATCCACTGAATTACATTCTCAGTCCACTGTTTTTTAAAGTTCATGACGGACTTCCGTAAATTTCATAAATCCTGCACGACAGTGAAGTACATTGTCATGTTTACTCTACGTACGAACGGAGACAGGTACGCCTACGGGATCCTTTCAATCTCGCTTCTTTATTATAATAGCACACATGACATCCTACATATATAAAATCAGGCTTTCTCATAATCACTTTAAAATCTCAAGAGGTCGAGACCAGCCCCAAGCTCGATAGTTCCCGGGGTCAAAATTTAGAACGATCACATCGTGCTTCAGAGACCATTGGATACGCGAGAACAAAGAGCAACCTCTCCTACAAGACTCTTCAGAAATCAGTGACTCTACCGTTATAAGACCAGTCGTTGTGTCTCAATGGATCCTGCTTGGGTCCACCTGTCTCCCCAGTAACTGGGTTTCTGTCGCCCTCAAACTCCGGAATGGTCTTAAAATACTGCGTAGTGACGCCTACATCGGTGCTAGAAGAGGATGTTGAGATCTCACTGGAAGCGACTCCATCCTCCAGAATTTGTCTATTGTACTCGTCAATAGCCGCCTGCGAGTTGGCAAGTTTTTGTAGAGCCTCGAATTCCTCCTGTTGTTCCCTGGGAAGTCTGGGGGGCGAAGGAATGTGTTCGGCAAACGGGTTGCTCTTATACCTGAGCGCCATACGGGGCACAGAGAAAGTCCGTGAAAGAGGTGAGATTCTAGTCGAGAGGAGTCTGGTCATAATTGAGTGAGCGTTCAGCCTGGAAACACAACAAGAAGAAGCCAAGTAGTCTTGCAGTATGATTTCACTCGTGCCCGGCCCTGGTCCTGTCGGTTGCGCCCAGAGTGCACATAGTACTTGCCAGACCCGGAGCTTGGGGGCTGATTTTTGCATTCTCTGCGTTAAGTGGACGGCGAGAAAAACTCCAGCGGCAACCTTTCAATATAGTTCACATACATACATAATCTCGGTGTTTTTCATAATTTGAAAATGACTGGCACTCTGCAAGTGCTACCATTGTTGGAAAAGTAAAAAAGAAAGGTCATACCCGGATTCGAACCGGGGTTGTTCGGATCAGAACCGAAAGTGATAACCACTACACTATACAACCATCTGAAAACTCTAGTCCGAATTAGTGTTTATGAGGTTGACTAAAATGTCCTTGCAAGCAGACACAACCTTCTGGTTGGGCCAGCATCGGGGCGAGGGGAAGGAAGAAAGAAAAGGAAATATAGCTCTCGAGCATTATATACATCTTCCACAACTTCCATCTCATCCCGAGGCCTGCGGATTTATCCTAGGATGCTGGCGTAATGGTTGCAAGTCGCCCGTCTTGAAACACGGACCAAGGAGTCTAACGTCTATGCGAGTGTTTGAATTCTTCAAAACCCAAACGCGCAATGAAATTAATAGGAGCGAACCCCTCAAAAAGTGCAGCTCCGACCACATCAAGGCCTAAACCCTGATGTGAGTAAGCATGGAATACGGTATACCCAGGAATCCCACTAAAAGGGGTTTATGGATGCATTTCATCAATGACTTCCCACTCCGGACCTTTCTCATGGCGGATATGGACTCATAGAGATGAAAATACAATTGCAAGGTCATACAGCGGGTGTTCTACTCTCGATAATCACGACTGCACACGATTGGTTCACCAAATTGCTCAAACTCAAGATGAGATACATCACATGCACGTAGCTGGGAGCTGTTTAAAGGTTTTTTTCTGAATATTATTTATTTAGTTTTGCTCCTCTTATTAGATAAAGCTATCAAAAGTAAAGAAAATGATGAAAGTCATTCGTAACAGTAGCCGAGCTAGTATCAGGCTTGGCGCGGGTCTACCATTGTCAACGTTTTGTTCGAAACGTTTGACATGTTCTGCAAAAGCTTACAATGGACAGTCACCGCCCTCAGTGAATGTCACTATTTCGAAGATTGGATGAAGATTGTTGCAAGAACTTGCGACTTTTAACGACCGGTTTTAAGTACGATGAAGGAGCAACAATTCTTTGAGTGCATTGACTGGACAGTGTCTGTTGGGCCTCATCCGGACAGATTACATGTAGAACCTCATGAGATTGAAGCAATTTAAGGTACAGCGTTTCGTTCATTGAGCCAGCGCAAATAGGAAGAACTTCCGACACTTTGCCCGGGGAGCTTCCTTGTGATCCGCCCCGAATTGAAGACGATGAAACGCTGGCGAAGATTCTGAAAATAATTATACAAACAAGAATAGTTGGTGCAAAAGATCTCACAGCCATTCATCTATTCAATCAAGGCTACTATTTGCCCATTCATGATAATGAAGTGGGGGTGTCAAGATTCGAATGCAGGTTGTGTTCGAAAAGCTGTTATAGCGATCAGAAGTTTACCCACCTCTACAATGAGTGTGAGGTTGAGCACTTTTGGTGGCAAAAGTTGGGCGGCTTTCAAGCTCCAATGCACTCAAGGGAGATGCTAGCTCCTTTAAATTCTTCCCTTGACATTCTGAGAAACCTTAATTGGTTTGTTTTAGTCGTTCGCAGGATTTATTTGCTTAGGGACCAGGAAAAAAAAAAAGACGAATGTACGTCTTGCCGCTTTGTCAAATGAACTATGGTCACGGGCCCTCAAGAAAACATATCCTATGGGCCAATGGCATTTAGTTAATTTATTCAAGTGTTTGTCATTGGTTATGGGCAGAAGTATTTGTGAGGTTCACATCGTCTTTGGGAGATTTCGTGAATGGGTGCTCGCGCCTTCTCACCTGAGCCAATGTTGCGATTTAATATGAGTTTTTTCTTTATAGATTTTCGTTAGTGGTGGGGTTTACCTCCCTGCAGTGATATGATGTTTACTTAAAAAAAAAAAAAAAAAAAAAGGTTGGGAGGATAATACTGACAAGCTAATCCTGATATTTTTAGTACCTGAAGCGTACGGTAGTAACGGAAAGTAACCTTATTAAGGTGATCTACTCTTATCTTCTCTTATTTATTAAGGCTTAATGCTTATCCTTTTAATTAGCAGAGTGTTCAATCACCTTCATATTTACTTCTCTCCGTCTGGCATATAAATTATGCTGGACGTCACGTGCCCAATATATTAACGCGCCACGTGACGAACGGAACAATTCCAAAATATTTTTTGTTAGATCCATCTGATTAAAGGAGCAATATCGTATCATCCTCGGGAAAGTACTGTAACAAAAACCCTGAAAATACAGAGTGCCATTATGAATCTGCAAAAAGAAAGACAAGAATCTGCGACAGACTGTTAAGAAAATAAAAAAAAAAGGTCGTACCCGGATTCGAACCGGGGTTGTTCGGATCAGAACCGAAAGTGATAACCACTACACTATACAACCATCTGTGGTTACAAAAGGAGCTAAGAAAATCACAAACACACAAATGAAATGTGCTTCAAGGCGCGGATTGTGGCTGTGATGTAGTATTCAACATGTGAATATCAACTAAAACCTTTCAACACCCCGGATTTCACTATAACCCGGGTCCGTTTAATCAGATGAATCTACCAAAAAAAAAAATAAAAAAATCTCGACACTAGATACTTGCCTGGGAGCTCAGAAATTTTGTTTTATTATTATATAGGTTTGTTTCTTCAATTAGATGGTTCTCACAAAACAAAAGCCTCCGCACCCGCTTTGAAACCAAGGAAATAGATCGCCTTAAAAGGATGAGAAGCCGTCACTAACATTGCAGGTACCAGCCCCAACTTTGATTTCACGGGACCCCATAGCGTATTCTGCGACGGAACACAATGTCATCAATGCGCAGGCGTTTTAACAAGTTAGCTGCTTACATTGTGGGAAGTTTGTCAAGTGAATCTACCAAAAAAAAAAAGACCACATGATTCGAGAATGCAAGGTATGTTAAAAGCACGGCCACCGAAAAACTTTGTGAAGCCATTGACAGCTGAAACTAAAGCAGCCTGATTCGAAGGACGTGTATTGGAGATGATTTCTTCAGCACTACAACAAAGACAAACACATCGCGGGAAAATCCTGCTAAATGAACTATATTTTTGAATGGTTATTCAGAAAGTGTCCAAGATCAATAAAAAACTGGGATCTCTAAATTAAAAGAAAAAAAAAAAACAACAACAACTATTCTACAAGCGCCCTTCAAAGTACAAATGCAATCAAAACCTATTCATCCCGAGGGTAATTGTGATCGCTGAAGTGGCTTAAATAAACAAGGTCAATTTGATTTTATTACACCTCTGCAATAAAACGCAAACTAACTGGTCGTCCACAAAACTGGTATCACGATTTAAAGAGTACACTTTTACTAGGCTGTTTGAAGAACACAACTTGAGAGAACTCGAGGAGTCAATGAATTACGAATCAATCAGTAACAAAATTAACCATTTCGATTCCGTTTTCTCCTGTGGGCCATCAAATGAGAGAATCCGGGGCTCATTCATGCCATCAGAACGCCAACCCGCCTCAACGAAGCAACTTCAATTGAAATACCACAGGAGTCTAACTTCCACCACACAAATCAGACACAAGAAATCTAGGCTCTTTTAATTAACTATTCATAATCATAAGTGGATTTGATGTCAGACGTTAGTAAAGCATTGGACATCATCTCTCATCCGTATATATACAAGAAGTTCTCATGGGCGTTCGGGGCTTAGAATTATAATACTGACTCTCAAGTGAGATTATTTGTTGTGTCTGTTCCTTCAGTGTCAAGCTGATTTTTCTTTCTCAGGGGGGGAAGAAGTTGTTTGCAATCGAGGCATCGCGGATCGACGTGCCCCACGTACGGTCGACGACCGTTTCTTTGGTGTTGTTTTAATTATGTTTTGCCTCCGCAGACTTCTTTGATAGTTGCAAGGGAGCCGTCAATCACCTCTTTTCCCTAACTAATTGGATGCTCGGCCCGTCTCTAGCCCAAATCAATCGGAGTCAAGGTATTAAACTCTGCTATCAGCGACTCAAACTACAATTCATGAGTTTTCAACCGTCAGCAAACAGCGAGAACATAAACCCCAACGACATTGGGGCCTATAAGAAAGCAGCAAATATAGTCACAGCATTCGAACGAGCGTGCAATAGCCTAATAAGCAACAAGAACTCTAAAGATCTCCGCGCTCATCCAAGTTACGCCGAATTTTAACAAGAGTACATCATATCCCCAGATCCAAATCACAATCTTCAAATTATAAACTTAAAGACGAAGTGAATTGCATGAAGTGAGCTCCCTGAGTCCTCCTAGCCATCTAAGCTTAGACGGCTACTATAGGAGGCTTTTCCTAGGCATTGGTATGGTAATCTCCAATACGTAAACAATTGCGAGCCAAGAGGACCTTCGAGGCCGTGGTAAATGAAAAGGGGCGGGCCAAGTTTCGACACTAGGTAGTATGACCCTGATATTGTTTTGTATCTTGAATATGTGCTTAAAGACTGTGGTTGTGTGGGTCGTGTAACTTGTTTTCTCCTAAATCTTCTATTTTGCGAGAATTAATGGAGTGATAGTGGAAATGATGAAGCCTGCTTCTGCTGAGCTGGAGTATAATTCTATGAAGAATCATGAGGTGCACAATCTTGACCGGTCCATATCTGGTGGTAGTGACTGTGGCTTAAAACGCTTATTTAAAGGGGTTTACAGCCCCAGTGGTTCCGGTTTAAGGTCTGGTTCATATAGCTTCCCTCTTTGGCCTTCAATCAGTTCCAATTTACGTAGCTAGTGTCGAAACTTTGCCCGCGTCCTTCTGTTTATCTCGGCCTTGACGGTCCTCTTAGTCTGCGACTGTATTAAATATTACGCCAAAGATTTCCAGGATAGGTCTCATGTAGCGAGGACTCACATAGCTTACTTCCTGCTCACTTTTTGTTTTGGTAGATTCATCTGATTAAAGGGGCAAAACTATATAACTAATATATATAAAAAACCTTTAAACAGCTCCCAGCTACGTACCAAGTGTCTTAGCTCGGCCCGTCCGCTGAGGCAAACAAACAAGCACTAGAAAATACTAGCATCTACATGGAATTATAAGGGATTAAAAATCATCTTGTGTGAAATAAATATTGATTCATCATCGTGAATCTGGACTATTTGGAATGCTTAATGATATCGTTATACCCTTCAAAGATTTCATGAAATCCGGTGTAGTGTAACGGCTATCACGGTTCGCTTTCACCGAGCAAACCCGGGTTCGACTCCCGGCACCGGAGTACAATGATATCGAATGCTACAATCAAAGATATCAATAATATTTTTGAAACATATGCCAAAGATATATTAAAGATAATATGCGAAAGATAAATTGCAGTAAAGTGTATCACCTGATATTTTGCAAATTTACCCTCGAATTAAATGTTACATCCACAAAAAGTATGTACCTGTAATTCGATGTATCCTGCAAATGAACATGAGAAAAAGCGGACCATCTTGGCACGTATTTGGTCGATTTTGATTTCAATAGGGCGTACTCCAAATTTCTCGTGGATATTGACACAATTGCTTTAGTGTTGTCTTTTACCCTATATATTAACCAGAAAGGCTCATAAAGAACCACCAAAACCTACTGGTACCTCGGAATTACGGGGCATTAGCGCCAAAAATTTGTAGATTTTCCCCATTTGTTCCTTGTCTGTTAACCTCAAGTAAGACTCGTATAGCAGCTCTTTATTTGCCATCAGGTTCGCTGACTTGATGAGCTGATCAAAACGATGCCCTGCACCCATAGTATGAAGCCAGTCGCCTTGTTCCACTGGTCCATAGGCTTGCACGTGCGGTTCTGCTAGTAACTTCAAAGTACCAAAATCGACATCAATGGATAAATCGACCTCACCCGGGCGAAAGAAAGGGGATACGAATTTGTGCTTGTAGATGCCGCGCAATGAATTCAGGGGCACTTCTTCGGCAGGACCATAATCGATGATGAGTGCGGCACCCTGACCTTTACTGTTGTTATTAACAAGCTCCATAATGCGGCTCATATACAACTCCGCGTCAGCACAAATCTCGACCCGAGATCCTACTGGAAGGTTTGCAAACCGCGGGCTCATTTTAGGTACAGCCGAGGACGGAGTTTCTTTAATGGATGCAGTGAGATGGAACTCGGTGAGAAGTTCCTCTGGGGTGTCGTTTTCAGAATCACTCGATTTCTGAGATGTACTCTTGGGGTCTGAGGCTGCGGGCAATTTCATCTGCGTGTTCACCACTGCCTGAGTATGCTCAACCAAGTGCTCCCGCCATCCCTTCTCCATCCTGACAAAAGATTTGATGGGCAAAGCATCAAAAAACTCATGTGCCAAGACGTAGTTGCATTCTTCAGGCAAACATTTGATGTCTTTCTCCGTGTCAACCCATGTGACTTTGTTGCCCCATTTTGATACTGACATGTTGAATCCATCAGAGTCTGTCTCGAACGAGGACTCCGCAGGGCAGAGTGCTTTCCATTGCTCTTTGCGAAGCACTGGAGACGCCTCAATAAGCCAAATCTTGCCCTCCACATTTTTGTGGGCTTTTTTCACGAAACGCGAAAACACAGTCATCGCATCATGTATCAACGTACCTCGTCCTGGTCCAAACTCAACCACATTCACTGACAGTGGCTGACCTTGAGATGTCCATACGGCATAGAGCCACACTCCAATCATTTCACCGAACACAGACGATATTTCAGGAGATGTGATAAAATCACCACCCAGGATATCAAGAGGGTCCCGTGTCGTATAGTACCCGAGAGTAGGATGTGTGAGACATTGTCTCATGTATGCCAGTAGCGAGATGGGTCCAGTTGTCTTGATGGTTTCCTGAAAAAGGTCCAGAAGTGAGTTTACCCCAGGTGACTTTGGAGGAAAAGAGCCTAGTTTTTCCGAACTTGCCTGACTTGCAGGAAATTGTGGGATTTTACCCAAATTTTCACGCACATCGTGCGTGCCTTTGATCTCTTGCTCAAGCTTACTGTACTGCGAGGTGACAAATGCCTTTGCACTTTCATATTCTTCCTTTGTGAATTTCCCAAAGTATAAACCGTTTTCATGAATCAATGGCTCATTGCTTGAGGCTGAAGAAGTGCCTTCATTTCCTGTTTTTGTGGCTTCAACTGGTGCGTCGTCTGGACTTTGCTTGATTTGGTCCCCTGAATCCGGATTACCCGTGTTTTGCGGATTTTTTTTATTGAGACTTGGAGCAACCAGATGCAATTTCGGCAGGTTGAATGCTCTGCGGCTAACACATAGTGTCCTTTGAAACCCCTTGAGCATTTCGAAGAGCTCTCTACCTACCGTGCAACTGAAGAACAGTGCTGAGAAAAAACAACTCCAAATGTCGCGCGAAGATTTCCCCAGTAGAATGACGGGAAGATAGGCTTCCAGGTAAATCACAATGGCCGTGCATAAATCCTCGAACTAAAGCCGTTCAATTGACCGTACAGAAGTCATAAATATTGGGCGAGATGAGAAAAGCTCGACTGGAGTCACTCCCTATGGAAGTAACAATTGACTATCGGAGTTGAATGGTTTGTCAGACCCCGCTGTCAATGTACATGCTGTTCCCCTTTTGCAAGGTCGAACAGCTCATGCGTATATCACATTTATGGCTACTCAAGTCAATGAAAGCAAGCTGAATTTGGTATGAAAAGTCGGGGAAAAACGAAACACTAGAGACTGGACTGAGCCAGCACTCCAGCAAACATAACAAATGAGTCCATGTAGAGGATCTCGTGGCGCGTACTGCTCTTCTTTTCGTCATTGAAAGAGCTGTCTCTCGAGTTGGATCCCCAGAAGTCCCTATCGTCAGAGCTGTGCTCAGAGAACTCTTCATCAACGACAAAGGTTTTCTTCAATGACCACCCAAGTTTTTCGTAAAATTTGCGGTTGGCAGCGTTGGAAGATTCCAAGTAACACCAATGACCAATCATATAATTTCCCAAGCAATGGATCATCAACTTCTTTGCCAAGCCACGTCCTTGCATGGAAGGAATTATACAGACGTCTCCTAGATACCAGATGGTATCTGAGGTTTTGATTGACGAGCCAGTAGATAACATTTGCTCGAATACGAAGTCCCGTTCTCGATGCAACTGGTCTTCCACTACTCTCAGGATCTTCTGTTTGCATTTTGCCAAGGATGAGAAGAGACTGAACTTCAATGACGTTGGGTGGATGTTTGCCAATGAAGACCTGGAGGAAGGGTAGTCGAAACAGTTTTCACTACGATCGTATACCAACTTATTCCAGCAGGCGGCGCCCAAGTAAGGTATTTTGTATAAGACCGGGGGTTTCAACTGCTGCCGGATCAAATCTAGCTCCAAGTTGTTGTCTTTTACAGCCAAGACCAAACCCCCTACAGACATGCATTCGTACACCGAAAACTCAAAGAATGACAACATCAACTGGTGCTTTCTACTGATGAGGCGAGTCTGGTGAGGCGAGTACTCGATCTGGGTACTGAGAATGTAATTGACAAACGGGTCTTTGTCAAACGCCAAGGCAAGTGTTTTTGCCACACGGCGGTAGTCCAGAATGGAAACCGGAGAAATAGATATGTTCAGCAACTTATGAACTAGTGTCAGTCTCAGGGAACTAGGATTGTTAAGAATACCCGTGCTAGCGCCCTGAGACTGAGGCAGTCGTGGTTTTCGTTTTGGGCTTGTTTCATGGTCTTCTGGAATGACGGAAAACATGTCTGAGCATAACCAAGATTCAGATCCGAGAGGTGCTTAAGAATTTGTGACGAGGGCGTCGCGTCGTGGCTTCAAATATGTGGTATACAAAGCTGAAGCAGGGAAACGAATGGAAACATAAAGACGGCGAAGTGCAGGCCTATTAATAGGCGGGGGAAGTGGGACATTGAGCCCCCGCGCGATAAGATCTGGGGAATCTGGCCTCCATGATATAGCCGTGGCAGTCTGCGAAATCGGCTCATGTGCGGCGAAGCTTCTTGGACTTGAATAGCCCTTGATTAATTTAAAATTTCGCCTCACTTTCATATTTGCTTTTATAGTAGGGCCTGAAAGTTTCAACTTGGTTGCAGCTGACAAGCATGGACAAATCGGCTGCAAATTGTGATCTGTTATAGTGTGTTGGCATTAATATTCAGATTGATTCTGCGTCCACTCGCTTCAATTTTCGCGAGTGGTGGGCCTGGATTATGACTTCTTGACATGTGTTTATTCGTTTTGTAAGTACACATGAACTTCACACTTGTGACTGTACCGTGTCACAATAAGCGTCAAATGTCGACTTTGAACGGATGAACTTGTCGTAGTTAAAAACAGCTCAACAACTTTTGGACAAGTTTATTGATCGGCATTAAAAAAATTGATAGATTCATGGCAAGGTACACACGTGGCTATGCCTTGTAGAGACTTTGAATGATTTTGCTGTTTGCCCCAAATCAAAGACAATCAACTTTTAAATCAAAGTGGTCTTGATACAGAGCAATGTATTTTCGCTTGCCCTCGAGTAACATGACGGCGAAACGACTTTTTGCTTCTGCTGCGAAAGTCAGGTCGCTTCAGAAAATTAGAGAAAAATTTAGTGCAAAACTATAATTGTTATTTTTAACTAGAAGTCTGCGCAAATTCATGTGTCGCTGTCACACGACGAGAACAGTTGTAGACACAATGTCTAATTTAGCCGGGTAATTATTTCCTTGATTCATCCTCCTTCTTGCTCGATCGCTGAGATTGCCAAAGCCCCGGTGTTTTACCAGTTTTAGGGTTTACTTTATAGCTTTCACAATGCTGTTCTTTTGAACTACCTGGCGATTGATTATATTCCATGAGCCAGACAATCGTACTGAAAGGATGATAAGAAGAACAGTGCTCAGGCGGGGTTTGTAGCCTGCGTATCTGCTGTTGTGCTTTGTACAAAGTATTGAATTAATTCAAACACCATGAGGTAATTTTCTGGACTCCGAGTAGAATCTACACGTTTGGGAACACAGCAAAACATCCACTTTTGACCAGGCTTCTCCGGTGAAGCCTGATATGCTTCCAGAAAAACCGAGGGTAAGATTTTACGTGGCATTGTTATTTTCTGACAGTGACGGCCAACATTGAAGCCCGGGCCATGTGGTAACCATCTCTGCACGCCGCATTGAAGCTACGGAATTTGTGCTATAAGTAATTGTTTTTTTTTTGTGAAAGGAACAACACGCGGTTCAAGGGATTCGTATGAGAAGGAATCAAACAGGCGAAAACAGCGCCTTGTCAAAATCCAGCTAAGGCCCTGCGTTGTCGCCCCATTGATGTCGCCAGTGAGCTGGTGTAGATATATGTGTAGTATTCCAAAAAAAGGTCACGATGTTGCAGAGCCTTTTTATACACTCAGTCAGGGGGGCTTATATCTTCCGACCTGTGACATTCATTGTGTAATAACTCACTACGAGAGACGCGGCGCTAGGACATGCGATTGGGTGGCTTGGCAGAAATATGCTATGTTTGGGGCGACCCTGAAGAGTGAGGCGGCTCAACCGACATATACCAACCAAGGCTGAAAATGTATTTTTAGCTTTTACATAAGAAAGCACGAGCCGTCGTTCTGCACTGGTATTAAATCCGTCTTAAACATCTTCACCAATAAGCACTTTTTGATTCCTCTGAAGTCTTGCCACTGACTGTTAGTTTTAGAAATACGAGCCACTGCGCGCAATTGAAAAGCTGGGTCAGCACAAAGGCCAGATCTTAGGGCTCGGATTCGCAAATACAAAAAAAATCCTGGATCTTGAAATAATTCTGCTGACTACGCCGTGAATTATTTTGCAGCAATGTTGCGCGTAGCGCCTCGCAAGCTGAATGGCGCCTCGACCTTGCTTTCTTGGTTTTGGCGGGTTCTTCGCCGCACCTGGGCCTCCATGCAGGATATCGCCATACAGAGCCTCTTTCGGGGTCACGTGCTCCCTGGCTTTCTCTCCATTGTTGTACCTCAAGATTGTGTTGAACTACCTGAACTCAAATAGTCCCAGCTTCCTTTCCCCCCTCAGCACCCAACCCCTGCCGCGCAATTATTTTCATCTAGAACCCCGAGTGTTCCGAAAGTCTTTATCAAACTTCACCTCACCGCCACGTAACTTATATACTGGCTCCTTGAACTGGCTATTTTTTTTTCGTCACCGAAATACTCCTGTCGCCTTGTCTTGCTATCAAGCTTTCAAAAAATTTTTGAGGGTAGTCTTCCAGCCAAGCTTTGTTGACTTTACTGCCACACCTTTTGCTGCTTGTCAGCATAGACTAGACTTTTGGCGAGCGCCTTCAGACTCGACACTTCACTTCCATTTGCCCCTATACAAGTCCTAGCAATTCGCTGTCCTCACCTGTTTCTGCTGTTGGCTACTCAAGACATACGCGAAAAGACTGTTACTAGAACCAGCGCGGATATTTTTTAGAAAGCCTGATTTTTTGTGCATCGGAGACGCTATTCCATCATCACAAAGCCTAGACTGCGCCCGCTTTCGAGCCGTGCCAAATACACTCCTGGAATCCCGATTGACATCCTCCCCAACAGGCTTTCTGTTGCAGAGCTATCTTTTTTCTAGATTAGAAAATGGGAAATAGCCCTTCCAAATCGAAAGGCGGCTCCGCCCTTACTCGTACGGATACTGCTTCATCAGCGAAATCCTCTCGTTCTATTAGATCCAGAATCTCGCTCTCAAACGCAAGTGCAAATGACCCTCCTCATCCGCCCCATCGAAGAAGTTCGGCAAGCTCTCTACCGAAAGCCACAACTCCCAGTGATGATGGAGAGGGCAACCCCAACTTGTCCCACGCGTCAATGCGGACCCCTGAGCCGAAATCGCCCATTCTCATGACAAGAAACGCAAGCGATACCGATTCTTCGGCAAGACTAGGCGTCAGCGGCACATCCAGCGGCGATGACTTATCCACCCCTCTCTCGAGATCATCTACAAACCACTCGAATCGCTCGAGCTCATTATTGACTCCGCAACATACTGGGGTGAGCGCAGGAGGCACACAAGAAGACAAATCCGACGCTATTTCTGTGTCCTCTCGCAAATCGGGACGTTCGCTCTCGAGCTTCAGTAATCACTCGAGACGCGGCTCTTCTAGAAACTCAAAAGAGCTTCTCGGCGAGCAACCAGAGCTCACGAATAATATGGATATTGAGGACTATATCCAAAGATTGCTCGATGCGGGGTATCTGGGGAAGAGAACGAAATTCGTGTGTTTGAAAAACAACGAAATCCAACAAATTTGCATCAAGGCACGCGAAGTTTTCTTGCTGCAACCTTCGTTGTTAGAGCTTTCTCCTCCAGTGAAAGTTGTGGGCGACGTGCATGGGCAGTACTCAGACTTAATTCGTGTGTTCACGAAATGCGGGTTCCCCCCACTGACAAACTATCTATTTCTTGGAGATTATGTCGACCGCGGAAAGCAATCTTTGGAAACTATTTTACTCCTTCTTTGCTACAAGATTAAGTACCCCGAGAACTTTTTTCTTCTCAGAGGTAACCATGAGTGTGCTAACGTAACACGAGTCTATGGGTTTTATGACGAGTGTAAGCGCCGTTGCAATATCAAGACGTGGAAGTTTTTTATTGATACTTTTAATACTCTTCCGATCGCTGCAATTGTTGCAGGGAAGATTTTTTGCGTGCATGGAGGACTCTCCCCAGTTCTCAATTCAATGGACGAGATCCGAAACATCGCTCGCCCCACAGATGTTCCTGACTTTGGCCTCCTTAATGATTTGCTCTGGTCGGATCCGGCAGACACAATAAACGAATGGGAAGACAATGAGCGAGGCGTGTCTTATGTGTTTTCTAAAGTTGCCATCAATAAGTTCTTACAGAAGTTTGGCTTTGACTTGGTATGCCGAGCCCATATGGTGGTAGAAGATGGGTACGAATTTTTCAATGACAGGACATTGGTTACTGTGTTCAGTGCGCCTAACTACTGCGGTGAGTTCGACAATTGGGGTGCTGTAATGGGTGTATCAGAAGAGTTACTATGTCTGTTTGAACTTCTTGACCCATTGGACTCTGTTGCTTTAAAACAAGCCATGAAGAAGGGTAAACAAGAGAGGAAGAATGCTCTGCTCCAGCTGCAAAAAACTGAGTAGGTGATGCGCTCTACCTACTGGTGAGATCCCAGGGTCGAGCATTCGAGCTTATATTTCACCACAAATAACCTTCCAACTCATTTTATTTTGCTACATAGATTGCAAGTACGCCACTTGTGATTACTCAAGTCGTCTTTTTTTCCCCTAGAACTTGTAGGCTGCATCGACAGATAGCCTCTTTATCACGTGACCACATGCCGTTTGGAACCTCGTTCAGTCTGGTGTCCTCACAAGTGTAACTATGCTGTACATGTTACCTCGCCAGCAAAATGGCGTCCGATAACTGCTATTACAATCTCAATACTGAGAACTGTATCGCAATGAACCAAATTGCGCAAGAAATCTACCGTTCAGTTCGAGAAAACGACATAATCCTTGCCCGTTTGACAGATTTGGTAGACACCAGACTAAAACTCCCAAATTTAGGTGATTATATCTCATGTAAAGATATAGATAATTCTCATATTGAGTTCCGGGCCAATGAAAATATATCCGGTAATCCTCCGAGCGCCCAGAAAGTCAAACAAATAGAAGAAAGGGAGCACCCAGAGTGTAAAACGAGCATTCCCCTAGGTTCGGAGGACCCGCCCTCACTGAAAGCAGACAAAAGTGACAATGCTGAGGCGGAATATAGTGGTGATTATCTTCGGAGCCACTTGGATAATAATTTGCATCTTGATAGTGTGGAATACGACGAGACCAAGTTCGCACAGGTGAAGAGCACACGGATACGCCAATTGCTAATAGACAACTACAGGCTTCTAATTATAAAACAGAGCAAGCAGGCCGAGAATAAGCAGCTTTTGAGTATTTATAACTCGTATGAGCAGATACTATCTGAAACGATTGTTCCTAAATTGACACAGGATGTCTCTTCGTTGAACATTGAACGAATTTTTGCGGCAAGGATACTCTGTGCTGAACATAAATTTCCTCTTGAGGACGAGCTTTGGGGGACATATTGCAAGTATCTTGAGAGTTTGGAATCAGTGCGTGTATTCTCAAACAAACTCATCGAAATCCTCGTAGGTCATTTGCATGACGAGCAGATGGAGCGCTTGGCAACGCAAGTCAACATTCTAGGGAACTTGATTAAACAGTTAAATGGGGGAGGCTTGCATAGGAATCAAATCTCTAACTTTGACTATTTGATATGAAAAGATCCTTTTACAGTCATTTCTTTTTCGTGAATGAATGATTTTGTTCATGTGGAACACATACTTGTCACTTGTAGTATTGTTGTTGGTCACTCAACTGTCAGACTGGAACAGCTGAATATTGCAAATCTACACAACCAATCGATAACATGGACCCTTCAAAAGCTTTTGGAGAAGGAAGACAGGTAACAATACATTTGTCTATCTCGAGCCTCAGACTTTGCATTGCCGGTGTTAGAATGTTCAACACCAACATAGTAAACCGACTCCAAGATAGGTACGAACGTGATTTTGCAGACTAGCATGAGGGCAGCAAAAAAAATCGCGTATTGACTTTTAGAAGAAATACAATTAAAGCACCTTGCTTATTTCTCACTAACCATAAAAGATAATAGCTTTTGATTTTGGAATGCCCTCGAACTCTCCCATGAAAAGTGTGATATATACTCTGACTACCTGCTGCTTCGAGGGTAGATCACCACACTACTCCTGGTTTTGAACGAATGCGCATATGTGTCGCTAAAAACAGGTTGTATAATTATTGAAATGTAAAGATATGCATCTAATGCTGAGAGGTCCTGCTGAATTATATATTTCAGACACGTCGTCCCAAAATATGCGGCGCCGCCCGATCTAATGTGGCCGGATACCGTGAATTTGTCTTTGAGACATAAAACGCGTCGAGGTGCAAAGTAATGCATTTCATAGAAGAAAATTAAGGTCAAAATCGACATGGCACAATCAAAATTTTCACAACTTCTCAACCTGAACCCGTGGGTGGGTCTCCTCGGCCGCCGGAGTGTCTTCCGACAATAGATGATTGATGTTCACTTTTCTGTCCAGAGGCGATTTCGACTCCGTATGCTTGGCAGGTGCCACTTCTCGGAGTACAGAGTTGGGCTTGAGCGGGGGTAGAGCTTTGTGGTCTTTTTCAGGGTTGGGATGAAGAGCGGATGTAGACGACTGTGAGATTGATGGGATTGATGTGATTGACGGGATTCTAACAGAGGGAATGCTCTGCTGCAGCCACGGGCTCCGGATGACAGGGGAAAGAGAGGATCCTCTCATGGTGGTTGTAGAGGCGACCTGGTTGAATGATTGACGAAAAAGTGGGGATAATGGGGAGACCATGGTGCCAGCAATTAATGGTCTTAGTGTCGGGAGAGACAGGTCAAGCATATACAGCAGCGAAAACGTCGAGAGTGGCGGTGCTGTTTTGAGAGGCGGGTCTATACGCACTGTAGGCACCGGCACCACCCTGTTATGGAAGTTGTCATCGGAGTAAGATTGTAGAAGCGAAAGCGGCCGAGGCCTGTTTTTCGGATTGAATTTCAAAGGCTCTTTGATCGTGTCACGAGCCTCTGAAAACTCAGTGTCAGTGGGCACAGCGGCCATCAGCCCGAGGCGCGAGCTCGGGGCAGTGTCTGCAAGCAGCGCCAGCCGGGGATTTTCGAGAAACTGCGGGATGTAAGTGGTGCTTACGGAGGATCCCGAAAGCGGAGGCGAGATCATGTGCTTTGAAGAAATCCCATTCCCCGGCGGGGGCACAAAGCCACACAGGAGATCGGGCGGCAGCTTCGATCTATGGGCCGATGCCAGCTCGTCCGTTTTCATCGATAAGAAGTGCGGTGGTGTTTCTTGAGCGCGGCGAGGATCGGCACTTAGAGATGCGCCTGTCGGCTGGCTTGGCGAATACCGGAAGCTCTGTTCGGAAGGGTCCGCCGGTGTTTTCGGAAAGCTCTTGTATGCGTGCACGGTCTGCTTGTGTTGCCGAAGGTTGTCCAAGCGGGAGAAGCTTTTGGAGCAGAGCTGGCAAGAAAAGGGCCGCTCGCCCGTGTGCTTGCGTCGGTGGCGGGCCAAATGCTCGGACCGCGTGAACGACTTGGTGCAGTTTGCGTACCCGGTGCACTGGAACACCCTGCCTTTCAGGCTTTTTTTTCCCACGCGTGGCTCGCCAGGTCTCTTGTCAGACATATTTTGGAGAGGAAAGATAGTTCAGCGCGGGAAGAAAAAGAAAACACGTCCGCTAAGAATGGCGTATGTATATAAGACCAGGGCTTTCCGCAAAAGCTTGGTACAGAGGGCACAGGTCAAGCGTTCGGAATGCGAGACGCGGATGCGGTGTCTGGAAACGAAGGTAGATTAAGCGCCGAGATCACAAAGCGCGTGGAGCTGGAGGAAAGCCCACGGAAAGAGCTGGTTGGATAATCGCTTCGGAAAAGAGAGTCTGTAATACCTTCGAAAAAGCGGGCGGCACGTGACGGGAAACGGGAACGCCCAGTGAGCCGGAGAGGGAGAAACTCGAGGTATGCGGGGCGAGGGCTTAGGCTCAGGCTTGTTTTGGTGGAGGGTGCTCGGATCGAGATTCTCAGTCTGGGAGGCGCGGCGGGGTCTCGCGAGCGAGATTGGATCGGGCTAAGAAAGGGGGTCCGCTGATCGAGAAAAGGGACGGAGGGGAAAAAGGACCAGTAGCTGTGAAGAGAAGAGACTGGCGCTTCAGGAAAAATGCCCTCCAAGGACGAGATCGGAAGCGGGTACTGTGTAAGAGCCACAAGTAGTGCAGGACAACGGAGGTTGGTGCGCTGCGTCAGTGCAAGCCACCCTGAAAAAAGAAGGACGGGAAAGGGGAGGAAACAATATACAGCCCAAAAAAAAAAAAAAA